CACGTTCCCACTCGGAAAGTTTCCTCTCTAGCAACCCCCCGCCAGTTGAACATGGCTGCAAACGATTCACACAAAGCACTGGCCCCGGCAGTGGATTGGAATCCGCCAGACAAATACCCCTTGAACCGGACAAAGAAAGCCACCACGGCTTGCCAGGCGTGTCAGAAAAGAAAGTCAAAAGTGTGTGGATCAATTGAGCCCCTCTAGAAATCCCCATGTTAATAAAATCCCCCACAGTGTGTTGGCGGGAAACCTTGTGGACCTTGTCAAAAAGCAAACACAGAATGTGTTGTCAACGCAGACAACGATGGACGTCGACGAATCACTCTCAAGCGCAAGATTGAATCACTTGAAAATGACCGCGAGCTGCTGTTACGGCTTGTAGAAACTATTCGCAATCAGAATGACTCAGCCTCTATCGATGTTCTCAACCTCATTCGAAGTAATGCGCCACTAAGTGAGATTAACTCATGTCTGCAAAATGCGAGCCAGAGCTCCGACCACACGCCTGTGCGTGATGATGACAGCCCCGTCAAACATCCGAAACGATCTACATCCATATATATGGACGTAAAGCGACTCACTGACATGCCTGTGTTCCAAGTACCAGCGAAACCATGGACCTCTGTGACCGATGATGATGCCTTTGTGTCACATCTCATCTCTCTATATTTCACCTGGCAGCAGCCCACGTTCATGTGGGTTGATCGAGAGCCCTTTTTAGCAGATATGAAAGCCGGAAATCTAGGCTCGAGGTTCTGCTCGCCCCTCCTGGTCAATATCCTTCTCGCCGTGGCCTGTGTAAGTTCCCTGGATTGTCGATTACCACATCTATCCCCATGCTATCGAGATAAGTGTCTAAACAGTCTATCTTGTCATTTAGTTTTATTCCGACTATCCTGAATCGTTTGCAAATCCAGCCGATCCTGCAACTCGTGGCGAACACTTCTTTTCAGCGGCAGTAGACCTGCTCAAAAAGGAAGAAGGTCGAGTCCCTCTTACCACGTATCAGGCTCTGGGGGATATGTACACTTGGTATCTTCTGTCGCCCTTTTTATTTGTGGGGTTTAAAGCTGACATGCGGAAACAGTGCCTGTGTCCTGGGGAAAGACAGACTAGGGTGGCAGTATCTGGTCGAAACAGCCGATGCTATGCAACAGGTCATCAAAAAACAGCAAAAGATGATATCAGACGCCAAAGAACAGGGCCAGCAAATGGCAAGGTCTATCAATGTTGCATTTGCCGGCTTGTCCAGCTTCATACCGTAAGTGAACACTTCGGTGAACGGAATCCTAAATCAAACTGACATCACAAAGAACAAGTACTATAAGTTTCCAAAAATCGCCACTTATCAAGAGACCATCATCTCTCGAACGTTTCCCGGAGGATCATGATCCCAATGATACTTGGACACCGTATCCGCATCAAGCGGAGCCCAAGCCGGCACATACCAATTGCTTGTTAAACAGCCATGCTGATTTAGCGCCTGTGGTATGGGATATAACCGACTACTTATTTGGGGACCACAAGCCCCCCGTGATTGAAATTTCCGCCATCGATGAATTCCATCATCGTCTCGGAAAGGTGATGGAGAATCTTCCTGAATGCGTTGGCTTGGAGAAAATGCCAAATATTGGCGCCATGGATCTGCAGTAAGTATTAAAAGCCTATCATCGGGATGTATCAAGGCTGACTTTGACTCCAGTATGCGATATCACAATACCATAATGGTGATGTTCGGGATCGCTAGCACACTCGCCGATGCAGACGACACAGAAACACAGAACCGTCTCAACCGCCAGCGTATGTCTTCAGCGTGCCACATTGGCACATTGATGAACCTATATCGTTCACTGTGGCCAGTGGAACGGATGCCGATGGGATTGATGCAATATTCAACCCTTGCTCTCTTCACGCTGCTGGAGGGTCTGGATGATAAACAGAATCAAGTATCGTTTGTGGAAAATCTGATTGCCCTTCGCGCACTGGCACGACGTTGGCAAATGGCGAAGGGAATGCTCCGGCTTGTGCAGCTCACGGCAATAAAACAGGAAGCCCAACTTCCTGCTGAGTCGCACGTTCTTCTGAGGGACTTTGAGACTGAATGGAGCACAGACGATCGGAAAAGCTTCAGCAGCCATTACCCTAATTTCAACGTGGCTCTTCAGCAACAGAACAACGGCGGTGTGGATGACATTGAGTTGGATTTGTTGCTTGAGGAGTGGGATAATCTTGCTGTATCCGAGAGGACACCGGAAGTCAGCAGTGGTACTCTGTCTGAGGGGGATACCAGCGATGCAAAACCAACCTCATCGAGTTGATCCCTGAACCTTGGAATGAAAAAGAAAAAAGTTGGTCAGTCGGTCTACAGGTGATCAAGCTCAGGTCCTCTCGTCCTTTCGAGTACATGTGGACGATGAAGCTCGTGTGCACGAGGTTTACTTTCCATGGACCCTTTATACCAGTCACAAATCGATACCCATGAATAGCTTCCAATATCGAGCGTACTTACTACTAGGTTGAGTATCAATGAGGGGTGGGGCCTCAATTTCTACAGAATTATACCCAGCCCATCGACATCTATAGATCGTTCAGAATTCAGACGCAAGAATTCCCGAGTATTTAAGTGCTGACAACTGATTGGTCGAGGAATAGCAACTAGACGCCGGCGCTAAATGCTCCCTAGGCGCTATAAAAGGAAGACACACCCAAGGGCTGCACACCTCCCTGCAACAGTCTTTTATTGCAACTTTCCACGGTCGAACGTTGGAATATCTCTGACCTTGACTCGGCAATAATCAAATACCCGTGGACGATCCAATCATCAATCTGACTATAACCTGGAAATTCACCGTAAGGACACGCTTGCTGCCCAAGCCTGAACTTGCTCCAAGATTAACCTGGATATCCTGTTAGATCTAAAAATGCGTGTGCAGGAATACGTGAAATATACTTGTGGCTGCAAACAGGAATCGGAGTTCAAACAATGTGATGAGCGTCAAGGAACGAATGTGAAATGCGATCCAATTAAGAAGGTGCTTGTTGGAAGCGTGCAGCATTATTGCCGAAAGCACTTGGTCCCAGACCACGCAGTCAGTTTCACAGATCAAGTGGGACACACCAAGGAATAAATCCCTGGGTCCGTGGACAGTGGCTATACCTACCTACCTTGGTAGGTATTTACTTCGTTCCCAGTCTCAGAGCCAATCAATTTGGGCCTCTGTTCTAGAGGTTCATCAGAAAAGAACGTGCTCATAAAAGGATATCCATGGATTCATCGTTTCAGTCTGGGCGTTAGGTCAAGTTCCAAAACGCCCATAGTCCCACAAACTAAGAAGATTGTAATGTATGCACCACCCCCAAAACGCCGTGAAGATCTCCTGGCCCTCCATTTCAGCCAGTGGTGCTGGAAGCAAAGATCAGATGCAAACAGAGGCACAACTCTTCAAACACTCAAGCTCTAATCACTGCGTAACATACTATCCACCAAATCACCCAAGGGACCCCAGAAGTCCTTGCCGCTAGCAAGCTTGTGCTCGTCAATAAAGAGTACGTAGTGCTTAAAGCTGGTGTTCAGGTGGGGCTCAAGACCAAGGTGTACAACAACCGGGTAGTGATGGCAGTATATGTGGGCATATACTCGGTAAAGACGCTTGAAGATTTGGCGCAGGAGACTGGGGAAGCTTTTGGGGAAGGGTACACCTGGGGAAATCAATCAGTGGGCGAAACGGAACTAAAACAATGACACTCTGGACATACCAATTCGACTGGGGAACATCTGCTCGTTGTCGACGTTGCTTTGGACCCAGGCCATCAGGTGCTCAATGTATTCTGGTGCGGACATCTTAGTCGGTCGCTTGTAATTCTCCGAGTCTTGCCAGAGGTACTCGAATCTATCCAAGTTGTGAGCAAGGGGGCTTGTGCAGCTGCGAGGGAAACACCATACTCATCTGTGGCCTTCATCTCAGGGCATGTCTGCGGTGAGCAGAACTCGGTTATTGAGCCATAAAGCAAGTTGATCTGGTTGTAAAAGTCGACAACTGTATCGCGAGAAATTAGCTACAGTCCCCGGTGTCGACCAAGCAGGGGCGCATCATACTGTTCACGGCAAGCCATTCGTTGAGGTCTTCGCCCTCGGGCAGCTTCACGGCCTTGCGCAAGCTGCCACTTCCAAGGGTAGCTTCGGCGAATTGTCGCAGCTGGTAGCTGCTGGTGCCTTTGGCCGCAGAGCGAGGCTTGAATGGGGCCCGGGTTCGTGCATTGCTGGGAGGTGTTAGTCCAAAACAGCCTTGTTTGAGTGCGCGTACTGCCGGCGACAGATAGGAGGGAGGCTCCGAGAGGGGGAGATGGGAAGTGCGAGTGGTTTGATATTGGGAGGGGCTGATAGAGACGGAAGGGTATAATTGCGACTGGGAAGTACTTTCTCCACGAGATGGAGAATAAGCAGCAGGAGGGGCAGCAGGTACGGACATTGTGGTGATGAATGAAGACATGTTCTTTCGAGGTCGCGACACAGCGATCCCTTTCGTGTATTTGGCGGGGTTGGCGCTGATCGCGATATGCCTACATTCCACTGTCAGAAAGGAGCGAATGAGTGTTCCAGGAATGTGAGCTATACCGTAACGAGGTACAAATAGGAAGATGACTTTGAGACAAAAAGGTCAGAATGAGGGCGAGACGCGCAAGGGGAGTTCAGCTGAAGGTTGATACGTGAGGTCCGATCGGCTTATCTGCGTTGCCCCAGCGACCGCGGCAGAGTACCTAGGTAGGTATACTGAGTATACGACGGACTACTTCATACTCCAGGGAGTACCAATTCGAGTCTACGATTACATTGCAAAACGAGTGTAGATTTGATGCGCAGTTCTGGGCGCAATTTCAATTGTATATTTGAGTCCAAATCGAGATTTGCATGTCACCCTCAACAGCGTAGGAAAATATTGAACGGAGGATCTGTCAAAGCATGAAAGTATGACAGGCACATCTGTATATTTGGGGCCTTAAATGGAGTAGCCTTCTTTTTCTTCAGGCAGTCTTTCCCGCACAGTCTCGCCATATACCGTCAAAGGAATAGCAATCTCGAACGAGTCACAGTTCAAGTGCTCCATGGCAGACAATACCGTACCACGATCATCCGATGATAACGCTTCTAGTAAGCGAGCACCAGATGGTCCAGGGCCCACATCACGGTGTCCATTGGATGTGACGAACTCAAATCGCAATTCCCATTCCAGAGTCACACCGCTAGTGACAATCGATGGGGTGGCAGAAATGGGAATTGCAGGACTGAAAGCCACTCGCGTCGCATGCAGAGTGTTCTCGAATAAAGAAGCATGGATGCGGCGTGTAGTTCGGTGTATGCTTGCGTTGGATCGGATGGCCAGGGTAGGGGTGACCTTTTCAGATGTCTCCAACGAGGCACGGACTGCATAGCATGGAATCGTGGCATTACTAAAGTCCAGGGTAGCAATGATAGTCTCTCCCAGTCGGTGGACTGGTCGATTCAAGACAACAACCGCAATCCGTTTACCTTCACGGGCAATCTCAAAGCGATTGGGGCTACGTCGAGAATTAACGGCCTGGTTGCTGCGAAGGATAGCAAAGTCAATAATATCCTTGCTAGTTAAGAGCTGCGGGAGTCCGTCCACGCTGGCTCGCCTCGATGGTGTGGCCCCCGGCGGGAAAAGCGTATTGGAGCGAGCACGCCGGGCTAATATTTCATCCACATAGCCGAGGAAATCCGTAGCTGAATGGTGTGATTTGCTGATGCTTTGATGCTTTGGTTGGACTGGCACAGCCGGACCGACTTTATGTACCTTGGCTTCGTCGCGTAGAATCACATATGGGGACATCAGGTCATGTCCAAGTACATCTCCCTTCTCTGTGGACGTGTTAGGGCAGATCAAATGTGCAAGGATGGGGAGATTTACCATTAACGCCGCTAAAAACGCGGAAGGGTATATTAATCCGGTTGACCTTTTGGGGCTCATTGGGCCCGCTGGGCCGCTGGGTGCCGATGACAAGATTATATGAGATTTTGATTGCCTTTCCCTTATGGCTCGCCGGGAGTCCTTTGGGAAGTGAAAAGGAGAAGGAATATGACTGTTCTTCTCCAGGTGCCAGTCGAAGATCGACGAAGAGGAGTGACTGCGAAGTCGACAATAACGGGATTGAGCGCTCTGATGACACGCCACGCATTTCACGTAATCCATCCAGTTCGTTGTTGGGAAGCAGACCATTGATGGATTCCTCAATCGAATTCCATTTAAGCGCACCCCAAAACCCGCCGGTCTTACGTGGGCGCTCTGCAGAGGGGTTCGAGCGACCAGGCAATCCGCCTGAACCTGTCTGGCCACCCACCACTCCCTTCCGCTTTACTTCTTCAAACACTGACTGGTTTATTAGTGAACCATCGACCGTGAAGGACGCGCTAACCTGCGCATAGCCCATGAGCAGCGCCTGGCTGTTGTGGACTTTCGCAGGAGACGCCGCAACGCTTGCATGGCGGGCATGCCGCATGGGAGGAGGAGCTCGTGCGCCCTGAGCAGAGTAATTCGTGTACTCTGATCCCAAAGTCTCGGAAGAATGGCCGCTGATGGAGTAGAATTCTCCACTACTGCGACTGCTCCCATTACCGCTTGTAGCAGATATGATCCGAGTCAATTGCTGGTGGGCGGGTCCAGTCATTCCTTGGCTCTCTGTTAAATTAGACTTCCCTGCAGTTGATGCTGTCCCGTTTGTAGTCGCAGAGCGTGGCGATGGAGTGCGCGGTCCGCGGCTGGTTGAATCCGTTGAAGGCGCGGCTGGGAATTTAAAGTCGAGAGGAGGGGGTTGCGGCCGTCGCGCAGGAAGCCGCAATGACTCTGGCGCCCCCAGTGGGCTAGTTGCTAAAGATCCAGGGCGACTCGGTCGGCCTACATGGGAGGTGTCGACTCTGAGACTGCTGTTGGGATGCTCGTTCGGTGCTTCCGCTAATGGAAACGGGAAAGCGTGTGTGGGGGTTCGCGCTGGAAAGCGATCAAATCAGCCTGAGGGTCTCCGATATTTCCTTGTGCTTCTGGGTCTCTACCTTTCTTGTAAGTGTCCTCGTAGCTATTGTTCCTCCTTGGCGGGACCTGAAGGCTGGCAGAGCGTCCATGGCCTCTGGCTGGCTTGGGTCGATTGGAATGGTGCTGAAGTGGCGAAGGCGACGGGTCGGCTTGACTCTCACTATCAATTGATAGGATAGAGACGGAGCGCTTATGGGTGTGCTCGGTTTGCCAACTCCGCGGCGTAGAGGGGCCGTTGTTCGGGGGGAAGCTGTGTGAGCCAGGGGCCAAGGGAGTGTTCAGAGACGAAGCTGTTCGATGATATGGTTTTCGCTGAGAGCTGATGGAGAACGATCGCCGACCCGGAAGGGTGAACCCAAAGAAGGATTCGGAATTCGAGCTCGTGTGGTTCGTGTGGTTCGCGACTCGAGACCCTTTCCTTGAATGTTGACTCTCCAGGTTGGACTCGGCGCTTGTGTCAGCCACGTTCTTGAACGTAATTGTACATTCCACGTTCTCTCCCGCGAAAATCGTCTGGTCTTTCCACTTCACAAAGACCTGGATGTCGGATGGCATGGCGGGCGCGTCAGCATGTGGACTGTAGGGGGTTCTCTAATTTAGGAGAATTGCCGGCACGATGAGCTGGATGGAGGTTGAAGCTGGATTGAATGTGCCGACATTAGCATTCTGTCAACCCGAGTGAACCATGTTGGTTGAGGGGAACGAAGGTGATATGATTCCAGTTAGCTCCCGAGCTGCGGAATGACATACATCCCGAGGTCTCCTTGTGCATTAATCATTTCTTACTCTTTTTGCTTTTGTCAAAATTCAATCTTTTCTGAAATCGCGATTATACCATTTGACGATTATGAAAACAACAAAATTACAGCAGATATACATAGGATGGCTATTGTGAGGATTTTTGCATGAATGTGCCCATATTATGAACAACCCCCTAGCATGTTGCTAACTGTACAATGAATTCAAGAGCTTCGAAACAAAATCCTATTATACATGATATGTCGACCCCGGGTGGTTCCACCCAGAGAAAGTGCATTAAGATGATTAACCCTCCTTATCCTCCTTATACAGTACATGATAGTCCGCCATCGGTTTGGCGCGATCATTCGCAGGGCGAAGACCAAGCTCAGACATGCGACTCCAGATTCGATCGTGGCGTTTCTCCCATCGCTTGCGCCGACTTTCCATCTCATCTTCAGTGGGACGCCATCTGCTTTTAAGAATTCGGCGGATGGCTTCCGGGGACATTTCAAACTCCCGCGCAAGAACAGCGGTCGTGAATTGTTCAGGATCCTTCGCGTGGAGGTGACGGATTCCATCGAGTGCATCGGGCGACAACTTCTTAGGTGGGTTCCAACCATTCGCAAACTTCTGTTTCAGAGCTGCCTTTTGCACTTGCCAATTCTCGGGTTTTCTTTTTCTCTGATTCTCAAATTCTTGTCTCGCTTTGGCGTTCTCTGCTTTCCAGTCACGAGGTTGCTTTTTAGCCTCTCGTCGGGTTTCGTTGCGGAATTCCCGACGCTCTCTGTCCGACCTTCCCATTCTGCGCTCTGAGTCTTTTTGCTGAGCCTTGGTTTGACGCTTGTGGGTATTCCATCCACCTTTATCAGTCGGACCATCAAAGGCCTTATGGAATTTCTGTGAAGACGGTGCGACATCTGCGGAGACTGGGCCATTGGAAGATGTAATTTCCGACAGTTCATTCTGATTGTCGCGAAGGCTTGACAAAAGGCTGAAGGGTCGACGAAAGTCACGGGCCTTAGGATAAGAGTTGAATCGTGCGTGGCAGGGGGTGACCAGGGAAGCACCCAAATTGCCGGTCAGCTGCGAACGGTAGACATGACGCAAAGCGGCAGACAACGCCAGGTTTGAAGAGGCGACACATGTAGCCACCATTGTGAATGCTGATCCAAGTACGTAGTACTCAGTAGAAGACAAGAAGGTGGCAATGGGTCACGAAAGGAAAATCCTCCCGATAAGATAAGTACACTGTAGCCTGATATATAAGGTGTTGATTTCCCCGGGACCAATTCCATTTGACCCACCTTCACCAGAGTCACCCAGTCCCACTATCATAGGAAGATAGGGTGCATTTGAAGGGGCAAAAATCGATACTTGCATCGGACGGACCCCTGAATCTCCCATGAATGTCGCCAGATCTATCGCGATACATGGGTATCTGCGTCGTATCTTCAGTGGGTACACCATCTAGAAACTTGAAAAAATGACGATTTGGACTCTACGAATAGATTCTCTAACTCAATACCAACCTCAACGCTGGACATAGCAGTTAAACAGTAGAAAGCAAGCCAAGTCTGGTGGTACGTATACGTAGGAGTCTGGCTCAAAGCTAATTATGACCCTTCAACACAAGATTTTGGTGGTGGCGATTAGACCCACGTTATACGAGTATGTATGCACCCAGTCCTCGTTGAAGATTGTATCAATTGAGGAGGGTGAAATTGTGAGCGCTGTGCATGCTACACCATCGATGAGCATCGCACCCTCTATATGGCTCAGCTTGGCTTTGGCACCGCGTTTATGAGTGTGAGTTGTGTATGATATAGCCCGACGGTTTTCACTTGACCAAGTCACAAAAGCACGAATGGAGAGGAGATCCGGGGTTTCCGGAATGGCTCGTTGGTTCCTTGTCAATATCGGATTTACCCTGTCTCGTTCTTCGATGTTCTGGGGAATCATTACGTTCGAGCTGAACCCTAGGCCTCAAAAAAAGGAATATACCTGCCACTTCAAATGCAGAGTGCGACTTTATTGTTTCACTCTATTGGGTCTGACATCTTACCAGTTTTGCCGCGTTGGTCTTCCATTACGAGTACTCGCTATTGCTGTTACGGATAACAGATGATCCTCTAGTCTTTTCTCCTCTGATATTTTCTATATGCCGACTTTCACTTGTCAGATCACTCTGTTTTAATCTGCCCATCGTTATAACGCGACCCTGGGACTTTGGCCTCTCTGCAGACTGTCTGGTTGAAATGATAAGAGGCTGGATCTATTGATGCTAAACTATCTCCCCAGAGGACACCGTACCTTTTGACCATACAAATTGACGACTCACTACATACATTAGTTCTACCTACAGGGTATGTACCCACATGCATGCCACCTCGGTTTCACTTTTGACCCACTTAAGACACTTTTGCCTTGCTTTGTTCTGATTCCGTGATTCTCAAGTTATCCGTCAACGTGGCCATCCACGTAAGTGCGAAAGTACTTAAGCCTATAGCTCATGTTGTCTCCGGGGCTTATCCCAGACTGAAATCCCACTGGCTCCACCTCTGATGAACCATTCATAGTCGTGCATCTTACGAATCTGTTAGCCGCCGCTCGGCCCGCTGGACCCACCATCCTGATTGGAGCTTGGGGTGGAATTGCCCAGGCTCCGGCTTGTAAATTTGGGATTCATTGGTTTGGTTTCTAGTGTTGGAAGCTTATCCTGGGCATGTGAACCTGCTTTTAAGCTTATCTTTACTACTCTAACAACCACGAGACCCTACCTAGGCCCACGGGGTCAATAATTTCGGAGGAATGTTCTGACTTGGTTTCTGGGGGGGGGGCACTTGGGCAGCACATGGGTGGGCCTTTAGGGGTGTCAATTCGAATGTGAGCAAAAGAAGGGGGCAGGGGTGTTTGGGCGGGTAGAAAATCAAAGTTTAGAGCTTTACTAAGTAAAAGTGGCCAAGTGAAGAGCTCCGGGATTTGATCTTCAAAAGATATATCTTCATCGATCCAGCCCGAGCTTGTAACTTGCTTCGAGATTGAGTTGATCCATTCATCCCTTGCTACGGAGTACCTGTGCAGATCAATCTACAGGTCTTCCGGGGTTCCCGTGTTGTCTAGTGAAGCTCACCGTCTCATACCCTCGAGCCCAGGTGTTTGATCTACACCCTACCTTCCCGATCCTTTTCGTGATTTAACTCGTACTTCTCCGTGTGTGATGGCTTGTGCAGATGAAGATCGCAGGAGAATTAACCTTGATGCGGTCTATCGCACTATCAGCTATTATCTAGTGATTCATATCTTTCTAAAGTTCCGGCCTCCCACCGCCACTTGTGCGGTAACACACGAATTCTTGGCATGCATGCTGTGGAGGGATGTTCCATTTGGCAGACCTGGGGTCAATCTGTCGATCTCTAAGATCTCATTGGCGACATCGATACCTAAGGAATTGTATGTACCTCGTGGCTATCCAGTTCCACATGGGTCCCTCGTGATTTGATGGTCTTCACATGGTGGTGCCCAAGGCCCCCCGACAGGGTTGACCCTGTCTCCAGCAATCGGATCAAAGCTGCTATCTCTCGCTTCTTAGTTTCACAAATTCTAAGCTGCATGGCATTTTCGGACTGGGATCAACGAGGTCAAACCGTTGCTCGGTGTGTTCAGCCTCGATGACGTCTCCACTTGCTAGATCCGATGTGCAACTCATTTAATAACCGACAGTCTTCCGTGTGATTCCCTTCAACCCTAGAGATTAATCTTTGCCTGCATTATACTATGGACAACGAAAACGCACATGGCGGCATTCGAGCCGCCGAAGGATTCCACAGATACGATGGCGAGAAAGGCATGGATTGCCACGAGCCGTCGAACTTCCCCACCAAAGATGGATCTCCATCCTTAGGCTCTTTTGCGGAGATCGAGGAACAAAGAATCATTCGGGGGAATGAAAAATTTCACCGTCTGGGTTGGAAGCGTCTCACTGTAGTGCTTTTTGTCGAAGCCATTGCTCTTGGATGTCTCAGCTTTCCCAAGTCCTTCGCAACCCTCGGCATGGTTGGAGGAGTCGTCGCTTCCATTGGCATTGGAATTGTCGCAACTTATGCTAGCTACGAGGTTGGCGCCGTGAAAGTGAAATACCCCCATGTTGAGCACTACGGTGACATTGGGAGGCTCATGCTGGGCGAGTGGGGCTTTTGGATCATCACGGTGGTCCTCATCTTCTCCGTTACGTTGACAGTGGGATCTCACACTCTCACCGGTATCATTGCTTTGAAAAATATCACCCAAAGCGATATTTGTGCCGTTATATTCGGACTGGTTTCGACAATCATTCTCCTCTTGTTCGCCATCCCACCGAGCTTTGCAGACATAGCCATTTTGGGCTACGTTGATATTGTTTCTATTCTCACGGCTGTTGGAATCACAATCATTGCAACCGGCATTCATAGTTCTCAGGCTCAGGCGGGCACCGATCTACCACGGTCAGATTGGTCTGCCTGGCCCAAAGAAGATACCGATTTTGCTTCAGCAATGGTGGCAATCAACAACATTGTCTTCGCATACACATTTGCTCCTGCACTGCCATCATTTCTGAGCGAGATGCATACCCCAAAAGACTATGTCAAATCCGTGTATTCATTGGGGGCTATAGAAATCACCCTTTACACTCTTATCGGATCACTTGTCTATGTTTTCGTTGGACAAGACGTGCAATCTCCAGCCCTATTATCGGCCGGGCCTCTCGTGTCGAGAATCGCTTTCGGTGTCGCTCTTCCGGTTATTTTCATTTCGGGCTCTATCAATACCAGTGTGATCGCACGCTACATTCATGGATATGTATACCGCTACTCCGTTGTGCGATACGTGAACACAAAAATGGGTTGGATCACTTGGATCGCGCTCGTGTCGGTCGTGTCATTTTTGGCATGGATTATTGCCGAGGTCATTCCAGTGTTCTCGAGTATTCTGTCTATCAGCGGTGCATTGTTTAGCTCAGGCCTTTGTTTCTACGTTCCCGCGATCATATGGTTTGTTCTAATCCGAGAGGGCAAGTGGTATCATAATCTTCCCAGGGCCCTCTGCAATGGCTTTGTGTTTTTGTTTGGTCTGGGGGTTCTGGGATGCGGTATGTATGCCAACGTGATCATTCTGGTAAGGATTTTGAAACACTCGCAACTTGAGAACTGCCAAACCTCGCTAACCTTCGTGATCAGATGGAAGAGTCTCGTGAGGGCATTACCGGGAAACCTTTCTCTTGCTCTTCGTCCGAATGAAATTCCAGAACCTAGGGATACTGCCGGAAAGCAAGCTGTGATTTTTTTTAGCGCATGGGCATCTCTAGCATTGTTTAGTGAGCCAGTTTAAAACATTTGAAAACTTTAGAAATTTATATTCCGAGACAAAACATTACCAGTGGCTTGAAATGTTCCCTGAGACCCATAACTTGCTGTAAAGTGTTTCTATTTCTACATTCGTCAACACAAAATGTCTGTTGCCACGCCATTTTTAGGGCAAACCTTGGAACCGACAACCTACTGCTCAAGTGTCAATAAGTACAAAAAACCACCCAGGCTACTTTCCGTAGCGGTGTACTCCGTATCTTAACCTTGGAAATCCATAGATGCATCTAGCCATCTAAGGAAATTGCACGTTGCTGCAAGGGGCAAGGAAATACCAATTTCAGTAGGAAAATCAACAAGACTTCCCACTGAGACCTATTTATGGCCATAATAGTACTCCGTACCCCGTACTAAGCTTTGGCCAAAATCGAAGCCCCGCGAGCCTAGATAAGTGAACCGGACCTCACGGCCCCTGCGCTACCCAGGTGACTATATTAAAACATACGTAATCAGGCTGCCGGGCCAAGGAGACAATGACTCGAGGAAGAAAAAAGAACCACTAGTTTCTTTTGTCGCAATTAATTAGGATCCCTGCTTCACTGGCTTTGAATCTCACACGCATCACAATTCCTCATAATCCAACTGTAAGTACGGAGTATCAGGACTTCAGGAGTTCATTGTCGCGCTTTAGCTGGGTAACTTGTTTCGATCGCCAACGGTACTAACGGCTCTAACGGTCTTCAAATCTAACGGCTTAGTTTCCCTCCAGGGCTCCAAGGCTGACAATAGTGGCGCTGGGGCCAAAACCCCCTCTCCCCACCCAGCTGTACATATGTTTCACGCAAGTAGATTAGGATCTCCTCCCTCCCTTTCTTTTAATTTGCACTCGACTTCAAGAAGTCATTCAAGAACTACTGAAAAGCCTCCAATTTTGGAAGGCTAATTATACCAATCATGTCGTCAGAAACGCCCCAGTCCCTCAGCTACACCATGCACAACAACTCAGGCACAGAAACCATTATCCTAATTCATGGCGGTTTTAGCAGCAATAAAGAATGGGACCAGATACTTCCCGCCATATCTGAAAAATACCATATCTTGATCCCAGATCTCCCCGGCCACGGCGCCTCGTCACACGTACCCTTCAGCGTTGAGCAATCCGCCAAATTGATATTGGACTTGATAAGTTCACTCGCACACAATGGTCGCGCACACATAGTCGGCTTCAGTCTTGGTGCCCATGTTGCTGCCTGCGCCGCGGAAATCGCTGCCCCAGGCCAGGTTTCTTCACTTGTCGCTACGGGATACAATTCCTTTGCCACGCCAAAGATGCTCGTTCCCATTCTCGTCCCGATGGTCTATGTTCTTAGCCACTTTGTGATCGGCTTGACTGATCCACGGGCACAGTGGAATGCGTGGGTGACGGGCACTTGTTCATTTGCACTTGCGGGAGCTGTTGTGCGTACTTTGTGTGACGGCCGTGAGGTGGGGGAGATATCTACTAGATCCTTGATCATTGCTGCGACTGGTGGTGTACTTTTACCTAAGGATAAGGTTGATAGTGCAAGGGAGTTGTTTGAGGTTGTTGCTGGTGGAGCAAATGGGGGGAGTCGGGTGGTGCAGAACCGTGGCGTGAATCATCCATGGCATGTCAGTGATCCGAAGCTGTTCTCTGAGACCTTGCTGGCATGGATTGAAGGAAGAGAGTTGCCTAGTTCCTTTGAAGATGTTGAGAGTGTGAAGATTTAGGACTTGATCCCTCTCTGCTCGGAGATTTGGCGTTGTCGATTCTTGGAAATCACTGCTAGGAGAAATTTTCACTTCCAATCCTCTCTGCCCCGAGAAATATTTACGAAATGGTTTCGAGATGTATGATAGAATTCCGTTGTATCAATTTTCTGACAGAAACGTGGGGTATCAAATTGAGTGTGGCCTTCTTCGTTCTGAATTTAAGCGCATGATACTCCAGTTAAATTTGAGTAAGTTGCAATTCACCTCCCAGATCGGAGTAAAACGATCTCCGGACTATTATTGAAATCAAGAGAGGAAAGGAGTGGATTAAGTAAAGGTTGAAGATAAACATCAGGCCAAAACATCAGGCATATAGTCACGTGATAACTCAGCCATATCAGGCTAGCGCCAATTGATCGAAAAGCGCCGGAGTAACTGCAGGTTCCGCAACATCGAGATAGAACGTCGCTGTCAACCTCACAATGGGTCCACAAATCAAGATGTTTGCTGGACCGCTGTCTGCCTGCACACGGCCGACCCGTACGAACCATCGCTCTTCCAAATGCTTATGTCTGAATGCTTACAATGCGACACAGTTTCGGCACCGCTGGCAACATTTTCTCTATCACGATGCTTCTCCACAACCTCACCCTCCTTCGATTGGCTGAGACCGAAATTTCAAGAAAAGTCCAAGTCCCCTAAGGGTCGCCCTCACGTCGCCACGGGCGGATCCACACGAGGAACAACAGTCGTGTGGGGAGACTTCGGATTGCGTATGAAGGACCACGACCGCCGAATGCCTGCGTCTGCACTGAAGATCGCCGAAGAGACTATCAAGAGGCGACTACGAGGAATGAACTACAAGCTGTACAAGCGTGTCAGCGCCAACGTTGGTGTCTACACCAAGGGTAACGAGCAGCGTATGGGTAAGGGTAAGGGTAAGTTCGATTACTGGACTGTCCGATTGCCCGTGAGCCGAGTCGTCTTCGAGTTGAAGGGAGATGTGCACGAGAAGATTGCCCGCGAGGCTTTCAGATTGGCGGGTCACAAACTGCCAGGTATGTTACGCTGTATCTTCTTTCTACTTGGCACATGAATTTCAATGCTCATTGTTCCTCCCTAGGTCTCTGGGAATTCGTCAACAAGGACGACCCCCCTGTGGTTGGAATTACAAAGCTTGGAAACGGTGTTACCCTCGACACCCTCAAGCGCGCGCGCAGAAACCCACCCCTCGGTACCGATGATCTCGCTTCTCCCCCGAAGAGCGCCTCCTCCAGCTCTGACCCTACCCAATAAACTGCCATTCCTGCATGATACCGTCCGCCTTTGTTTTCCGGTCATGTCTCTTGCTCTCTTCGGTCGATCAACCCCCGACACCAGACCCAGGTCCATACCCCTGTTGTCTGCGGGCCTTGGCTGCTGCGTCGTCCTCAAGTATCTTATCTGTACATTATCATCAGCCGTTTGCGTCTCTTTAGAACCATCGAGGTATGGGTTTCTCCGATGGATACCTTGTTTTGGTACTTGGAGTTAGACAAGGAAATATATTCAGGATTTACCTTTACCGGACTCCGCCCCCATGCCAAGTTTTTGCGCTTGGGTGTATTCTTCATCTTTGGATGAGGGCGTATCCGTTCCAAGATTGGGACTAGCCTCGGTTGTAGTGTGTTCCTTGCCTCCTTTGAATGAGGTCAGTACTCATCAACCACTCACTCTCGGATCATTCGCTCGAGGGGGGTCTTACCGCCAAGCTGTCCGGTTTGCTTAGAAGGGCTTTCAGTGAACAAGCGGATTGACTCATATCTGTTTGAACCGTTAGTGAGTAACGGTTGATGTGGCACTGGCAGTCCATACTGTGTGCTTTCGCCGCCGGGTTCCATATCGACAAGTCTTGGGTCTGACATCTTCAAGGTTGATGGATTGAATATGTAAAGGTTCTGTTTTACTGTAAGAAAGGGGTATGTTTATATCGCAATGGACTGAATGAACAGGAAATGTTCGAACATGGGGTTCGATGACATGTATGACGTATATTGTACATGCGCAGGTGCCAGACAAGGTTCTTCCACTGATCTACATGCAGAGTACTTGACTACGGAGTACAAGTTTGAAACCAGCTTGCTTGATACTCCGTACTATTTCATCTGTCAATTTCGAAATTGCTATTCATGTTATGCAAATAAAAACAGGGGGAAAATGTTGAGAAAAAGAGTCAATTCAAGTGATCTATGCGAAATATTTTAGCATGAAATAGTAGATAAAACGCCACCCTGAGCAATAGCTCAATGCGCCCGTGAAGGTATGGAAATAAGCGGATGATCAGGGGCATTCAGCAAGCCAATGCTTAGTGGTCGAGGCCACGCCTGTATGGCTTGCTTGCCGGGGACTACCTGGTGTACAAAATCGTTATTCATCGATTGGTCCTTTTTGATAGCTTAGAAGTCCATGCCCATGAGGTAACTGAGGCTGTTAGTTGATTTGGCAGAGAATTTAGTCCAATGCGAACATACCTTTCGTAGATGCGCATGAATTTGGCCACGAAGGCTTCGAGGTGGAAGATGACTTTCTGTTGTGGCATGCATATTAGCACAACTCAGTTTACGCAAACCACGTATGCACTTACACTTCCCAGCTTGATACGGTGCTCATAGAATGCAGACCATTTGATCACATCGGACTTCAGCGCATCGTCAACTCGTGCGACAAGCTTGAATGTCAAAGTCTAATTCGAACGGTTAATATTGCACAGGCAAGAACAAGCAATTCATACATACCTTTAGAATAGTGGTTGGTGGGATACAATGTGTCAAGAGGTCATAAAGGCGAGCGCGAACTTGCAACAGACGAGCCGGTGACCGTTCGGCCAATATCTCATCTGCCGTCAAGGTCACAAGGGCCTCCCAGTCCGGCGGAGGGATCGGAGTCTTGTCCGTGACCTTTTCACTGTAGTTCCAAATGCGTTAGTCTCCGTATTCGACAAAAAGAACAACGATGACTTACTTTTGCGCATAAATTGACTCGAACATGAGAAGTGCACGACGCAGATTCCGCCCACTCTCCTTTGCAATTCTCTGATTAAGCACCTCCGACTCTGTCCAACCTTCTTTTTTCCCCGCTACACTGAGCGCAGAGCAAATGTCGACCTCAGTAGGCGCTGCGACCCTGACCAGCAGACATCGAGAACGAATAGGTGCAATGATGTTCGAGGTACTGTTGGCCAAGAGGATCAATCGCAGGTTGGGGCTGTATTTTTCCATGGTACGTCTGAGAGCAGCTTGAGCATCGCGCGTCAGGTGGTCGGCTTCGTTGATAACCACGACTTTGAAGCGCTGCTTCGCGCCCATGTCCACTTGCTGTGTCTGTGCAACCTCTTTAAGCAATTCCTGAACAACGACTCGGTCGTAATTTCCGACATCTGCGGGGGTAATCTCCATATGATAGACAGACGAGACAATGTTGAATTCTAACTTCCGATTGCTTGTCGTTTGGAAGACTCTGGCATCGATCTTGATCTTCTCGACACCAGGGCCGTACAACTCCTTCAGCGTTGCAATTATCCGTGTCTTCTTTCCAGCGCCCGAGGGCCCGTAGACTAATAGATGGGGGAAGTCTCCGCTTTGCGCCTGTCAAATTCCTTTGTCAGAGCTTTCCATGAAGCGAGATGAACGTGCTTACCAACGAGCGCAGTCGATCAGAGAGCTCAGGGTGATATGAGAGTGCATCAAGGGTGCGTGGTCTCAGCTTGTCAACAAGGAGAGCCATTTTGGAATGTCTGGTGGCCTAAAAACAATGCAGAGTACGTAGTACTCAATGGTGGATTTGAATGGAGGATGCAGACTGGAGATGGCAACGCGTGAACGCGTCCCGGCAGACAATTAATGCCTGGTCCGTGCACCCGCATTACAGGGTGCGGCAGCGGTCTTTAACTAGCGAGTATAGAGAGAACAAGACTCCGGTTTTTACTAATGCAGCAAACATAGTAATATAAACAGCTAGTATTGTTGAGGCATCTGAGAGCCTTTCACCAAACTCCAATATGTATTGTACATGTAAAATTTGCTAATGAGATGAGATAGATGCGCATTTTCAGACACAATGATGATGACCTCGACCATTGCTGGAGTGTCTGATTTAGTGCAAACTTCAACAGAGGGCCGAGTCATAATGTACAATGCTCTTGAGCCAGCCTATTTACGACGCAATGGGCTTCAAAACGCCATTGTCATCATATTTCGCTTCTGCAGTGGGTCAGTCTCGGCTCAGAGCAAAGTCAGGCAAATTTGAAACTTACTGAAGAAGGTATATGACAGGGTAATGGTATCAATACCTTGCATATTGGGATCCGTAGCAAAGTCCGGATCAATGAAGAAGAATACAGGCATATCCACCGACTCTCCAGCATTAAGCTTCTGTTCCTCAAAGCAGAAGCATTGAATCTTGCTAAAGTACGGCGCAACCTGACCAGGCGTGACACTGTACGTTGCGACTCCAATGATATCACTCGGGCCCTTATTTGTTGCTGTGTAGAAGGCCAAAGCGGTCTCACCGGGTAGCACCCGGACTTCACGCTGCTGGGGAGTGAATTTCCAGGGCATCACATCTGACACTGATCCGTTGAATGTAATGCGAAGACGGCGAGAGTCGGTCACTGGCGTCACGCGCGAGGAAGTATCCCCGTCACCACCGCGGTGAGTAAGGATGGGTTGACCACCCCAGCCAGTCTGCGCACAGATCTGTGGTTGAACATGATAAGCTTCTGACTACACCAGAGCAGTTGTCCCAGCCTCGGGAGAGAGCTTGGCTTACCATTTTGTAGAGAGGGACGGATCCATATGCGAGAGCAGTTGTGCCGAGAATGAGACTGATGGCATAGAGCCTGGCAGAGAATGTTGATGAGCATGTATTTCCTTCATAGAGTCAATTGATAACTCACGCTGTAGAGACATTGCGCTTTTTAGATTGGGGGGTTCTGAATGGTGCCGCAGATGGCCGGCTTTGTTCCTGCAACTGGAAGCTCCTCGAAAAGTACCTCCGCTCAACCTGGAACACACTCTTGTGAACAAATTTGGATTGTTGTGGGATGTTCCATTTTGTCGCCGAGCACCCCAATGAGGGGAATAACCGTGAGAACATTGTTATATGGATTTAATGGGATTGGATGTTGAGTCTTGAAATGACCGGGATCCGCAACACGTGATAGTCCTTATCGATAAGATCCAAGCACCAGTCACGTTACTCCCCACGGCAAGCAATATTTTTGGACATTGAGGCTGATTCTTCTTGGTTTTCACCTTTTTGAGTTAGTTTGACAGTCGTTGTCGTCACTTCGTGTATCATGAAGATGGATTCACCTTCCTCGTGAGAAGGAAGACAACCAGGTCCACAGAATCAACCCTATGAAGCATAGATGCGGAGACTCAAGACGCATTGAGTGTACTCCAATTTCGTACTTAGCCCATATTGAGCGTTAGGAGACATGTCGTGTAAACGCATGTAGCTATCCAAAAAGGGATTCCTGGTGCAAAAATGAACGAGATAATACAATACAGTAGCATCCAGACAAACGTCCCGGAGCCTAAGATAACCTAACAAATACAACCGCTTGTTTGTTCAAAAGTCCAACCGGTTTACCCCCAAAGTCTAATTCAGCACATTCGATGTGATGCGACCAAAAACACCTCGCACCATCCTGGGTCTCTCGCGAAGGCAGGTGACAAGAATAGCAGCGCTAAGAGCAAATGCAACACGTTCTCGGTATTGATACTAAATAAACGTCAGCAGGTTCACACTTCACGGTTGTCTTGAAACTCATCACAGGCCAATTAAGGAACCCCGAGGAGAGGACGGATGGGAAGGGGGTGTAACCCTGTTGTGGACAGAGGATGCGAGGGTCCGATGCATACCTTTTTATCATACAACCGTGGCAAAACCGTGGCAACAGCCCGGGGTGCCACGAATAGCGCCAACTCTTGCCTTTTCCGCGCCTTTTCGGCCAATACACTCCAACCACACAAGAAACAGCCCATACTGACGCAGAGTCCCGAGTCCCACATCGTCGGAGTAACCGTCTTCGGGTCAAATATCCTGGGGCCGAGTCGAGTTCGAGCAAGACATACACCATAGTAGAACAGGCTAACGAATGACGAGAGGAAGGCAGATGACCGTGCTGCATCTGCGAGAGCCCGGCGGAGGGCTGTTGCGGATTTCATGCCCCTCAGGCGGAAGATTATCTGAAGGGGAATATATGTCGCACAGGCAAACTTGAAGGTTTTGGCAAATCGATACAACGCATGTTTCTCACAGCTGGGTCCACAGCCCATATGTACCATTTCGCAGGGAATCTGGCGAATCTTTGCCGGGTCTCCCCACTCAATTGGCCAGTGATAATCTTTGCACATTGATTGAAGAAGAGGTGCCTGGCCTGTATCTTTCCCGTATACAAAAATGCCCCGCCGGACACGACGTAAAGCTTCAATGAGACGCGAGTCGACCTGCGCAGCTTGTCCAATCCATTTCTCGTATGCCTTGGGAAGCCGTTCGGGAAGATAGAACCACGCCCACATGACAAGAGCGGAGCTCATGGCAAAAACGCTCGCATCTGCTGCGCCAGGGACGAGTGATTCAGTAGAAATCCAACGATTTTGGGCGCGACGCCGACGGGTCCAACGGTTCCATGCGACACACGCTATCACGTCTATCGCCCTTGTGACCATGTAAATGGTTAGGTCCATTGTCCTTCCCGCCAACTCAGGACGCTGACGCTCCAGCTGGTTGACCGGTACCTCGCCAGGGTCTTTCCCCTGATCTGCAGAGTCCCGAGTGGCTTCATCTTCTAACGGTAGACGAATCCGGTTCTTGTTAAGAAGGTGGAAACTAAACCACCCCGAAACAAAAGTAATCAAAAATCGAACCAAGCGGTCCAGCCCTTGCGAGATCCGAAACTCGCTCTTACAGAGTCCGGTCGTGACCAAAGCACAAAGTCGATACAATCCTAGTGGCAGTAGGGTTGAACCGCCGACCAATACAGCACACGAGGTTGGGAAACTGTTAGCACGTAGAGGTCCAGTCAATACTTTGACGAGCTATTCAATCATATCCAAGTAAGCCACGGCACCGAATGAATGAAGGAAGGGTCATGACCCAAGTAGACACTTAAGTTCGAGATGCAATTGAAATCGCGTACCTCTTGTAATTTTTGTTGCGTCGTCCAGTCTTTGGTACGTAGTCGGCGCGCATAAGATGCCAGTTTTGGAGTCACCGAAGAAAGGTACCCGAGGGCATAGGCACGCAGAAGGCTACAGTCACAATCAGCAAGGGCGTAGATCACACGGTTGTACCAAGCCACAAGGGTACCAGATCTCACTCACGGGTTGATTACCCGGACGTTGTGCCTTTCATGGCGTCTCCGGGGGGCGAGTTCCATGTTGCCGGAAACTCTCATGTCATGGTCCGTCGGGAGGTGTCAACATCACAAATTTTCCCCGAACTCATCAGTTGAACTCTGCTGGGATTCACAGAAAAACCCCCTTTCGCCAATCAAGGCAAATCGACCGAGAGTCCGACTGATAATATCCGCGACTTAGAATTGCACCTCCCGAAAATTGGGTAGTATTTCAAGGGAGATTGACACCTGCACGATCGTTTTTTTGTTTTGTTTTGGAGGGGGGGATGATCAGCCGTGGATCCTGTGCAACGGTCTGAGATGTTAGAGGCTGTAGATGGACCTCGGTTCCTGGGTAGTTTCAGATTCCGATATACAGAACCCCCGCAGAAATTCCAAACCAGGGGGTCTTTTGAAGACAGACGATCATCCGAGCTGGGTTCGGAGAATGATAGTCGGTATAGCGGGGGCCCTCTGAGGAAGGCCCACGGGCGGTTTAATGAGATGTCCAATGAGCGGTGACCGCAGAGCCCGAAATAATGAATTGCACTGACCCAAAATATGGATTTACGGCCAATGCTGAGATTTCAAGGTCAGAGAGCAATGTGATGCACTTAGAACGAAGCCGTGTACATGAAATGCACGAGCGACGTGGGAATCTACCCGCGGAATACCTTCAAGGTACCTGCAAAGTGGTCTCGTGGCAGGGCCTCGGAGATGTTCCCCGGATGTCCTACAGCTCTCCCCAGGAACGCACTAAATACCCAGCCAGCCACAGCGGAGCGCTTGTAATTTCCGTAATTTTGGTAAGGTCCCGTCACGCGCAAATTTGCATGTGATGCGCCTCGACGGCCGAATGAGCCTGGGAGCAACTTTGATGTCATGACCCTCTTCTAGATATCTCTTTGCTTTCGTCTCTCTTCCTTCTGCCATTCTTTCCCACCTGCTCTCTGCCTTCTGCTGGTCGCATCTCACCGTGTGATACGTATTTCTAGAGCCGCATCGTCAAATCTGACTACTGTGGCCTTGATCTACTTCCCCCCCGCGTCCCTCGTTTGTGGAGTCGAACCTTCTTTGCCAACTCTATCACAGACCAAAGTCTCTCCAGGTGTCTGAGGCATGACAGATTAGTCTCGGTCTGCGCTATATTTGAAGTCAGAGCAGCACCATCGCGTTGACCGAGACTCCCGCATAAAAACCATTGATATTCAAGTAATACCCACCATGAATGGGCATGGGACCGAGGTTCAACCCGGACGTCCGTCTTCCCCGTCTGGTCCTTTTGGCTGTAAGCTCTTCTGCATCGCAACTCTCCCAAATCACACTTTTGACTCCGGATACAGACTCCTTTCTCTCCCACATGGACACCCCCTTTGAGCAGGCGCCTGCTCTTCCCCCAGGACCATCTCTCCTTGACGATAACGAATCCAACATGCTCGATAATTTTTTCAGTACCATGAATGCGAATCAATTTACGAACGACTTTTGGATGCGCCAAGAACATAAGACTGGGACCCCAAATTTCGAATGGTCAGCTGAGCTGCCACCAAACTTTGAAGGCTCAACTACGTCTCTATCACAACCGACCTTTCAGCAACATGGACTTGGCAAAGTCGGAGGAGGGCTGATGGCAGGAAATCCCGCAGGCTCGGATATTTTCGCTGCAGCATCTATGCTCTACCAGGGTGATCTTAACGGATCAGAATTGGGGTCCACGTTGTCACACCAAGCTTTCGGTGGTCATTCGCTCCCTCAGAATAGAACGCAACCCCGAAATCACTCACACACCGGCATAGCCGTTCAGGGTCCAGCCCCACCTGGGCCTCGAACCGACGTACCTACCGGATATCATACCTCGGAGATGTTCTTTGACGTCCGCGACCCTATTCCCGCGGACCAGCATCCCTCGCGGAAGGCCCGAAGTCTCCGTTGGGGGTCAGATGCCAGTTTTATGGATCAAGGGTATCTTCGTCCACCTGATCAACCCGATGAGGAGCAGCGGACCAATGATTTGCTCGATCATCTTGGGTGTTTTGAAACACAGAACAGTGCATCTAATACACGGCCACCGAGTCCGGATCGGATAGTAGGGAACCCTGCCCGCCAGCCTTCCTTCCGTAGTGCCGTCCCGGAGGAGACTATCCCCCCACCTCGAAAGCGATCCAGAGTCGTTAAGGAGGAAGAGAACTACTCAGACGAAGATGGTGGCGGACTCCAGTCCAGAAAGTCGAGAGGTTCGATCAGCAAAATCCGACGCGTCTCGGCAGATTTGTCCAAAAAACCACGACTGCAATCAGGGTCAAAGACCGCACGCGAGAATCTTACCGAAGAGCAAAAGAGAACCAACCACATCCTTTCTGAGCAAAAACGCCGAAATCTGATCCGTCAAGGGTTTGAGGATTTGTGCATCCTCGTCCCTGGACTCAGAGGCGGTGGATTCAGCAAAAGCGCCATGCTCACCGGAGCCGCCGATTGGCTTGAAGACCTGCTCCGGGGTAATGAAATACTCCAAAGGCAACTGCATGACCTAAAGAGCATCAACGGCCTGGTCATGCCGCGATGATAACCTTAAAATGTTGTTCTTATTTCACGGTCGCTCCCTTAATTTATGATCTCACGGATGTCCCTGCCTCAGTGCTTTGCGAGGATTCAAGCTTTCAGCGGGCTGATCCTCTTCGTGTTGAACAACCCGATAATTCGATCTGCCATAACGAGTCTCGGATGACACGACACTATGTTCCTGGCCCATTATTTGGGGCCCTCTTCTTCTTGTTTGTATTCATTTACTCGCCGTGGTGATACCCGTCACCCTTCGGCTGGTCCTCGGCATATATCGATACCCTAGTGCATAATTCAAAAGGAATTTACTTACAGAACTTATTTTGGAATTCTTGCAATGGTTTTACCCAGAAATGTCGAATTATGGTTGTGACAATCTATAGGGATGAGCATACTCCGTAGAGTCAGCGGTAGATAAGACAGACGTTGACGACCCACATGTATACATGATCACCAAGCGCCTGTAGGTGAGGGTGGCATACATATACCCAAGAGCCAATAGCACAGCTCCTCATTCGTATGTAACAAGATGTAACAGATCGTATGGAGGCCAAGGAACTTCCAAGACATGGGGAATGGGCCATCCCCCCACCGCTCTGTTTTTGCCATGTGAAAGAGACGCGTCTCCAACTTTAAATCCAAGTACATCCATCCACCTACGCCATGCCAAAGCGAAAGCATGAAGATGCCCCAGAGGGCTATGCCTACCTCAAACCCCAAGTTCGCCGTGTTCCAGAAAAGACCATTAAGTCAAAATGGGCGCCATTGCCCGAGCCAGTCCAGGAAAAGGTCCGCGACATGTTCCATTCCCTCGAGCGACCGGTGATCATGCGGAATCAGAACGAACGAAAGCGTATCGAAGCACAGGGCGCTGTTCAAGCGGTGGTACGAAAGTAAGCATACGCTCTGGTCGGCGCAAATTGCTGCTCAAAAGATCAAAGATCGCTGACCCTGGTGTTCAGTCTTAACAAACGCCTCCCGCGGATGCCCTTCCCACCCATTACAAAAGACTCTAATTTCGACTATGAATCTGCCTTGAATGAGCATGTATGTGCTCTATTACAATCGGGATAAGAGGCTGGTGCTGATTTCTATAGCGCTTGCTTGAAGCCAGCCTGGCTACGATGAATGACAGTGTCGATCTACTCAAAGCGGAAATTGCCAAAGAAGAAGCACTACTTGCCAGTGAAACCAAATCCCTCCAGGATATGGACAAAAATGCCAAGCGCGCCGAAGCCGAAAGAAAAAGGCAGACCAAAAACGTATGTGACGGAATCACGAAGATGAATCTGTACGCTAATGGTCATCCCAAGGAACACCCAGTGCTTCGGCAACTTGATGCACTACCTCAGATAGAGAGCTCTGTGTCGTCCGAGCTCAGGCTTCTGGGCACAAAACAGAGCCAACCTACATTGGACGAGGTGAGTGCGGTGGTTTGATCCATTTGCTTTTTAGTATATCTGACCGTGCCCCATCGTTTAGTTGGACGATGATCCCGAGGCCCTAGGACTGATGAAACAGTTGAATGGCCATTTGCAATCTATGCAAAGCAATACCGCACCTTTTTCCGACCTCGGCGATGCCATCACCCGCTCCCAAGCTGCGTTGGATACGTATTCCATGCCTAACGATTGATCCCTCTGTGAGAAGCAATTTCTTGACTAAAAAAATCATGACAAGACTCCGAGGCTTGTCAACATGTGTGAACCCTCCCGAGGTCATATCAGAGCATGCGCGCTTACTGAAGCAGCACCACAAGTTCCGCGTCCGAGGATCAAGAGCCGGACAACCCTTGTTGCGAGTTCAGATGCCAATGCGACCAGCTACATACAGCGATACCATGCAATTTTCTTTTTCTCTAGTTGTCATGGTCTTCCTGTCATGCTTTCTCCAACAGGTGGGGCCTCGGGTTGTCTAGCGGATTATCCTTGAATTAAAGCCCCCATATTAGACTGGGTGTGCATGATCGACCTGCATTACACATTACCTGGTCCAGTACGGAGTACGGAGCATTGCTCCTTACTACCCCTGCGTTAATATAGCCTAGCTGTGTCCATAAATGCCATTGAATCTGGTACTATGTGTGGAATACAATGAGTATATTATATTCATTCTTTCCTCTGATTGTAAGACCAAGAAATATAATGTAATGCCAGCCGAGGTCTCGCCCCCAAAAGTGGCGGGAGAACGAAATGCGGAGCAGGTCGGAGGGGTGTGACTCCGCTTTCTCCATCCCCAAGAACTTTTTGACGTTTCCCTTCTCCAAACCACTGGACTGCAGGCAGCCATTTTACTCCGGCCCTGGTGGTTTTCTATAAACTCTTGCGCCATGACCGAAAAGAATGCGCTAGGCGCAGCCTCTAATGCGAAGGCGAGGTCCGATGCAGGGAAGGATACCAGCGTCAAGGACTCACACATATCTGCGGCCAAGGCCGAAACGACCGGCTCGGGGAGTCATTCCAGTCCCAAAAAGCGCCGCAAGGTGAATCACGGTAAGGTGCCGTTGCGCAACATGCAACAGGGATCTGGGCGTGGCCGATCCGGTTGCGCATATTGCGATAAGAACCTCTTTGCTAACGAGCGGTTTCTGCATGTTCAGCATGTGTTTATTGTCGCCGTTCGGTAAGTGAAAGTCTTGATGATCATGCAACCTGTATCGGTTCTCGGTGTTCAACTATGGCAGCGGCGCATTGCCCTTTTTTCAAGAAGCTTTGCTAACGGGATCGCCTCGCGTGGGACAGCATATGACTTGCGACTCGGTACGACACCTCTACCTCCCCTTTCCCTTCGCGACCCTACACATTTGAAATCTCGGTCATGGACTCGTGGGAAATCGTTCATATCAGCTGACTCTAGTTCATGAAGGAACGACCCTGTACTCGGTGTATAAAACGTAACATCGGTCACTTGTGCCATGACGAACCAAGAGAGGCTGCGAAGCGGGTCCGTGGCGAAAACGAGCATTCAACTGCAGACGAAGAAGGATCGTCGAACAATGAACTGGGCAACGTCCAAGGCATGCCCAAGAGTGTTGATGTTGATGCCAGTGGCCAGCAACAATTTTCTGAAAACACCATTGGGATCGCACCCTCCGCTGTGAACTCGGGCTCTGTTCCTCCGGCAAATTTGAGCGCATCTGGTCAAGGTCTCGAGGGCAACAACGGTAAGTCGAAAGCAGTTAACCCCCTCAATCTCTGGGCTTTGCTGATGTCCTATGGCAGTCCTACAATTTAACGATTGGATAGGTGGCCAGAATCAATTCCAAGACATGCATTCTCTCCATCCGTCATACATGTTCAACGCGCATGAGGTCACCAACGAGTACAATCTACTTGGGGATTTTCTCAGCAATAGTTTGTTGGATGATGGAGCTATTTACCCAAACCAGGAAATGCCAGGTGTATACTCCGATCCGTCATTGATGGGCTCAATGAACGGCATGGGAATGCCGAATGGTTTGCCACCACCAGCAACGCTTCCACCCCCGGCTCAGGCGCCGCCGGGGGACTCCATGCAACAGCCCTCAATAGTAGGCAATGACAAGGCCCGGGAAACCTATTACATGACTGCCGCCGATCCAGCAGGAACCGATCCACCCGAAGAGCGGATGAACAAGCTTCTCAGGGCGAAATACGATGCCGGTTTACTGAAACCATTCAACTACGTCAAGGGATACGCAAGATTGAATCAGTATATGGAGAAAAACATGCAGCAAATATCTCGGCAAAAGATTTTACGGCAACTTGACAAATTCCGACCCAAATTCCGAGAACGTATGCAAAGCCTCACTGATATCGAGCTCATTTTGGTGGAAATGTGGTTTGAGCGGAGTCTGATGGAATACGACCGTGTCTTCGCTAGTATGGCCATCCCAGCCTGCTGCTGGCGCCGTACTGGCGAGATATTCCGGGGAAATAATGAGATGGCGCAGCTCATTGACGTCCCAGTAGAGGGTCTGCGGGATGTAAGTTTCATCGGTTCAGGTGAATCTCGATGTCGTTGGACTAACAATTTCATATAGGGCAAGCTCGCGATCCATGAGATTATCGTCGAGGACCAGCTTGTGAGCTATTGGGAGAAATTTGGCGCTATTGCTTTCGACAATACCCAAAAAGCAATGCTCACAAGCTGTACTCTGAAGAGCCCCAATCCCAATTCGACCAGTGATGGAATTACCTGTTGCTTTTCATTCACCATCAGGCGGGATACTCACAATATGTAAGTCTTTACCTGTCTGTATCTAACAGCCACCCGATGACACAAACTGACAAGCGACAGTCCATCACTCATTGTCGGCAACTTCCTTCCCATTGATAAATAGTCCAAGATAGTAGAATTCGGGCTTCAAGGCAAACTAAAAATTTCTATGCGCATTTTGGTCCTAATCTTGTCGAGAGGCTTTGGGGGTGAGGTTGTGCTTGCAGTTTTTAGTGATAATCGCACCTCCCCCTTGCTCCGCTCCTGTATACTCCGTAATGAGATTCAGGTTACTCCGTACTTGGGAATGTATCATCACTTCCAGGGTTGTCTGTCTCATTGCCCGCAATACTACCTAGTCAGCTTTAAATCAACACAAATCCACAACTCTCCGCTCCTCGTTACCAAGCCTTTCTCGAAACGCTTTACACCGCAGACTCCCTGAAAACTCGTTCATCTCATGTCCGCATCACAAAGCAACAGATGCACCGAGTCCATAATCTCCGAGTTCCTACTCCAAGAACTCTTTCCGTAACTCCAATTCCATAACAAGTGCCTCGCCCGCCTCGCCCGGAACAAGCCGAGCAAGTTCAATAGACTTTTGTGCCCAGCGGAAGCATACACCACCGTCACCACTGGCGTAGAAATCAGCAGCTTTGTTAAATGTCAAACGTGCAATTTGTTCCAACTCTAGAGCTGGGAAGGGATTCTTTCCGCCAATGACGTAGAGCTCCATGTCGGCTTGGTAAATTTCGAAATTGCCGTCATTATTATCTTCTTTGCTCGCCTCAAGTTTTGCCAGTGTGTAAATCTGCTCGAGCAATTCCTCAGCTAGCACAAAGTCGACCATCGCAAGACCATCTGACAGTCCCATATTGGCGAGATCGGACGATGTGGCAATCGAGAACAGGCAATAAAAGTAGCGTGGCATCTTGGGAAGGTAAAAGATGGCGTCCGGCGAGCCCTGCGTCACCAACTCGAAGATGCTGTTGACGATTTGCTAATCGCAAGAATTAGCTTTCATTATTCAAGGATGCAGCTGAGTTCTTGGGGGGTTTACCTTCATGACCGCGACTTGGACTGCAGCCGGAGTGCCAATTTGGAGAGCCAAATCAAGCATCTGAGGATAGAACCGAGCCTTGGGGAACCTTTCGGGGTCGCGGCAGATTTCGAGCAATTCATTCCAGAGGCCGAGCTGGATCGTAGCCTCAAAATCAAAGAATTCTCCTACGAGAAATTGCTCTCGTTCAATGGCGGCCAAGACCTCGTTCGAATTCTCTTGTCCGTCTTCCCAACCAACCAAACCACGCAGAGTCCGGAAGGCCGCGCGCAGGCTCGAATAGTAATCTTTCTGTCGATCGTTAGTATCGTCTTTACGTGAAGAAAGAACCAAGAAATCTCCATCGCAGATGATGATTATCATTATACCAGGACGGACAACTGACCTTCTCTTCCTGCTCACTAGACCTGCGAGCTCCATCGGCATAAGTGATGATACGGACGAAGTTTATCAAGAAGAAATGCGGTCGAGGTGCTTTGGCTCTGCCTTCAATTCCTGCAATTCGACGATAAAGAAGCGTGAACTATTGTAAGGTTAAACATGAATACTTGGAGAAGGAGTAATACAAACCTCATGGGAGTATCTCAAAGCCTGCAGAGTTGCTTCAACGTTTTGATAATGTGCAAGTTGTACGCCCATACGATAGCTTGCTTGATAAAACCACTGCAGCTGGGTGACTGAGATCTCACAATCTCCACTTTCATGGCAGCTGTGCTCTTTGGCGTATTGTAGGGCTATAAAAGGGATCAGAATATGTGCTATGGGGTCATAGGAAAAACGTACCATTTGCCAACACTTCATTGGCGAGGAGAGTATAGAACTCATTAGTTTGGTACTTCGCCAATTCTTTTGAAACTAGGCAGATTAGGAACCTTTGAATGGCATTTAAGTCAGCCTTCTTTTTCTCCGCCTCTCACAGTACACACAGTTTCACACTCACATATGATGCTCGGCGGGGGAGAAATCCACATGAGGAATGTCTCCCGAATTTGAGCACTCAATCAACTGTCCCAGGCAGTCAATCAACTCGTTCGGTTTGTTTTGTAGCTGAGCTTCAATGGCACACGAAAGGAGACACGTCTGCTTTTGTAAGACCGTGGGTTCATCCGGGAACCCGAAACGAAAGAACCCTTGAAAATAGTCAGAAAGATACACAATGTGTGAATATTTTCAAGCATACCTGAAAGGTCATTTCCCTCCAGCATGGCCAATCTGTAATCCAGGTACACTTTCTTGCAGTCAAACTGACCTTGGGTCAGTCCGTACTTCATTATATCCCGAGCGGACGTAATGTTTCCAATCTGCATATAGCACGCCACCAACTTTCTAGTGAAGGGTCAGTCTCAGCATAGAATATGAAGGCAACATTTGTGTTTCACTCGCCTCGAGATATGATACTGAGTGCCTTGAGTGCAGTTCGCGGCAATCTTGGGATCTTTGCAAATGAGAAGCCAACCAACAGCAACATTGAATTCACCCTCCTCGATTGCAAGACCGATCAATTTCCAAAGGCACTATGAGTAATGTTAGCTTCACCATCTCATTTATAGATGAGCCATGTTTGCCCTACAACAACAGCAGCATGAGCAGTGTTTGGGCCGAATGATGGGTAGCCACGGTGGTCCAGTGCTTTAATCACAGATTCTGTCACCTGAATCCAGCTTGGATCCCGATTAGAACACCGCGACATCATTAACAGGTATGCAAGAAAGCATTTGTCCGTCCACTCCCTAGGAAGGGGAACCAAAAGCAGGGAACTTAACGCCCCTACCGCAGCAGCTCGACTGAATAGAACTTAGTCGGCGACTGAGCAAAACAAATGATGAGTCAATACACACCTTTTCACTTCTAAAAAATGGATAAATTGGAAGAGCCTAATCTCGTCATTAGATGTAACTGAAGCAAAGCTGTTTGATTCACCCACGTTATCATGTTGAGTTTCGTAATGCGATTTTGCGAGACAACCATTTGGAACGCTGGAGAACACAGTTAGCGACTTATCATATGGGTAGCAGAGGGTGTCAGTATACTATTAACGAGGCTTTGGTTAGTTGCCGCGGTGTTCATAGTCGCATGAAGAAGAACCACGGCCGGATGTTGTGGGTACTCCTAAATAGGTCAGATTCCATTCATGATGGTCTTCAGGTGGAAGACAAACCGCTTTCATGTTCTCCAGCACGGATTTCAAGACGGAAGAAGACTCTGCTGTGAGATTCGGCAAACATGCCACGCCTATCGAATACAAGGTTAGATAAACGAGTGCGCCAGTACAGACCCTCACTTACTCAAAGAGTGCGCGATGACCAGATCCCAGGTTTTAAAAGCCGCAAAATTTTGCCCAGTGGCAGTTTGCAACTCCAGTAGTGCCTCATGTGCCACCTGGAGCCAGTGTATTGCGACAGGAGGAGAAGTGAGGAGAGCGTAGTCACCGACAAAGAAGGAGGCCTCAAGAACAGACTCCCGGTCTCCGATGAGAAATGGGGTAGGCACTTTAGACCAAAGGTGCTCTGCAATGTCGAAGCGTTGCTCTTGCGCGGCCTTAAAAAAAAAAACAGTCTGTCAGTGATGGGGAGCATCATCCCGATAGGAAAATCATACCAAGCGAACTCGAAGCAGCCAATATTTAGTAGTGAGGCTGTAATTCAGAGTGACATCGAGCCCAAGGTTAGATGGTTGAACAGCTTTGAGCCGTGCGGCAGAGACCGTCAAGATCTTGTAAGCGACATTGAGTTGTCGGGTTGCTAATCAAGCCGTTAGAGAAATCCTCTTACCCTCACAGGCAAAGAGATGAGTCCTATATCGTACCGATGCAGGTCTGTGCAGCAATGAGAGAGCAGGCCAAAGACCTGAGCCAACCAAGCATCTTCGCTGGCGCAGCGACATTGACGAGTCCAAACGCGAGAGCTCGAGCCTTCCCAATTGTACACAAGTCATCACTGAATTGACCGCGGGCCACTATGAGCTGAGAGCAAGTATTCCATAGCGATGTGCCAATGGCATCCAGTCTTTTCAAGTCTGCATCGTCTCCCGCCGGTGTGTTGAGTACAATGAGTAGATCGCCATTGAGTTGGTCGTCAAGTTGGGAAATGATATCAGGAGATAGAACGGGTTGACCCAAGGTGACGGTTGATAGATTTGTCTGCACAAGACAAGCAAAATCTATCCCAAGGTCAATGCGTGTTCTGGTCGGGAATATTGATAGGACATACCGGTCAAAGAGATGTAATCATCCAAGGAACGAGGAACGAGAGCCATCATGAAGATTGCTCAAAGTCAAAACAATGACACGGAGAGAGAAAGAGAAGGAGGAGGGGGAGAAAGAGAAGGAAGAGAGAGGAAGGGAAGAGAGAGGGAGAGATATGAAGACAAACATGTACTTCCTACACGTCGGAAGCAGAGTGTCAACACAGACTCTACCTGGATACTTGGGTACTTTCCCATACTTCAATCTTCCAGGAAAAAGTGTTCCATCTTTTCATTCTTTCACTCTCTATGCCCTACACATGAGAGAACTTGAAGTATCTAATGCACTCCGTAAGACGTAGTGCATTTCACTTTCCAATTTAAACTGAGAGCCGTACAATTAGTGGCAGAGAGAGTGATGGAGAAAGCGACCAACTTAAAAAAAGAACATAAAAATATGTTCATATGGGTCGTGGAAATATATAAGTACACCTACATGCCCTTTGAAGCAGGAGATTCCAAGGTTGTCAACAATAAGTGATGGGCTATCAATGTTAAGCTGTGCGTGGGGACAAGGGCCAGTGCAGAGGATTCACAGCGGGCAAACGACTTTGAGAAGAGGAATTTCCTCTAACTTTATGGGAGTTGATCATGGCTTTGAATGGCGTCAGCCATATAGAGTACCTAGGTAGGAGGCGTGATTTAGTGACATACCAGGTGATAAGTACGGACTCATTAGGTCGCCATCGCCCGTAAAGACTGGGGAGGATAGTTCTTTTATCCACCATCGTGTGATCATATCAACCTCGACACTTGAGCATGTCCAAAAATGTGCTAGGACGGGGCAAGCAGATCTCACACCCTCATGCAGGCATATGGTATCTGTATATATGCTAAATCTCTGGATTACTTAAGTATTGGGTGTCAGATAGAACCTCTGATTTTCAGTCACAGGGGGCTATCATGACACATCTACCTAGGTATAGATGGGGTCTCGTCGCCGCTGTTCGGATGCTGGCTACCAGTGACCACAGCGTTTAGATCATAGCACCCTCCGTCTCATTTTGACTACCTAGGTATCAGGCACCACTGTATCATCGTAATCAATGTTTACACCTGGTGACGGTACAGATTTGTCTATATCTTGATCAGCATAGTAAGTACCTTGGTAGCTTCTGCACAAAGTTCATGGGCCCACCATAAAGAAGATAGCTGGATGACTTGATGGCTTGATACTTTCTAAAGTTACTATCTATGTAGACTAAAGGACATCTATAGATGTACCTATGAAGCTTGTTTCACTGGAAATGACGCTGCAGTCGCGTCGCCGGGGGGGGGGGGGGGGGGGATGTGATCCGGATATGCGCGCATATAATTAGTTAGCAATCTTGCACAAATATACCCGGAGCCAATTCCCAAATAGGAAATAGAAGCTGATTTGGCAAAGTAGTAGTGCTATTTGACAGATCTCACCCCGACGGGCCCCCATTACACCGTAGTTGATTGGACCTCATAGGGCATTGCCTCCGGTCATGCCTCAACTTCAGAATTGCAAGCACCCCTTACACATGCCTGGGGAGATGCCTGGAAAGATTTCTAGAGAGCAAGCAGCTTGGGGGAGAGCAGCCAATTTAATGTATGGTAGACTGCTATGGTAACTAGGGCAAGAGGTCTGAGATCATGTGACCTCTCCGCAAGTGGCCCGGGCCCGGGGACTAGAATTGATTATTCATCATATTTGTGCGTATCGCTGACAAATTTTGTGCGCACGTATCCATCCCGCCGGGGGCTCCAGGGCTTAAGTGGTTCCTGACTAATCATCAACCTCAGGCCAAATTCACGTCACGTCGCGCGTCAACCGGGCCAATCTGCAGCTGCAGCGCGAACTGTCTCCAATCGATATTCCGAGTCTGCCTTCCACTCAATTTTGTGAACACAGCGGCATTCCATGGATATCCGGAACTTTTTTGGCGGCAAGCCTGATCAAGGCTCCAGCCCAGCTGCCGCAAAACCCGCGGCCAAAAAAGAGGTATGCTGCCTTGCTTCGGAAGGGGCCCCTATCATATACCTACATATGGGCCCCCGAAGAATCCTTCAATTTGCTAATATTCATTCACAATGGAGGATCCGTCAGCCACGAGAAAGAAACGTACGCGCTTGATTCCCTTGATCTCAGCAAACCAAGCTTAACACGGACACAGGTAGCAGGAAGGTTGTTGATGACAGCGATGAAGAAGATGTAGCGCCTGCGAAACCACCAGCTGCTAAAGCGAAGCCAAAGAGTCAACCGTATGTCGATTGCCATTGCAAAGCTCCTACCATACCTTGGAACTAACAAGCCCTCTTCGCAGGAAGCCCGAAGAGACCAAAGACGAGCCTACGACATCCTCCGACTACTTTGCCTCTACCAAAAAGAGAGGAAGACCTGCCAAAGCCACAGAGGCCACCAAGCCTGACAGCGCCAAGGATGATACCGCCAGCGCAAAGCCTAACAAGGCCACTGAGGAACCAGCAAAAAGTAAACCAAGCGCATCTCGCACCTCGATGAAGAAAACCACGAAGGTCATCGAAGATGAGAACCTCGGTGACAATGACATCTTCGCTACCGAGTATGGAAAGGTCGGCAAAGGAGACGATGAATATGTTGCCGGCGGCGACAGTGATGACGGTAGCGACTTTGAGGTTCTCGAGGTAAAACCTGCCGCCCCAAAACCCAAACGAGGACCAGCAAAAAAGGCATCCCGCCACAATGAGGATGAGGATGTGGTGATGGAAGAACTTCCAAAGATTTCTGCCCCGAAAGCTTTACCGGGCCGCAAACGCAAGTCAGAAGCTCTCATTGACGAAGACGAAGATTTCGAGCAGCCAAAAAAGCAACCCAAAAAGGCTGCAGCAAAACCGAAATCCACTGCATCGCCAGCTGCCAAGAAGCCCAAGGCTAGCCCCAAGAAAGGCGTGAAAGAGGATAAGACTGAAAGCAAAGAGATCCAGGATATCTTCGACAGTATTCCCACAATCGATGCGCCGGAGCCACCCCAGGGAGAGGCCAAGAAATGGAAGTTTGGTCAACAACAGTCTCGGGACCCAGAAATGGCTGGGACTAAGGAGATGCCCACTGGACAGGAAAACTGTCTTGCCGGGCTCTCATTTGTTTTCACTGGTGTCCTGGAGTCTCTTGGCCGTGACGAGGGATCTCGTTTGGTAAAGAAGTACGGTGGTAAGGTCGTTGGAGCACCCAGTTCCAAGACAAGCTACGTTGTACTCGGTGGTGATGCCGGTCCAAAGAAGCTTGGGGTTATTGCACAGCATAAGCTCAAGACCATCAACGAAGATGGTCTCTTCGAATTGATCAAGAGACTGCCCGCCAACGGTGGGGATGGAAAAGCTGCCGAAAAATATGCCGAGAAACAACGCGCCGATGAGGAAAAGGTCCGGGCGATGGCCGCCGAGATTGACGCCGAAGAGAAACGCAAGGCTGCGGCGGCAAAGCCTGCAAAAGCTCCCAAGTCGGGCTCAACCACGCAACAGACACCACCCAGCTCCCAGTCTGTGTCGTCCGGTGATCTATGGACTACGAAATATGCCCCGACTTCAACCAATATGATCTGTGGCAACAAGGCCCCCGTTGAAAAGCTCCAAAACTGGCTGCGCAACTGGCACCGCAATGCGAAGTTAGATTTCAAGAAGGGTGGTGCAGACGGTTCTGGTACATACCGAGCTGTAATCATGCACGGTGGTCCAGGAATCGGTAAAACCACAGCAGCCCACCTTGTGGCAAAACTGGAGGGCTACGATATCGTGGAAACTAATGCTAGTGACACCAGAAGCAAGAAGCTTGTTGAGACCTCTACCTTGGGTGTACTCGATACAACCTCCTTGCAAGGATACTTTGCTGGGGAAGGTAAACAGATTGAGGGCGACAAGAAGAAGCTTGTCCTCATCATGGATGAGGTTGATGGTATGTCTGCTGGAGACCGTGGCGGCGTGGGAGCTGTTGCTGCTATCGTCAAGAAGACAAAGATTCCAATCATTCTCATCTGTAATGAGCGACGACTCCCCAAGATGAAACCATTTGACCACATCACTTTCGAAATACCTTTCAGACGCCCGACAGCCGATCAAATCCGTGCCAGACTATCAACCATCTGCTTCCGTGAAGGCCTAAAGATCCCGCCTCCCGTACTCGATGGTCTCATTGAAGGGACAAATGCCGATATTCGGCAGGTCATCAACATGTTGTCTACAGCCAGGCTGGACCAACAAGGCCTCAATTACGACCAAGGAAAGGACATGTCAAAAGCATGGGAAAAGCATATCATTCTCAAGCCTTGGGACATCGTTAGCAAAATTCTCAGCGCTCAGATGTTTGCCCCGAGCTCCACCACTACCTTGAATGACAAGATCGCCCTCTACTTCAACGACCATGAGTTTAGCTATCTGATGCTCCAAGAGAACTATCTCAAAACCAAGCCCACGCTTGCGGGCAGGTACCAAGGCAAAGAGCAGAAGCTCAAGGCGCTTGAGTTGATGGACAACGCCGCTTCGGGGATCAGTGATGGTGACCTTGTCGACCGCATGATCCACGGAACTCAGCAGCAGTGGAGTCTGATGCCCGTCCATGCAGTATTCAGCTTCGTACGGCCTGCCAGTTTCCAGTACGGAAACTTCAGCGAACGGGCTGGATTCACTAGTTGGTTGGGTAACAACAGTAAACAAGGTATGATCATGACTGACTGTGTTTTTTTGTATTGAACGCATTTTCTGACCATATTCTATCACAGGCAAAATGTCGCGATACGTCAAGGAAATTCAGGGCCACATGCGTCTTCGCACTACGGGCAACCGCGACGAGATTCGTCAGCAATACTTGCCTCTACTTCAAGAGAAGATTATTCGCAGACTGATGGATGAAGGCAAGGAAAGTGTTGACTCTGTCATTGACCTCATGGACGAATACTATCTCACCCGTGAAGACTTCGATGCCATGGTTGAACTGGGACTCGGCCCCATGACCGAGTCTAATATCAAAATTGAGACCCAGACCAAGGCTACATTTACGCGTCTGTACAACGCACGCTCGCACCCTATGCCATTCATCAAGGCTAGCAATGTCGTGGCGCCAAAGAAGGGAACGAAGGAGAAGCCTGATCTCGAGGATGCTATTGAGGAGTCTGACGAAGAGGAAGTTGTGGAAGAAGTCAAGGATGACGAGGAAGAGCTTGATCTGAAGAAGGACAAGTATGTGAGTTTGCCTAAGAAAAAGAAGGCGCCAGCCAAGGGCAAAAAGACCAAAAAGACCGAGGATGATGACGAAGAGAAGCCTAAAAAGGGTCGTGGTAAGGCTAAGGCTAAGGCTTGAGAAGATTATTGTAACATATTCATTTGTTCCGAAAGCATTGTGCGTTCTATTGGTGTTCTCTGGTGCATCTCTCAATACATTTAATCCAAGGTCTTCAAGTAAAATGTCTGATATCTTGCCCTACCAGGCAACTCATTTCACACGCTTTCATTGAGCACAACAGTAGCGCTCTTTATCGTCACTAGAAGTACGAGCGAAAAGGTGTCTTTTTGTCATCGGATGGTAATTCATGTGATGGAAGGCATGATAATAGATTATTTACTCCGAATACATAAATCCATATTTGCCCTGGTAAAATCCAACAAAGTACTATATAGTATAAGCGGTCAATTGCCCCTTGGCGGGGAAGTTGTTGATCTGCGGAGACTGACTTCCCTTTCTTCAACGTCGATGCCGAGGTGTGCGTCTAGCACAGATCACTCCTTAAGTTCACCTATCCTGAAACGAGGTTACAGGCTGGCCCTGTTAAGAGAATCATTCGGTTTCCCCTCATCCATTTACACGAGCATGCGACTTCCTTAACATTGTGACTGGCCCAGCAACCTCCGTCGCTGCAGACTACGCAACACGCACAACCCTTGCGGATTCAATTCCTTCTGGCAGTCGAGAAGATGTCCCTCCTTCACAATGAAGAGTGAGTCAGATTTGGAAGTGCAGGCCGAGGCGTTGATCTTCAGGCTGACCCAAGCACAGCTTCACAATTTGGCAATTACGCTCGTCTTATCTCTCCACAATCAAAGATGGAATCGGAGATCGCCTCATCAATGTCAACGACTCCGTACTAAACACACCTGGTTTCCGCGCGGCGGGCTGGTCGACTGCCTCTGCGTTCCCGAACACACATAGCTCGTCCCACTTGAAGCGCACCTACTCCCCGCCGATTCCAACTACAGCAAACGTATCCTCGGAATATTACAAATTGGCAGAACGCAATGCGAGACCCTCGAGAGATGACACGCAAGGCCTCGGTCTGGAGGACGGCGAGGATGATGGTGGCATGGTGACTGGCAAGAGCCACACGGATATGACTGCGCGACGGCATCATGCGCGGAACGGGAAGAAGAAAAGTCGACGCGAACGACAGCAAGAGGTACAGAGGCAAGCAGTCGCGGAGGAGGACGACAGCAGTGATCTGAGTGATGACAGCGACGACGATGGAGACAACGTCGGCAGGTAGGTGATCCAATATGTGAAATGACGTCGCATTATCTGACCGGAAACAGTGCTATTGATCAGATCAAATTCCACAAGATGCCCATCCGTCGGGACCGAGACGATTCCTCGCCGATGCGCTCTGAGGAGCAGCGCGAGAGACCAGAGGTCATGATTACATCTCCCTCCACCCAAACTGTTGCAAACCAGTATCACTCGATACCACTGAGACCCCGTCGAGACACGACTACCAGCAGTGACTTATCAACGGATAATGAAACTGATCACCGAGGCTATAAGAGCCAAGTTCAATTTTCTGGCAGTGATCACATCGTTGATCACCCTCGCAGACGGCGTGAACGAACGGGCAGTCGCGGTGCAGAGAGTCTCGCTCTCGGGGAACTTCATGAGGAAGACGAGGATGATTCTGGCGCTGAGTCGGTTGTGTCTGCAATCTCGTCTGATTTCGATAACACCGCTGGATCTGGATCTTTGCTTCTGGCGGGTGTTGCCGGTGGGCTGAACCTATCATCGCCCATGGTAATGATGAACAAATTACCCCCAGGGACGGGACCTCAGAACAGTGGACCTCGCAAGAGTCGCACACCGGCGCCAACGCTACAGGATTTACCTCCGCCACGACCTATCAGTATGATACAGCCAGTCAGTCTGTTGACCAGCCAATTAAAAGCGCGGAAACGCGCACCAAGCAATCCAGTGGATAAGTTTGTGGTGCTCTCTGGGCGAGGCCAAGAAGATGCCTTGTACTTGAAGATATACGCTCCCTTCTCCAGTGACCCCGAAGATCCCTTGGATCTACCAGTGACCCGTGAGTCGAAGCTTGCAGAACAGCCTGCGCCAGTCACCGTCGCCGAGACGATTGGCCTGGCCCTATGGAAGTATTCGGCAGACTCTCGGGGCCCAGCACTAGGCCGTGAAAAGTTGACCGTAAATCGATGGACTTTACGAATGGTCGATGATGGCGAGGTTGAATATGACTTCCCGGCACTTGGGCGGACTCTTCCAATGACGGACTTCACGTCAAATAACAACCAACCTCCGAAAGCCCGCCAACGGACCAGAGGCAAACCTTACGATGAATTTGCATTGGTCGAAGCATCAAAGACAGAGTTTGAGGAGAATGAGAAGTTATACCCACAATTCAGTTCAAGTATCGCGTCAGAAGAGGCAGATCAGCCTGCAAATTCGGCTACCCCAGGGGCCACCACCCCGCAACCCGCTTCGCAAAACAAGGTCCCTCAGATGGCACCGGCTCGGGCAAATCCAATCCTGGGCCAGCCATTCTCGTCAGCACTCAATCACAGTACGCTCACCCCAGCTGATCGACCTGCGGTGCCCACCTCACATGCCACCCCTCGTCTCGGAGTGGCTAAAACTTTAAAGATCCGCTTCATCAACACTGAGGCTTCTGCACATATTATGACCATCAACACATCTACCGACAGCTATATAGCCGAAATCCTGGATTCCGTGTGCAAACGATGGGGTCAAGACAAGGGCAACTACCTGCTCAAAGTCATGGGATCTAACACAATTGCGCCCCTTGACCGCACCGTGGAGGCACTGGGTAGCATAACAGAGCTTGATCTGGTCCGTCGCCGATTTGGTGGGGGTCCACTGGCTCTTGGAACATCACCCGGTAGCTCATCACCCAATGCGCCTCTCATGGTGGAAAGTAGCGAGCCGGCAACCTCCAAGAAAGCTAAGAAGGAGGCCAAGAAGGGTGCGCAACGCATGCTACCTTCCGCCTCCCAGAAACAAGACCATCTGGGCGGATACTACCGCCGGTACCACGTGTTCCGCAAACAACCCATGTCTTTTACAGCGTCGAACCATCGCATCCTCACGTTTGAAAACGACTACATGCACATTGTGCCCGGTGATACCGGTAAAACCGTATCTGGTGGTAAGACACGGTCAATAAGCTTCAGTGATGTGATCGGATCCAAGGTCAGCCGCAGACATCCCAAGAGCTTCCGTGTTATGATTGTCCGCGGCAACGACGCCACAGAGCAGAAGCGCTATGACTTTGAAGCGCGCAGTACTGGAGAGGCGGATGAGATTGTCAGTGAGATCAAGAAGAACATGGCCCATTACCGCATCTAATTCTTCGTCTTGCGTTGCTTGCGTTTGGGGGGCTTAACAGGAAGGGAACGGGGCGTCTATACCAATACAGATCTCACTTCAGAATTTCTCAAGTTGATCTATACTTGCCGATTCGTAATATCTTTTGCTTGACCCTTGGAGACCGGTCAATCGTAGCACATACCTAGGTAACGACAGGGAAGTATTGGGGTACAATTGGTCATTCTTTGACAGGTATCTCACAAATCCTGGTGGCAATATCTGGATGTAGATATGGTCTTCGGTTGCTTGGTCGTAAATCAGTATTGAGTGTACTCCGGATGGAGTACACAACCTAAGTACAACCGGTTGGTTTTATTTACAGTTGAAAGAGGTCGGCTTTAGTGCGGATTGTACTCCGGATACGACCCACCGTTCATCTGGCGCAGAATTTGCAGATCAAGCTAGAGATTATAAAGATCAGCAAGTCCAACCATGCCAAATTAAAGGACTACAAATACTCGTAGTACGAGTACAAGTACACAGCTATGGAGTACTCCGTAGATTTCCAGTCAGAGCTATAGATAGCACCTTTTAGATCGACACCCCTGACCCAAGGTTCAGATTCCTCAGATCGGCTGGAATGATCTTAGCGCGAAGTGAGCTGTTTGTGTGTATGTTTTGTTTTGTTTTCTTCCCTTTCTCTTCTTTATTCCGTACTGAAGTACTACTCACTTTCAATTTACATTTGGGGGTGTTCTAGAACGTTGGCTATATTTGGAAGGCTGGGCTGATCATAGCTTGACTTTAGCTCCCCGCCATCCCACACACTCCTTACCTTTGTTTACTACCTCCGTTACTCCGCGATTCCTCTACACTTCTCGATTTTGACTTCCTATATACTCTCTTTAATGCACTCAATTGACCATTACCCGGGGGGACCTTGAAATCATCCACAGATGGCTACCACTCCTCTCACCGCGAAAAGCAAGCTTGCTGGACCCGGCGCATCCTTGAAAATCACTCCTTCAAATTCTCCAATCCTCCGCCCAGGCACACGATCTCCGAGCAAAACATCCCATCAATCCTCGCTGTCTCTCCAGACTGTCATTGGTACAACCACAACAACCCCCAATGGATTCTCGAGCCACGACCAGAGCAAGAGGTTCGCATTGTGTGCGGGATCGGCAGCGGTGCTTGCACAACTCGACGACGATGCCAACATAAGCCAACGCTTCTTCCGAGCCCGTCCCTCTGCAACCAGTGTAAACCCATCGACTTCGTTCTACAACCAATCAACTCCTCCAACGACCCCAGACCCCAGATCACGTTCGCTATCCCACATCCGGTCTAACCCACACCTGAGTATCACGAATGGCTCTCCATCCAGCGAGGCTGGAGATGCTGGGAGCCCTAGGGGTTGGTCTTCGAGAGAAAGGATCAAGGCTGTTACAAGTGTCTCGATTAGCCCCAATGGGCGGTTCCTCGCAGTTGGAGAGACCGGGTACAACCCACGAGTTTTGATATTTTCCACGGCAACAGATGCTTTGCCGGATGTTCCCCTCTCTATTTTGAATGAGCATACGTTTGGCGTTCGCAGCCTGGCTTTTAGTCCCGACTCTCAGTATTTGGCAACTTTGGGCAACCCAAATGACGGATTTCTCTTCATCTGGATGATAAATCTGAAGACAGGATCAGCGAGGCTCCACTCCGCGAACAAATGCACTTCTATTATTAAGGATATGTGTTGGGTCGGACGAAGTCTAGTCACTACCGGTGTGCGGCATGTCAAGGTCTGGCGTCTTCCTACGATTACACGACCTGCCTCTCCCACCAAAACAAGGTTAAATGTTGATGGAGCTGCGTCGCCAAATCCTGCTCCCAAGGCGCTCTCTGGCAGGAATTGCCTCCTAGGCGCGTTGGGGGACAGCGTTTTCACATGTGTGAGCAGTATTTCCGACCACGAGGCCGCAATTGGTACGGATTCAGGGGCTGTTTGCTTCCTCGATGACCGCGAGGGTTCCCAGAGGATGGTCACAGTCAGACAAGTTGGGTTCAGTATCACGTCTCTGGCGGTGGACTTCGATCAAGAGTCTATCTGGCTCGGTGGTCGGGGAAGGCGTATGCGGCGAGTGACATTTGAAACTCTGCGATCGTGTGCCTCCTCCAGGCCAATGTCTCCCGTCCGCCTGGACAAGGGCTTGTTGGACAAAAAAAGCAAAGCACCTGCCATCACCTGCATGGGTTCTCTCAACTCCCACCTGGTCACGGTTGAGGCTACTCGTGAGATCCACGTATACCCTGTTCATGGCCTACTTGAGGACAGTGAACAGGAAGAGGGTGAGGCCTCGATGCCTGCGCATCGAGATCCCATCCTTGGAATATGCCATATGAAACTCCCTAATGACTACTCTGCAGACTTTTTTACGTGGTCACGTAATGGTTCTGTCAATTTCTGGGATGTCAACGGGAAGTGTCGAGGGTCCAGAGTTATTGATCTGGACCAATTCTCCGGAAACGAAGACAATGCAGCGAATGAGCTCAAGATTCTGCGCACTGCGAATGCAGAATGGTTCATATCAGGTGATAAATTCGGTATATTGAGGTATGTTGATGTTTATCAAAGCCTCGAACGAACTCTACTGACTTGTGCAAAACAGATTGGTTACGAATTCTGATTGGACCTGTACCAACAAAGCCCGCGCCCATGGCGGAGAGATCACAGACGTTGCCATTCAGGCAACGGATGACTCCTGGCTAGTCGCCAGCTGTGGTCGTGATCGAATGGTGCAGTTATTCGAGAAACGCGAAAATGAACTTCAGTTGATCCAAACTATGGACGACCATGTTGGGGCTGTCGGGCAGCTGATGTTCATCAATGACGGCGAAAAGCTGCTTTCATGCTCTGCAGATCGCACCGTTATTATCAGAGATCGCGCTACACGAGAGATGGATGGTGGAACATGTATCGCCTACCTCAGTTCCAGGGTCATCACTCAAAAGGCCTCTCCCTTGTCAATGGCACTTTGCCCGGACGACTCGAACATCCTATATCTCTCCACTATGGATCGGTGTGTTTCGAAATATGACATTCCCTCGGGAAGACACCTGCATGGTTTCAAGGCATCTGATTCAGAGACTACTGATGCTGTCATACTGAGCTCTTTGACAGTTGCGCCCGAGATCTCCGGCCAAAGCCCGAAGATTCTCATTGGTGTTTCGAGCACCGATAAGTCCATCCGTGTATACGACCTGGAGCGGGATCAGCTTCTCACCGGCGAATTTGGACACACCGAAGGTGTGACCGATGCTTTGTTGATTGAGGGGCGAGATGACTCCGAGGAGTCTCAGCCTCAACGCACTTTGATCAGTACTGGTATGGACGGCATACTGATGATTTGGAATCTCTCTGTCCAGCAACAGATATCGCCAGACATTTCTCAGAGTACACGCGATGATGATGAGAGCCCTACCAAGGAGTTGACAGTTGCAAGACCTCCTCTCAGAAAAGTGCTCTCTCGTAGCGAGCTAGCTGGCTTCCAACGTCCAGATAGTCCCAACCCAACGACCCCAACGCCTACGCGCGAGTACTCTCCCACTCTAATTCGCAAAATGTCGAGATTGTCACTGGCCCCATCCTCTTTGAAAAACCACGCTCTGTCAGAATCAACCTCGTCCCCAAACCGCCTCTCTCCCACTCCAAACTTACACCGGGACCGAAGCCGCCGGTCTCCCTCCCCCGTGAGCCCTAAATCACGAGCTCCTGCCCGGAAACCTCATAGTGCACGAACCAGCCGTCGCACATCTATCGACTTTCGCAACCGCGGCAAACAAACACCCCGCACCGAGTTTGGAAGCATAGATATGTCCACCGAACAACTGTGCCGCACTCTCCGCGCCTACCGGAAAAAGGTGAACGGCTCAACCCAACCCATTCAATCTTCTAAGGAACTCGAGCGTGAATTGAGCCTTACGCTCCGTATCATCGGCGGACGTGACAACAGCACCGACGAGAGCGGCGACAGCGGCGAGACCGAAACAGATAGCAGTGGCAAGGAAATAGACACAGAGAGAGGACCGAGTCACTCATCTCCGAGATCTTCCTGTGTTCCTCGCCATATGCCTTCTACCCCATCGTTGCGGCCCCAAAGCGTTCGGCAAGTCTCACGCAGTCGGTCTTTTGACGCCTCTGTCACTGGCGAGTAACGGGCATTTCTTTGCCTACTTCTTATACTCTCAGGACTTTGCATTTCTGGTGTCTATCTTGGTATGCTTTGACCATGCTTTAGCGATACAATTTTCGTCACCTTCACTTTCCCTCACTTTGTTCTATTTCCCTTGAAACACGGACTGATTGCCGTTGCATTCTCTTGATTTCTGTTATCTCCATCTCATTGCATCTTGGCATCTACGCATATTTGCATTTTGTCCACTTGCATCATCACCTTCTTTATGTTGGTGACCTGGGCAATCTTCTTTCATTTTATTTATTCCATAGTCTGGAGATAACTTCACTTCTGATGATACCCATATTTACCATTTCGCGAGAAGCTACAGGCTGCCTCGTCACAATTCAGGATTTTGGTTCGGTTCTATATTTCTATATATTTTCATTCTAAGGATTGCTTTAGCTTAGTTGTCTCATTTTGCATCAAAGGGAGAAGTGAAGAGCAAAACGAGCAGCACAAATCTGGGGTCGGACTTAAGATCATGACTAAGACCCCTTATCTCCGACACCTTAAGTGCTCAGCTGTTTCCTTTCCTTTCACAGATTCATCGAAACTATGGACCCAAATGGCATTCTGTTATGGGAGTCAGTCACCATACAACGGATATCAATAATGCCTCCCGAACACGAAATAAAACGTGAACCAGAGCCCCAGAACGATGAAGACAGACGTTCCAGCCGAAAAGGCAAATTCCGCTTCAAGAGCTCATCTCGACACCCTGAATCCTCAAAACATGACCACAGCCGCCAACACCGTAAGCGGAGCCATGGCTCACGCGAAGATGGCGAATCCTCCAAGCGAAGACACAGAGATCCACACCGCCACCGACCAGCTGAGCCAACCCAACTACCTGCTGCAGATGCCTTCCGGGAATCGCTCTTTGACGCCCTAGGTGACGACGAAGGCGCCGCGTATTGGGAGTCCGTCTATGGCCAACCGATTCACAATTACAGTGTCCCGCACGTTCAGGGGCCCCAGGGGGAGCTGGAGCAGATGACGGAAGAAGAGTATGTCGCGTATGTACGGACGCGGATGTGGGAGCGCACGCGTGAAGCACAAATTGAGGAACAGGAGAGGCTACGGGCTGAGAGGAAGAAGAAGAGGAGTGAAGAACAAGGGAGGGCGGCGGCTGAGGAGAGGAGGGCATTTGAGAGGGCTATGGATGATAGTCTGAGGCGCGGGGCGGAGAGGAAGAAGGGGAAGGCTTGGGGTGAGGTTTGGGAGAAGTACTTGAAGAGATGGCAGAAGATGGAGGCTGAGAGATTGAAGAATTCCGATCCTCCTCGACGGTTGAGGGAGATGATCTTTTGGCCTGTCAGCTCAGGAAGGAGGGGTGATGTCGATCCTGCTGCTGTGAAGGAGTTTATGAAGCATGCGCCCGATGGGGACTTCCTGAATACGCTGAAGACAGAGCGGATTCGGTGGCATCCCGACAAGATTCAGCATCGGTATGGTGCGCTGGGCGTTGATGAGGTTGTCATGCGCAGTGTCACGGAAGTCTTCCAGATCATTGATCGCATGTGGAGCGAGAAGAGAGACCGTTGATGTTACACCATTATCATTTGGCAGTACGCTCTGGCAAAACGCTCCTTTTGTCCCTTTTGTTAATATACCCAAATACGATGCTGCATAGCCTACTGCATTTGAATGATCATGATTCGAATTCATCTCAGAGAAAAGTAACAAAAGCTGCGGAAGTCGTAGATCAGAAAGAAAAGCTTCACAAAGGCTATGTATGCAAGATCCATTTTGAGGAGAAGCTGGAAAGGTCAGGAGCCAACACGAATCACACAGGAATTCAATATCTGCTCCTGGTCAAATGTCCATAGAACGTAAATTTAGAAACGCGATGAGCGGGCTTTGGTCCGGTAGATGGTGTAACCAAAGTAGGCACCGACAATGGCGCCAAAGAACATGATGACCTTGAAGAAAGTCCAAGTCCAGCTACTACCTTCCTTAGGAGCCTTGGGGGAAACAGGACGGCCCTTAGACCGGCCATCAGAGGAGCCCTTCCCACCGTTGCTGTTGCCGCCGCGGTTCAGAGAGTAGAGGTTCTCTGCCTTGAGGGAGATAATGTCGTGGTTGTCACTCAGCTCACCGGTCTCGGCGGAGAGACCGAGGTAGGCAACGGAGGGGATGGCAATGTTTGAATCCTCAGCGTTGAGGGTGAAGCACTCGGCCCATGTGTCTTCGCTCTTGTACTGGAGCTCTAGAGACAAGGACTTATCCTGGAAGTAAGTGAGGCGGGCTTTGGTAGGGATTGGGGCACTACGGAGACCACGAGCCTATATATAGTGTTAGTGACGTTTCCAAAGCGGCAGCAGATTAACGAACAGAGCAACCGGCCAATTCGTTGGCCTTGCCGTCGTGCGCCTGGTCATAGGTGGTTTGCCCGTCGCCCATCATGGCCATGACGTAAGGGAAAGACACGCCGGGGCGATTGTTCTTATAGGTGTCGAAGAAAATACCGAGGCCTTCAAATCTGTCGGTCGAACCAAAGACAGGGCCTTGGGTCGCGCGTTCCTTGGTGAGCCACAGCGCAAAGCCATCGCCATGCAAGTTCCCGGCACCGTGGATTTCGAACTCGAGCTCGATCTAGAAGAGTGCGTGAGTCTTTGCAGCGCCAAACTTTTTTTTCCGGGTTCTAAATTTACCTGCCAATTGGTCGCAGTGAGCGGCACGCGAGAGGAAATCCATCCTTGTTGCGAAGGTCGATCAGCCGTGAGGCGAATATACCTGATCAGACAAACGTCAGAATCAATCCGAATTCTCTCGACCCATTTGTTTTTATATATCCTTACTTGTCGGCGCGGATTACTGTATCTCCTCCGAAGTCGAACCAGCGGCTTTGGAAGTCCGAATCGAGGTATGGCTGTTAGTAGCGGTCAGCATTACTGCTTTTCGCTAAGCGACGCAGGCCGTGCGACATAATGTGACGAAATTTCCGAGCTAAGTTGGATTTTATCATACCGGAGAGAGGCTGTGGGTGCGGAGCTAGCAGGCGGAGTGTCAGTACCTCGGTCTCGAGCAGGGAGTTGGCCATGACGTACAGGTATGCTTTTGATATTCGTGTCATCGTAGGCAGACACAGGCACGGAGACCAGACCGGCAAGGCAGAGGAGCGAGGAAATAGACGGGAGACGCATTGTATTAGAGCCCAATGGAGGGGAGGCTCAGGGTGATTGAATGATAGACTGGGGGTGGGAGTGGGGGGGAGCGGTGTCGCCAGGACCCGAAATCCCAAGTAGTAGAAAGGGAAGAGAGAAAGGTCAAAAAGTGAAACACAAAGAGTGAATGAGACGATGTTCTCGAGGCGCAGGGACAAGGAGGTGAAGTATACAGCTTGTTATGCTAAGGTGTCCACATCGGCTGTGGCGCAGGACACCAGCCACACAACCCTCAGATCCTGACGAACTCCGACTTTGTGATTACACTCTCACCATCTACCCGGTCTCATAACCTCACCATCTCAAAATGTCGTCTCTTTTCGGTTCCTCTTCCGCCGTCCCTCAGACCTCTGAGGAGATCAAGGCTGCTGTCATGCGCCAGCTTCAGCAAGAAGCTGCCATGGCCAACGCCCGCTCCCTCATCGGAGTACGTCACCACCCCTGTAACAACGCAGCTTTTTGAAGCTAATAGCACCCAGAAAATCAACAAGCACTGCTTCCAAGCCTGCGTTCCTACCCCTGGCTCTTCCCTCTCCTCCAAGGAGAACACCTGCCTGTCCAGCTGCATGGAGAAGTACATCGCCATGTGGAACGTCACCAGCAAGACCTACATCGCCCGTGTTGGCGCCGAGACCAAGCGCATGGGTGGCCAGGACGCCGCCGCCATTGCCTCCATGGCTGCCGGTCAACCCGAGGGTGGCAGCGGTATCCTCGGTTAAATTTGTCTCGAAGCGGAAGAAATATCAACGAAAGAAGCGAAAGACAACATATCTCTGTGAATGAACTACTGTACGATAGAAGCGGCTTGGTAGCCCGTGTATAATATGGGCGTGTCTTGAATGACCCAGTGGTTGGAGAGCATGGGAATAGAGGGTTTACGGGGAATCCATTTGTACATCGAGCGAATACCTTTGAAAGACAAAAATTGGAAAGCATTCGATTGCAATTGCTAAATAAAAAGGACCAAAATCGTAGTAAAGAAGATTTGTGCAGATAAAATAGTATGGGTTTCCGTGTAATGGCTCCTGGTTTTTTCACGACTCCTGCCGTGATCAGTTCCGGCCCTCCCCCGGAGCGTAGGCTCTTCGTCGCATCATAAATCATACAAGCACCTAGAAGTCGGGGAAAAGGTGGCCATATCTAGATAAAAAGTTAGTTCGGCACCTCGCTGAATAGCACGAGTAGACAGGGTACTTACGCATCCTCCCCTTCTTGGCCATAGTGCTCTGTCTCCTCCGGGTACTTGTCGTATTGGCTCGCGTCACCCTGCCCACCCCGAATCGGGGGAATGTAGGGTGCGTCAATATCTTTGCGAGCCAATCGGTCCCAAGTCACCTCGGCAAACCAGGGGTGATTCTTGACATCACCCGGGCCGCCGTGCAGGTTGCCGAGGCGCTTGGTAAGGTCGGATGTGATCAACTGAGAAAGCAGATCGACTGCGTCGGCGTGCAAGTATGGAGGATACTTGACTTTGCCTCGCAGGATGTTCTCATAGATCTTGACAGGGGAGCCGCTGTCCCAAAAGGGGGTAAACCCGCACAGCATCTCGAAAATTAAGATACCCAGTGACCACCTGCGATTTGTCAGAAATATCTGATGTGAAGTCGGGAGTTCAACCTACCAATCCACTGATTTATTGTATCCTTTAGAGGAAACAACCTCTGGAGCCAGATAATCTGGGGTACCACAGAGGGTCCATGTAATATCGGGCACATCTTTAGCAAAACCAAAATCGGTAATCTTTAAATGACCATGGCGATCCAACAGCAAATTTTCAGGCTTGAGATCACGATAAATGATCTGGTGGGAGTGCAAATATTCTAAAGCCAAAGTGACCTCAGCGGCATAGAACTTGGCCACTGGATTGGGAAATCGCTGCAAAGAAAAAAGAAAGAAAGAATTAAACCAAGTTCTTCATCCCATTGTTTCAGATCGATAAACGGGAAGACTCACTTGTGATTTGCGCAGCAGACTGAACAACTCACCACCCTCGACAAAGTCCATGACCATGTAGAGGTTTCGGGAATCCTGCCAAGTTCCCCACAGGGTCACCAGGAATGGATGGCGAACACGATTTAGCATGCGGCGCTCGTCGTTTGTGTGCTCAATCTGCTTCATCTTGACCACCTGAGCTTTCTTCAACACCTTCATCGCATAGAAGCGATGATTGTGTTTCGATTGCACCAGATGGACACGACCGAAGCTCCCCGTGCCCAGGGTGCGCTGGAGCTGAAAGTCCTCCTGCGAGTACTTGCCCTTTGTGACGCGCTCCTGCTTCTGTGGTTCGGGTGTCTGAGTCTGCTGCGCATGCTGCGCATGCTGACCGTGCTCCTGGTTTATGATGTTGTCGATACTAGCGGCATTGTTCGGCGTCCCCGTGTGCGAGGGTGAAGCGTGCGATTGTGTTTGCATGGGTGCGGAATCCTCCCCGAGATCTTGCGAATCCTTCGTTCGCCTCTTCTTCAAAAGTCCTCCTAAGCTCGGCATGGAGAGTTGAAACAGGGGCCATTGAGGGTGAAAGAGAGAAGGAAAGGACCGGATTAAGTGGGGAGGGGCAACCAGAATGACGCATTGATCTTTGGCGGGAGCATCGACTCCTCTACTCCCTCTTTTTTTTTTTATATCGATGGTATTTGTAAATGTATAATTTCTGTCTTTTTCTCTACTGTCCTCGAGGGAGAGCCTCTTGTGGCTCCCATATCTGGCATTTGGTCTAATTTCTGTTCTCTAGTTTTGATCCGAAACATTTGATATTTCTCCGCGCCACTGCCGCCATCGAATAATCAAATAGGGCTTATCATAGGAGTACGTTGCTCCGTATTTTGCTTAGATGGTTCAATAGGAATTGGCCGAAAATGACCTGGAGAACTCGTCCGATCATGACTTTCATGACTTCACCAATAGGCGGAGAAATCGGGTAATGACGTTGAGTGATGCGCTCATATGTTTTACCCTGAGATCCAGAGGTAACACGTTGCATCCTTAATTTCCTCGATATTCCCTTAGTCCGTATGCCGTGGTAGATACCTGAGTTAAGACCATCCGCTGATTTGATGATTCGGTATTAACTTACCCTTGATATTACTGCAATAAGAAACTAGCTTTCAAGATCTAAGGACCGGATCTTGGCCGGGAGATATCCCCTTATTGAATTGCCGCATAGATTGATATACTAATTACGCCAAATACTATACTCCGTACCCACCGTTAAAGGGACTCAATAGACTAATTACTAGACTCCCCTGGAAAGGGTCCAGATCGAAATTGACGGGGAAAGGACGACCCTGCAAGCATGCAGCTTCCAACCTTGGTACCTTCCTAGTTAGGACCTCGACCACCTTATGTAATATTTATGCCTGACTTCCAAGGCTCACTTTTTTGGCCTGTATCGGCCTCACTATCAATCTGAACATCCTTGCGTGACCAGTCCATCCCCACCTTCGCCATGGCGCTTGTAGCTTATTCCGACTCTGAGGGCTCAGACGCCGAGCCAGAAACGACACCCGTGCCCTCCATCGATCAGAAGAAGTCTGATTCTAAGAAATTCCAGGCCGATCACACCACGGGCAAGATTCGCGTGGCACTCCCAGAGATCAAACCAGAGCCTTCACCCCAAGATGCTGGAGATGGCTCACGCAAGAAGCCTCGCATAGGCGGAGGTCTATCAGGCTTTAATTCTTTCCTTCCAGCCCCGAAACGAGCCGCCGAGAAGAAAGCGCCAGTGGCGACAGCGCGCAAAGCCTTCGGGCTGAAAACTGGAGCCGGCCCTGGATTCGATCGCGGTGCGGATGCGGAGATGAAAAATGACTTCGCATTCGACAGTTTGGCTGGAAAGACCGAAGAGAAACCGGAGGCTAGCACGACACTCAACACTCCAGCAGATGCGCCGGCGACGATGAAGAAACAGGAGGACGTCAAATTACAGGGAAATCCAATGATGTTTCGACCTCTCTCTGTGGGACGGCCGCAGAAGAAGAGGAAGATCAACAAAATGGCAGAGCAACCCACTCCAGGGCCAGCAGCACCGAAGGCGGAACCGCTGCCTCAACATGTTAAACAAGCCCCGGCCCCAACAACTAAACCAAAAGTCAGCCTCTTCTCTCTATCCTCGGAGGACTCGGCCCGACCAGAGGTAGCATCCGCGCCGTCAACGACATATCAGCCATTGGTATACAACGCACAAGGCGAGGGCGAGGGTGAAGCATTGGTAGACCCAGCACTGGCCGAATCTGCATATGTCGCACCTACCCCGGCAACAGCAACCGTCTCATCGAAACCTGGATCATCCCTGGACTCAATCGCCAACGACCTCAATCTGTCCAAGTCCGAGCGACGACAATTATTTGGCCGGAATGCCATGTCCTCACAGTCCCATGTGCGCACTTTCAACACAGACGAAGAGTATGCCTCGAACCAGGTTCTTGCTCAGGGAGAGCTGGCTGCTGCTGCGCACAACCCTGTGCGCTCTATCGCACCAGGCAAGCATACGCTCCAACAGCTTGTCAATGCGGCAAGCTCACAGAAGGAGGCATTGGAGGAGAGCTTTGCGTCTGGAAGGAGAAACAAAAAAGAAGCTGGATCGAAGTATGGATGGTAGGATTTCCATACGATACTTCTGGGATTTTTTATCAGCGCATTTGCATTGAGATACCATTGCTATTTACTCTTGCTATTGAGCAGAGAAGAACCATGTTTTTGTACGGACATACAAGTCAACTATAGATACCAGACTAGGTAAACCTGGTAAAATTCCAGTATTGGAAGATTTTTGACCATCGTAACTTGATCAGCATCCCATACACCTACGACTTGATGTCCTCCGTGCAAAATATGGAAAGATATCTCTATGTTCTACCAAAATAGTGGTCTTTCCGCTCAACTTCAAATGAATCAAGTCATTGTAGTAGATAATGTACACTCGCTTATGTGCATATCCATAAAACTATCATACAAAAAAAGACATCCAGATCACCCAAACGCCACAAAATGTATCAACTCTAATAATCAAATAAAACGCCATTTTTACTGCATGCCTCAAGACGATACATCCACAACTTCGGCAAACCACTGCTTCAGAGCGGTGGCCAATACAGAGGGCAACTCCCTGACATCACGAACAACGAGATAGTAAGGGAAGGGGAAGTCCTCAAGATAGCGCTTCATCTTGAGCTTCATCTCACCACCAGAATCGGGATCGGCCTCGAAGTTCGCCTGGGAGAGGTCAAGGATAGAGCTACCCTTGACAGCATCAACAATGATGAAAACAACCATGATGCGTTCCTCAAGCGCAGTCCTGACAAGTCGGCGAATAGTATCATGATCCTCACAGATACCGTCGGAGATAATCAATTGGAGTTGCCAGAGATCTGCAGAGCCAGAGCCTGGGGAACGCTTCCAACGAGCCTCACGGAATAGAGCAATCGAGTCAGCAATCAGCTTGCGCACATTTGTGCCGGTTTGCTGGTAGCTGAAGTGCTGGAAGACCTGGGAACCAGCCTCCGAAGAGAAGGGCTTCCCGAATTCGTGGGCGACACGAACATGGTCTTCGTTACCAAATCCAAGAACGCACAGGTCACCGGCTTCCAACATACTTAGACTCTTTGCGACCAGGGCAAGCGTCTCGAAGGCGAGCTGTCCACTTCCACTTTCCAGCATGGATTTACTGTCATCGACAGCCAGCATGATCTGGTAGTTGCGTTTAGAGGGAATAGAGCGGCGCATCCAGATCTTGTCACGCTTGTACTGGGATGCGATGTAAGGAATGATACGCTTGATGTTGAGACGTTTTCCTGTGCGGAAGTCACCACGCAGCTTGGTTGCCATGGTAGGTGCAAGGATGAGGCGAAGCTGCTCCGTAAGCGAGAGGGAGAGGTCGTTCGTAGCGGACTCGTAGTGCGACCAGAGGCGACGAGCTTCATCCTGGGGTGTCAATGGCGGAAGCGAAGAGGAGAGGTGGATCGCTGCGAGTTGGGTGTCGACTTCGTCGAGCTCCTCATTCAGTGCCTCGGTGCCCTGCGCATCATCTGCGCGCTCGTGGGATGCTTGCCCTCCTGGAATGAATGCGCCGGCGGACTCACCGTCGGCAGGGGCATTCTCGCGGTCAATTTGCATCTCATCCTCAAGTTGGTTGCCGACTTCCTCTTGCTGCTCCTCTGTGACATCGGGAAGAGCGTCGTTCTCGCCGGGCTTGATGTCGGACTCGACGCCCTTGCTTTGGTCAAGAGCTTGCGCTTGATCGTCGTTTGCTTGACCAAGGGCTTGGGTATCGGCGGCATCATCGTCGTCTTTGAGGTGCTCGAAGTCCGCATCAGCCATATCGGTATCTTCAGGCATGGCTTGGGTATCCTCTTCCTCTTGAGATGGGTTGAGGATCTCTTGTTGGCGACGGTGCCATTGCTCAAGAATATCGCCGAGCTTCTTGAACGCCTGCATCTGTGGCTCATTTGGCTTGTTTTCCTCACCACCCCCAGCGTCTCGGCTAGGCTTGCTCTCCTCACTATCCTTGGCAGCGCCAGTCTGATCATCGACATTGGCACTTGGATCAGTGGAGCCACTTTCCTGCTGGGCATCACCGGATGCGCCCTTTTCTTCGTTTTGGTCTTGTTCGGCGCCGAGGCCTCCAGTGACAGCCTCGCTAGGAGCAACGTTGTCACCTTCGGCTTGGTTCTCATCACGCTGCGCAAGGAAGTCCTCGGGCTCAGGCTCGGGCTCTTCGGGGTCTTCGCCACCGGCCTCTTCCTCTTGCTCATCTCCGGCTTCTCCTTCCTTGGTTTCTTCGGCATCGTCAGCCATCTCTTCGTCTTCATCTCCTGGAATTTGATCTTCAGGGGCTCCTTCAGCGTCTTCTCCAGTGTTCTCATCGCCGTCTTCAACCTTGCCATCATCCTCGGGGGCGGGGCCGAAATCGTCGTCAAGTTCGTCCATTCCATCGTCATCTTCCTCGCCATTGTCACTCTTGCCGTTGTCATCATCAAGCTGCATCTCCTCGGGGAGCTCAAGGGTTTCTTCTTCCTTAGCTTGAGGGTCGGTGACATCCATGTCCTCACGACCGACTGCCTCGCCCTCGTCTTCGGGGGCTTCTTCATCCTCTGTTTCTTCCTCTTCCTCGCCTTCCTTTGGCTTTTCGTCGCCCTTTTCGCCGTCCTCTTTTTCTTTCTTCTCTTCCTGGGCAGCGGCTTGTTGTTCGGCCTCTGACTGGCCCTTTCCTTCCTCATTCTCGGTATCCTTCTGCTGATCGTCGTTATTACCGTCCCAGAGCTTCTCGTCAACAGCACCAGGGTCGAGGTCGTCGACGCTGCCCGTCTCTTCGTCGATGTCGTCATCGCCTTCATCGCCACTTTCGTCCTTCTCTTCCTCATCGCCTTCTTTACGTTCCTCGGCATCACCTTCTAATTCTTCTTGATCCATGTTGACAGCGTCCTTCGAGTCGTCCATCTCATCGTCATCGCCATCCTCCTTCTTGTTTTCTTGTTGGGCAAGTTCAGAAAGATCTTCGTCATCACCAACGTCCTTGCTGATATCTTCGGCGCCCTCGCCATCACCTAAGCCAGTTCCGCTTTCCATCTGGCCCTCCTTTCCTTGGTCTTGTGAGGCCTCGGCAGGACTGCAGAAGCCTTCAGAAGCGACGGTGTTGAAAGTCTTGGTCAGGATGTAAGACGTCTTACAGATTTCGCGATGAACGGCAATGAAGCGATCCGCCAAGTCCCGGCAGATTTGGTAGTATTTGTTGGCGATAGGCAAGATACTGGTGATCAATGCAGCCGCAACGGAGAGGCCGCTAGCAGAATGGTCTTGCAAGCGGTACAATTGATCAAGGACGGCTTCCAAAGTGGCGGTGATCTCGGAGAGATGGACAGCCTTGAGTCCACGAGAGAAGAACTCGTCACTCCTTGACAGCAGACCGTCGAATGTGATAGCAGATGGTACATCCTTCAGCTTTTGTAGACCGATGAGCATTTTGTCGATGGCGGCCAAAAGGCTGCTGTCAAAGGCTTGGATAGACAAGCTGTGTTCATTGACCTCTGGGTGAGCGGCCATGTTTGTCTTGACCCAAGGTGTGATCTGATCCAACGCGAAAGCGAGATCAGGACGAGCCACGCTCCACTTCTCCAGTCCAGCGGCCAGTTCGTTGAGAGACGCTTGTGTTTGCTGTGCGATATCAAGGTGCGCCTTAGATGCGATTCTAGTCGGGAGCACGGGCAGGGATTCATATGACTTGCGCATGTCATCAAAGAAGGCCTTCTTGGCGCGCAGCTCTTCAATAACATGGGATGAATTGATCCCAGAGAATTTAGAATGCACCCCGATGATCGTTGCAGCCAATCCAAGGATGGGAACTAACCAAGCCACGACTCTGGCCAGGTCGGCACGCTCTTCAGGTGCGGAAGTATGATCTTGGGCCAGGGAAGTTGAAGTTGCCGTCCAAAGGTTCTGGACCTTATCAAGCGTAGTCTTCAGTTTACCCAGACCAGTGAGAGCAGGGGAAATGACACCTCGTTGGCGACGAATCGTGAAAAGAAGATGTTCAATAGAGCCCATACTTCTGAAGACCTCAACGTTAGTGAGCTCCTCAGAATAGTTGCGCGCAGCCAGACGGGTCTTGGGCAAAAGATCCAAGAGTCGGTGGAAGTACCAATCGGCGCTCTCAACTGCAGTTGAGGTCGCAGCGCCAGTTTCGAAGGCAGCGCTGGTCGCAAGAACTTGCGAGACAGACGCCTGGGTTTCGATGACACTTGTTCCGGCATTACGCTTCACGCCCATCTCGTAGAGTTGCTTCAGGGTTTCAGCGTAGAGACGTCGTTTTTGGGACTTGAGGTGCTGGACATCGTCCTTGTTGTCTTCGTTCAAGACCTTGGGGGTCTGGGACTTGAACTCCTTCATGCTCTCGATCACAGACACAATAAAGCTGTCAAGGTCCTTGGCAATGTCAAACTCGGCCGGAATTGCTGTATATAGATTCATCATGTTGCTGGCTGTGCCATCCGGCTTCTGGAATCTGAGCGCTCTGGTAGACCACACGTTCTTGTCTTTTTGACAGATAGCCATCGCCTCGGGGAAAACCGCGGTGGGTCTAACGGGCTCTGTTTGGGAAATCGAAGTAACTTCCTCGGTGATCTCTGAAAGGCCAGATTCAAGGACTGACTGGGCCGACTGGCCAAGAGCCGCACGGTACTTACGAACCACCTTGAACAACTTGAGGTGCGAGTTTTTGGCGCTTTGCTTCAAAGCTGCAATATTGACATCTTTCCAGCTGGCCAGCTGGATTTGCTCCTTGATGTCCCTTTCAAGAGTAGAACGCTTCTCGTTAAGAATCTTGTCTAAGCCGGATTGGAAGGGTGTGTAGTGGTGGAGGAAATTGTCAAGCGCAGAGACAAGCTGCTTGAGACAGGGATAATCCTTGGCGAAGACTTCAAGCAAAGCTTTGAAGTTGGACACAAGTTGTAGACGGCGAGCGAACTGACCCATGGTTGTGGATTTGAAGAATTGTTCCAGGGTAGTCATCAAGCTCTCGGTGTGTTCGCTCATGTCCTGCTCGCCTGACTCTGCCATCATGATCGGGGCTCCAATGAGTGCCTCGTAAGCGATGAACCACCAGGCACTAACGTCCTCTTCACACTTTTCCTTCTCAAGGTCCAAAAGTTTGGCCCAAGTTGAAAGTTCGAGACGACGCCAGCCAATCAGGGTCGTGGTGATCTCATCAAAGATTGTAACAGCTGTGTACTCCCTGCTGGCCACGGTCTGCCACTCATGCACTTGAGAATGAAGCTTTTCAACCTTGGTCATGAACTTGGCGACTGGTTCAGTATGTTTGAATTGAAGGATTTCCGTACAGCATGCGAGAACATCAGCCAACACAGCATGTTCAGGCCATGCGGTTTGGATCTGGGCGAAACGAGCCTGGGTAGAAAGCGTAAGAGAGACCAGCTTTCTAGCCTCGCCAAGGTTGGAATCAGTATAGAAGTTGTAGTTCTTCTGGTGATTATCCGCTCCCTCGTTGATAGCATCATCCAGGAGTAACAGAACTGCGGGAAGATGTGTTTGAGGGGTCATTGGCGAGAATGACGTCTCGTTGTCCGACCAGATTGAGCCCAAGAGCTTTCCAGATTGTTTGACAAGTGTAGTCAATGCAGTTCCAGTGCGTTTGTTGGAAACAATGTTTGCATGCAGCGCAGCAAGACGGAGAGCGATAGCCTTGGGGTCGATACGCTCGGCATCCTCGGCATCCTGGAGAGACTCTTCTTCAAAGGTGGGGAAGAGTGCATGAAGCTCGGCTTCGTTGACTTCCTCCTCCTCCTCCCAAGATCCCTTGAAATGATACAGCTCACCCTTTTCGGCCTCTTCTTCCTGGTCCTGCCTTAGCTTTGTTTTCCACATGTGATGGAATTCAGCGAAGATGCGTCGCACAATTCCTCGCCCGGCACTTGTCTCTAAGATGGAAGAATCTGCGTCCTGTGCAGCCCAAAGGGCAGACAGTTCCTGCAGTCGCATCTCTGTCGCATTCTTGAGTGAGCCAGACTGCCTCGAATCACCCTGAGCAAGGACAGGGTGAATGGTGCCTCCCAAGAAGGGCGTCAGCTGACTTAGGGACTGGATATCAGGTACATCGGCGGAATTTTCAGGTTGGCTAGAGGCCAGGAAAACACCGAGATCCAAAAGTTGCAAGAAGCGAACTACGGGGACTGCGATATCATCGTAAGATCTGTAGTGGGTGCTCAGGCGGCTGCTCAACTGTTTGATGTTGTTACGGAGCAGCTGGATCATATCCTGGGATTCGACCGATCTGGCAGAGCGAATCATCTGCTCGGGGTCTCTGTTTAGTACAGAATTGATCAAGTTCACAAACTCGCCTTGAAGAAGGCTCAGTTGAGAGTTCTGTGGACGATTGACCAAAGAAGGAGGTGGAGCAGAGCCCAAGTAATGGATCTCCTCACGCAGAAGCTCAGATCGGAGGTTGGAGATCTGGCTGGTGAAGGTCCTTTCAAATGCAAGGATGGCTGCAGACCTGGCGGTGAATTCTTCAAGTCGTTGGGCATGGCGCTTGCGTTGAACAACAAGGCCAAGCGAAGGATCAAAAGTCTTGTCGGGTACAAACAATCGCAAAAGAAGCACTGCCAACTGCACTGTTGCAAGTCCAGTGTTATGAATGCCTTGTTGCTGGTTTGATGGCTTTGAGCTCAATGAGGCAACAAGGTTTGGCAGAGCTTGCTCGGCGAGAGGCCTCAAGTAATGGGTACTTGGTAGGCTTTCGTCCAGCTTTATCTCAATTTGTGAGTGATCCTCGGACAAAGTACCGCTCTGAATCGACTGAAGCGCCGAAATGAGACTCTCAGCAGAGCCTGGGGCAAAGAATTGGCTATGACATCCCACTAGCTCAGCCGATAGTCGTGCAACAGTGCGTCTGAGGTCCATGGACTGATCTGTGGCAATTTGCTTGCTGCTGAGGGTGAGACCTTTAGAGAGGGCATTCTTCTCTTCCTCGAGCATGTCCAATTGACCCAATTTGGCATTGCCAATGGCCGTCAGCTTACCCAGAAGTGACAGCGATACAACGCCACCAAGAGCAAGCGCAGACTCCGATTGACTGTAAGAGCCAGAGAATAACGCAAGTCTGTGAAGTGCATCGGGCACATCACTTTGGAAGTTGGATGCGTCCAACGGGCGAGCTGCACGACCAGCCAAGAGCGGTAGAACTGTTTGAATGACTGTGTCTTTGACTGGATTCTGGAAGAAGGAAGAGATGTCATGATATTGACAAAGAGCTTCGAAATCATAGGCGAAGTATGGATACTCGGTAGACTCTGAGCGTCGAACCGCCTGAGAAAGCTCAGACACGGTTTGCTTGATACTCTGGACAAGTACATCACCATCGGCACCATCTAGAAGAATGAATCGCTGGGCGTCGATCAATGAGTCGCGGACCTGACTCAATTGAGATAGCTCCACACGAGTCTGCAAGGCCAATGTCGTAAATTCGAAGACAGTGGACTCCAGCTCAGTCAAAGAGTCTAGCTTCGCTTGAGAGACCGGGGTAACATGTCTCCAGGAGTCCCAGATCTTTTGCATGGAAAGACCAGTAGTCAAAGCCCAGCCCTCTTGGAAGCGATCAAGCGCCTGAGACAGTGCGACTTGCAGTGGCTGAAGGAGAGGAGAGGAGGTGAGGAGTGATCCACAAATTTTCCTACCCATTTGCAAATAGACTTGGAATTCACCTTCATCAACCTGGCTGACTTCAGTAGCCTTGTAGATGTCCCAGCTTAGGCAAATAACAGCTCGAAGAGCTGCTATGATAGCCGGGCCCTGGAGAGCGGTTCGATCCAGCGACTGAATATAGTCATACAAGGCTTGGCCACAATCCGACAAGAACGAGGCCACAGGCTGTGTCGAATCCTTCATCAACGCAGGGATGCGCTCAGATGCCAAAGATCGCTCCAGCCGTGTCATCTGGCTCGGCTTCAATTCCCTTCCGGACGTGTCCGCTTGGATCAAGCCTTGTCTGAGGCGATGGATGTCTTGTCTCAGCTCCTGGAGGTAGGCCAGTGCGATCAGGGTAGCTCGGAAGTCGCTGCTTCCTGAGATAGAAAGCAGAGGCTCGTTGGTGAGAGGGTGAAGGGGCTGCAACGCGCCCCGAATGCCAAGATGCGCACCCCCAAGAACAATTTCTCCGCTGGCTGCCTCAAGAGGCTTCCATTGGCTGTTGTCATGGAACAAAGAGGCGTAACGTTGCAGGACATTCGATGTCTGTGCCTTTCTATCGACCTCAGAATTGATGGCCTCACAATTACTTGGCGACTGTTGGAGGTAGGACAAATCGGTGGGCGAAAGGTGGTCTAAGCAGACTTCTAGGGCATCTGCAAAGGCGGAAGGTGACAAGGAGGTGTCCAAGTTCCAGATGTGACGAAGTCGATAGAGGAAAGATTCGCAAGTGTAAGATGGACCGATGGTGGGTTTGATGTCAGACAACTCACTCGGCAAGAAGCAGATCTCGGTACAGCGATTGCGCATAGCACGAGACAATTCGCCATTGCGAGGGTCCATAGTCAAGAAGAGTCTGAAGTTAGGGTGGGGTGTGATGATCCTAGCGGATCCATCCTCCGTCCGCTGCTCATTGAGGATAAGGGTACCGTTTGGTTCGGTCAACGAATTCAATCGATCTAGCACGGATGGGTTGCACAGATTGGCATTGTCAAGAATCACCCAGTGTCCATGCTGAACAGCCTGAGTGAGAACGCCCTCCGTCCACTCAAATCCAACCTTCATCTTATCAGATTGCTGAATGGCATTGAGTAGTTTCTGGGCCCTCTCGAGGAACTGTTGATAGGCTGGATCGACAGAGGATTCACAAAGGCTGGAAAGCGAAGCGATCACATTCTCCATCGAGATGTCTGCAGATTGGAAGTGCTCGCAAATACGAAGGGCAGAAATCACAAGATCAGAAACATCCCCCGAAGCAAAGCAGTGGATGAGCTGGTTTCGCAAAAATATCTCAATGTCGTGAACAAAGCCTGAAACTTCTCGGCGGTGGTCGATCTGCTCAAAACCACCAATCAAATCCATGGTGTCGGTATCAGCACTCAAGGCCAACTCGACGAGATTCGCACCATTGACAGCTGCTAGTTTTCTGATCAAAGTCGTTTTTCCACATCCAGCAGAGCCAACTAAGATGCTAGGCCAGGAGTTGTCAATGCACAAGATGAGTGATTCAACGATGTGAAGATCCTTTGGCAAGATTCTCATGTTGGGCTCAGCCAAGCGCTGCAGCAGAGGATCACGGTTCAAGATACCCAGACCAACCTGCAAATATTCAGGTGTGAGGTTGTGGAAGTAACTCTTCAGGCCAGTGTCTGAGTCCGTGAACACTCGGTCATAGATCTGAGAGACCACATTGCGGTCTTCTTCGGTTCTAAATCGCTGGTTGATGACCACATCGAGGAAGTGCTTTGTCTGAATCTGCAGGCTTCCTCGGTCGGCAAGTTGAAGCCATCGCTGTACATCTCGCAGATTGACCTCCCATGGGCCACCAATAGTGCCCAGTCGACGCTCTTTCGTGATAGCCTTATTCAAAAGGGAGATGAAGTCAACCAACCTTTCTGTCTGAACGGAGGGACTGCCAGGGAAGAGCCTGGAGCAGATGGTCTTCAAGTCATCATCTGTGAAGCTGTCGGCATAGACAACTGTAAAACGGTTGACAAAAGATGCGGGAAGACCCTTTCTGCCTCCACCCTGGTGATGAGGGTTCTGTGCAGCAAATAAAACGAAATCAGGGTGCCGCTTGAAAGTCTGATCCAGCTCGGCGATATAAACCTGTTGTCGGTGATCTAAACAGGAGTTGAGACCTTCGAGAACAGATTGAGAAGCCAAATTCATTTCATCCAGCAAAACCCAGTCACCACGCTGCATGGCTCGTAGGAAAGGTGCATCGCGCCAAGTAAATTGACCAACATCACCTCCCTCTACTGGCACGTCGGAACCAAACAAGTCTGTGAGATCTGTCTGCTCCGAAAGATTGATACGAGTGAGGGGCTTTCCCAGTGCCCTGGCTAAAGCTGTCACAAGTGTGGTCTTACCTACACCTGGACTTCCTTCCATGAGGATGGGCTTTGAGGATTGCAAGCCACGAGCAATTCGTACAGAGTTGGCAATTGTGGTGGGAGCATCCATGGTGAACTGCGGATCAGGGTCTGCGTTGCCAGCAGCGGGTAGGGCGAATGGCCCAACTCGGAGGACACCTGGTTCCACGGAGACACTGGTCGATTCTCCGTAGATCTTTGAGGCATCGACACCGAACAGTTCACTTAACTTTGTAAGACAAGACTTGCGGTTTCCCTCCAGATTGTTGAGGGACATGGCAAGCATGGCGGCTGGGTTGGCACCCAAAGTATCCACAAAGACCATGGCAGCTCCCTGAATGATGGCAAATTGCGTGTCTGGACTTTGCGATGTGTTGATGAAATCAACCCAGGCAAGAAGATCACGAATGGAGAGCGATGTGGTAGACGTGTTTTGGAAGGCCGTCTTAAACCACTTGGCAAACTTCAGCATAGACTTTGTCACCTTCTCGTCCTTCAAATTCAACCTCATCGAAAGAATGGGCAAAATATCCTCGTCTTCAGACAGCTGAGGCGCCCAAATTTCAGTCATACGATTGCGAAGAGCTGCGGACAGCTCACGCTTTCCGTAGTCACCACCAGGGTTCATAGTGGACAAAAATTGGAATCCACCATCTGCAACAACCATTGAATCAATAGGGCCCTTCTCAGCAAGCAGAATTGACCTAGCCGGTTCCAGAACACTGTTAAGTCTTTCGAGGACCGAATCGTCCGCCAAAGAAATCTCATCCAGGAGGAAGAATTGACCGGTTTTCATGGCAGTAATTAGACTTCCATCAGACCATTCAAACAAAGCATTGCACCGAACAGCATTCTTCTCGATATTACGCAGGAGAGCTTGATCCTTGGTCTGGCGCTCCTCTGCAGTCAAGGCAGTGAACTCTTGTTTGAGCTCGTCGAAGGAGGCACCAGAATGCTTTCCATGAAGAAGCGTCTGAAGGTCGTCCACAAGCAGCTTTTCAATTGCTGCTCGGTTTCGGATGGGCCTTTGCGCACCAATCAAGTCGCCAGTTTCCAAATTCACATGAGCGTTAACGATAAACAATTCCCTTCGGAAGGCTTCCGCAACAGCCTGGCAGAGCTGGGTTTTACCACATCCGGTTTCTCCGACGAGGAGAACTGGCTCGTTGTTTCGGAGGGCCTTGGAAACAAGAACGAAAATTCTTCTCATTGCCTTAGTCCACACAATACCAGTGGGTAGCTCACTCATCTCAGGGGCGTTCTTTTCCAGCTCTGCAGAACTGTACAGGGCATCCTCATCCAATTTGACTCTCATGACTTCCTCAATGATGGCTTTGACGGCAGCCTTCTCTTGGGGATTACGGACACGCTCACCTAGAAGCATGTAACCGTTAATTGCGAGTTGCTCTTTGTCATCTGCATCACGAAGAGCCCATCGGAAAAGGTCACGGAGGGTTGCAAAGCTGTTCTTCTGCTCGAAAAGGCGATTTGACTGGCGTAGCAAGGACAACTTTCGGTAAACAGAAACAATGCGGGTACAGAAGGATGGAGCGATCTGGGATCGTTCTTTCAAAATGAATTCGAGTTCACTTTCAGGGATATCATCGAAATGCAGCTCTAGGAAACGATTTCTGAAGGCACGAGACAATACTTTTCGGCCGCCGTAAAGACCAGCAGGGTTCTGGGTAGCGAACAACATGAAGTTTGGGTGTGGATGGACGACTTCTTGGGTCTCAGGGATGAATAGCTCACGGTTATCATCGAGTAGTCGGTTAAGAGCTTCGAGAACATCGGAAGGCGCCAGATTGAGCTCATCCAGCACGATCCAATAACCGTTTCGCAGCGCTTCCACCAAAACACCTTCTTGATAACGCAGGCTTCCATCATCCGTGGAGACGTAAGATCCCAGATACTCTTGTAAATCTGTATGCTCGTGGTTGTTGATACGGACAAATTTGTTTCCTGATACCTTAGCCAGATACTCAATCATACTGGTTTTTCCGGCGGAAGTTGGGCCCTGAAGGAGAACTGGGAATCGCCGAGTGGAGCTAGCTCGAACAAGATTCTTGAGGTTCTTTTCGATGAATGGGGTGATGATATAGTGTGGCTGTTCTTCTGGCGCTAAATGTCCACGGCGCATCCAGTAATGCTTGAATTGGACATAGTCGTTTCCATCCGTTGGGGCTCGAGGAGTTTGCCCAAGAAGAGACTTGGCGTTTTTTGCGCTGCCGAAGATATGCAGTTCAAGCAAGGGAATCAAAGATCGCTCGGAGTTCAGGCTAAGCACGGTCAAGAAACTCATGCTGAAACCTTCAAAGATTGCTCGGCGCAGTCCGTAGACATGAGCATGATCGATAACATAGATGAGAGCCCGAACAAGAGTACGAATACTGAAATGGGGTCGTTGTCCTGCTCCGTCGGTGAGTTTATTCTCATTGCTAAGCTTCTTGGTGATCATGTATAGCTGTGCAAGGTCTGGGACAGCACGCGGATCGCTGATGGTCAAGTCACCGAGGTATTTCTGGATCAGTGCAAGCAAATCATCCAGATCACTATCGGGAGAATGCACGTAAAACTCAGTGAATCGAGAACGCAGTCCTGGGGGAAGATCTCTCTTTCCAGCATCAGTCGCAGGGTTCATAGCACCGAAGATGCGGAACTCTGGATGGCCAAAAACCCTCTCAACATCACCTGCCTCGGAGAGAAGGACTGAGGGTGATCCTTCACTGCCATGATGTAACAGACTGGCGATGTTCTCGAGGGTATCAGGGGAAGCCAGGTTGACCTCGTCGAGAAGGACCCATTCGCCATTTCTCAAAGCCCTCACAATCTTACCCTGGACGAAGGCAAATGCAAACTTAGCATCGCCCTGGGCGACTTGGGCCTCGAAATCGTTGAGCTGGGTAGCAAAGCTCTCCCATCTTTGACGCAAGTGCTGGTACTTGGGGGAATCCAGCTTCCGTTTCTTAGCTGGCTGCTCATCGCCATCGGTAGTTGGGGGGTTGAACACGCCATTTGCGAGGCGAACAGCTTCCTGCCACAAAGTCACCAATCGGACCCAATTTGAGGATGCAGCACTCTTGGAGATTGAGGACAAGAATTTCTGGTTTTTCTTGGCTGAGAAAGTGAGTTCGAAGAGTTGAGTGAACTCGTCCAGCATGGGAACTGCCATTGTACGGATGTTCACTGGCTTGAAACCACCCAGAAGATCAGTGCTTTCGCTCTGCTGGGACAAATTTACTACAGTAAGCTTCTGGCGCATCAATGTTGCGAGATGCTGAACGACTGTGGTTTTTCCAATACCGGTCTCTCCAACTAGGAGAACAGGTTCTGCCATCTGGATCGAGGCAGCGACCTGTTCCATCAGACCCAGAGCAGCTCTGGTGGGAGCAAAACGTGAAGCTGCTGCAGCCATCTTCAAAGCAGATCCACTTGGTACCTTAACCTTGTGGCAAACCTCACGACCGAGTACAAGGCTGTTGTTCTTATCCGTATATGTGGGCGTGCGCTCCTCGAGACAGAATTGCGCTCGCTGCGGGGAGATCTGGAGGGCTTCGGCCACAACGGCCGCAAGGTTACTCTGCATCGACTTCTCGGGAAGATACTTAATGAAGATATCGACGATATCAAGGAATATTTCATCCTCGGTGCCCTCTGATGTGGGTTCATAACCAGTCTTTGCACCCATTCGCAGTAGACGATTGTGTAAACGGCTGCACAGTTTGATCAAATCACGGAATCCTGGAGTACGACCCTGGGAGCCCTTGATAGCAAGGCTTCCGTGGAAGGCAGAGCATACGCGCCCGTAAACATTCATTAGGGTTGGGACACGAGATTCAAGCAGCGAGAACTTCTGCAGGATAACATCACGCATCTCATCCACGGGAAGAGAATTTACCTGAACTCTCTCCCAGAGCCTACTTCCAAGCATTGAGCTGTTTGGTGCAATCTCTTCGCCAGCGATGTTGTATGATGACTTCATGGTTGCGATGATCTTAAACCCTTCGGCGCACTTGATGCGCTCCCTCCGGCTGGGAATAGTCAACTCCCCTCGCTCAATGATGGGTAGAATGAGACCCATCACTTCAGAAGGGGCACGGTTGAGGTCTTCAATCAAAACCCAGCGCCCTTCGCGGGCAGCCTTGGTTAAAACACCGGGTTGCCAGGAAAATGATCCAGATGCAGATGAAGTGGCATACATTCCAAGAAGACTCTTTGCATCTGTCTGCTCGTTCAAGTGAAGTGTGACCATGGATTCGGCCTGGCCCATCGTGGCCGCAATGTCGTTGATCAATGATGTTTTGCCAGAGTTGGGCAAACCAACTAACAGGACGGGCTTGTGTCCAAGCAATGATCCCGCAATCCGGCGCAGATTTCCAATTGTGGTACAAGTCTTCACAACAGATGTAGAGGCCGGAGGGGTATCTTTCAACCTGGGAATCAGAACTCCACAAATTTCTGCGGTCTTCGTGGTAAAGTATTCCTGTGTCTTCTCGACCAATGCCAGGGATTCGGATTCCACTCTAGAAGATCTCGCATTTCGAATGGTTTTTCCAAGAGAATCCCAGCGTCGCTCCTCCCACAATCCCAACAAGCGATAATCAATCATGGTGCCTTCCCACTCTCCTTCGATGGATTCGGCTCCAGTGTTGACGCGGATCATTTTTTCGGTGGCCGCATCTGCGGCGTGCATATACAAGGCAAAGCATCGCACAGCGAGATATCGTGTCACTCGGTCTTGTGACTGGAAGAGGGACTGCAGTTGGAGCGGTGAAACGATTGGAGAGAATGTTTCCAGATCAAACGAGAGGAGTCGAAAGAGGGCGAGGAGTAATAGTCGAATACTAGTTTGGTCCAACTGTAACAGTGTTAATTCCTTTGACATGGCCAAAGCTGCCAAAGGTCCAGTCTGTGATGAGGCATATTGACTGGCAAGCGACCGCAGATGAGGCGCAAAAGGTAAAATCTGCGAGAATGCCGCTAATACATGAATGTAGTCTGCATGTAAATCCGATTGAAGCCATCGAGCTGCAAGATCGACAAAAATCGGTTCGTAGAGCCTGAAAATGCTCTCTGTAAATTCGTTGTTCAATGCGCCAAGCGCAAGCGCGTGGAGGTGTTGAGTCCCCGATGCAGTCCGAATGGAATTAGAGATTTCGCTCGGAAGCTGCTCGAGCAGCTCGGACTCTGTTAGAGTCCTCTCATAGACCGGCCTTTGATCCATGGTTTCGGCCGTAAGAGAAGCTCTTGAGTGTAGTTTAACAACAAGTGAAGAATTCCGCTTCTCTCCAACTTTTTTTTTTCTGCCGCAACTTGTGGCGCAGCCCCGCCTGGGCTATCCACCGCCTTATCTGCGGAGCTTGCGCCACACTTGCGCGTCGAACCAAGCTGTTCCTTGAACGTTGCGACTGGGAGATGATCTAGCGGCTCATTCATGTTTCATGATGCCAATCAGTGGTCAGGCCTCGGGCAGTGAGGACTGGTCGTCAAGAGATCAGGATGAACCTCAACTGAATCGGGAAGCCGAACGGCTACATGAACCGTCTGTACTTGAAGCTCCACCTTTTGATACAAGACTGACCCTATGGTATCTTCAGAATATCCTTTAAACGGAAAACAAAACAGCGATCGCGATTCAGTCTATCTAGTCTTCTCTCCCCCACCGCTGGCGGTTCGGACACTGGATTCAGCTCTCCCGCGCCGCAAGGTGGTCAGAACGGAGACGCATCACCCCTCGACCCTTATGCGCCGATAGGGTTCGGTAATGGGGCTGAGAGATCAAAAGACGGCGGTCCTTTAGATTGGTATGTTGAAGGACCGGGCAGACGTGTGGGCTACGACGACTTTACCGCTATCGATTGGATCTACGAATACACGAAAGAACGGCAAAGGAAACGACTTCTTTACTCAAGTGGGCAAGGTTTATTGGGCCATGCGCGTCGGCTTCTTGATGCAAGCAATGTTTGGCTGGTGTTGATTGCGACCGGTATCGCTGTAGGCGTCATCGCTGCCTCGATCGATATTGCTACAGATTGGTTAGGTGATTTGAAGGCTGGATATTGCAAAAGCGGCAGTGGAGGCGGAAAGTTCTATCTGAATAAGAGCTTTTGTTGCTGGGGTCTGGATGGTAGGCCAACTCTTGCTTCCTAAACCCAATCGTCGCGGTACTCATTGCTGTATAGATTACTCGAAGTGCCTAGATTGGACACCGTGGGGCAATGCACTAAACGCAAGCTCCAAGGGAGGAGTGTACACAGTCGGATATATCTTCTACGTTGTGTTTTCGGTAATCGACTTCCAAGCGTCTTGTTATACGCTTTGCTGACCATGTGCAGGTCTTCTTTGCGGCATGTGCTTGCTTTTTGGTCAGAAACTATGCCATTTATGCTCGACACAGTGGAATCCCTGAAATCAAAACCGTTCTTGGTGGAACTGTCATTCGTCATTTCATGGGGCCGTGGACCCTGGCTATCAAATCCCTAGGCCTGGTGAGTGCAGCTGCATGCTCTGAAATGGAGATTTACTCATCAATTCCAGTGTCTTTCTGTCGCATCGGGACTATGGCTTGGTAAAGAAGGTCCACTCGTACATGTTGCATGCTGCTGCGCCAACATTCTGATGAAACCATTTGACAGCCTAAATGGTAACGAAGGTACGTTCCTGGTTCTGCATTAATACTTCCTGTATACTCATTTAGTAGCACGCAAACGAGAGGTTCTCTCGGCAGCTGCAGCTGCGGGTATTTCAGTCGCTTTCGGGGCACCAATCGGAGGAGTGCTTTTCAGTTTGGAGGTACGAGTGTTCTGAATTATCTGCTCATCTGGATCTTGTTGACCTTTGCAGCAATTGTCGTATTATTTCCCGGACAAGACAATGTGGCAAAGCTTCGTCTGCGCCATGATTGCAGCTGTAACTCTGCAAGCCTTGAACCCGTTCCGGACAGGAAATATTGTGCTATATCAAGTCACATACACTCGAGGCTGGCATCGCTTCGAAATCATCCCATTCATCATACTTGGTATTACAGGTGGCCTGTATGGTGCATTCCTCATACGGCTCAATACGAGAATTGCCAAGTGGAGGCGAGCTCGAACCTCTTCCCGGCCAATCATTGAAGTGGTGGTCGTGGCCCTGATCACGGCGTTGGTCAACTATCCCAATCATTTCATGCGAGCTCAGAACTCAGAGCTTGTCCAGTCGCTATTTGCGGAGTGTAACAGTGCCACGACTGACCGATTCGGGCTTTGTGCCACAGGCTCTGCCTCCATCGGTGTGGCAATCTATCTCGTTGTGGCTGCCCTGCTTGCATTCTTCTTGGCTTCATTGACCTTTGGGCTTGAAATTCCTGCCGGTATCATTCTTCCTTCAGTTGCTATTGGTGCTCTTTATGGGCGAGCATTGGGCATCATGGTTCGCATGTGGCAAGAAGCTTATCCGAAAGCTTTCCTATTCGCAAAATGCGAACCAGATATTCCATGTGTCACGCCTGGACTGTACGCCATCATTGGGGCTGCTGCTGCCCTTGGAGGGGCTACCCGAATGACTTTGTCTATTGTTGTGATCATGTTCGAGCTGACTGGTGCATTGACATATGTTATTCCGATCATGATCGCTGTTATGCTGTCCAAGTGGTGCGGTGACATCTTTGGAAAGCGTGGTATCTACGAGTCATGGATTCGATTGAACGAGTATCCGTTCCTTGATCATCGCGATGATACTACGCCACCAGACGTATCTGCCCATCGAGTTATGACGACGGTGGATGATATCAGCATCATCACTGCGACTGGCCACACAATATCTTCCATCCGCACCCTGCTCGCGAACACCACGTACCGTGGGTTCCCCGTTGTCTCTGAAACGTCGAGTCCTATCCTACTAGGGTATATCACTCGCAATGAGCTTTCTTTTGCGTTGAAGTACTCTACTTCACCATCCACTCGTAATCTTTCTGAGGAGACACAGGTCTTCTTTTCCCACCAGCCATTTGCGGATCCTGTTGATACACTTGACTTGCGACCTTGGATGGATCAAACGCCCATCACGCTGAACAGTAACATCACCTTTTTGATCGTGCTCCGAATGTTCCAACGTCTGGGCCTACGTTATGTTCTCTTTGCCAACAAGGGCATTCTACAAGGATTATTGACCAAGAAAGACGTTTGGTCAGTGCTTAACGGTGTCGAATTTCGCCGAGAGGAATCCCTTCGAGATGAGGACTTCCGGGATTCTGGGAATCACCACGCGGCTGAAGAAGTTGGATTGCTTGATGGCAATGATAGGTCCAGCATTGGCAGCTCCTTACGGCGGGACTCACTTTGATATCTTCTGCCATCTCTTGTATATTTGGTCTGTACGGAGTAATTTTCTACATGTTCAGAAAGAAATACCGTGGCAATTTGCTTCATTTTTATTCATTCTCTCTCTCTCTCACCAGGAATAATAGCTATAAAATATATAAGTAAAGCTGAAGTACTCCGTACTTATACCTAGGCAAGTCCAGATCTATCATAAAACGCCAAGCCTTCTCACCTCCCCCACGTTTGTCATCAATTTAGGCCGACCGCCCTCTCTCCCACCTATCACAGTACGCGATGTCTACTCACAAATATTCTCCAATCCTTGGACAAACTGGCGACAAGATGATGATTGATCCGTTTGAAGTGCGCATGCGCTTCACAACACAACTGCAACATCTGAGCGCCGCTGTCACTCCTGCCCAAAAGGCTGCCCATTATGCGCTCAAGTATCGTGACCTTGATGAGGACCTCCACTCATGCATTCTGGAGCAGCTTGAACGAGTAAGGAAGCAACGATCAATTGCGCTCATCACATGCTTACAATAATCTCATCAGAACAACATGAACAACCGGGCCAATATAATGTATTTCATTGAACACCTCTGCGAAATGGCCATCAAAGAAAACCACCCTCCATACGTGCGGATGATGCAACGCGACATTCTCCGGGTGGTGGACTCGGTCGTTCCCCCAGACGGGACTGGCGCGGCCAATGTCAAGCATGTGCGACATGTGCTGAATGGTCTACAGGCCAAGGAAGTTCTCGCCGCCAGCACCGTGGCCGAAATCGACGCTGCTTTGAAAGACCGCGAATCAGACCCCTCACACATGGACCTTGAACACGAAGATGGTACCGAGGATGCCAGCAAACCCAAAGCGGAAAAGCCACAGCTACGCCTGGATAGGAAGCAGATCGAGCAACGCATTGAGGAAGATCGTGAACGCAACAAGCGGTTGCGGGAGAGTATGTGGGCCATGACTGGCAACGATCGAGACGAATATAACCAAATGTGGGACGAACTGAGCCCTATCGGCGAGGATGACTTCATTCGATCTCGGGAGGAGGCCATCGAACGCGCTGAATGTGCTCGCAAGCATGTGGAATTTTACAAGAAGCTTTATGACATCGAGGATTAACTGTGGCGGGAAGCACTTGTCTAGGGGTTTGCATCATCTTTGGAGTTCTGGCCCATCCTCTCGGCGTTCAGGGTGTTTGGAAGCGCTTTCATGTTCTTGGGGAGATTCATAGCGTTGGGGAGAATTATCTATCGTATCAAAAGTAAATACAGCCTTGTCCCAACCGCTCGGCATCTTCGCTATAGGTCAATCCCCTGGCACATATCGATAGGTTCCTCCTGAAGTCTTCAGAGGCCCCTCAAAGGCGCCTGATTAACCTTGGGGACGATAGTCTCTCAGGCTTGACAATCTATATCTTTCAGCGGGGTGAACCTAAGCCAATCCTGCTCAAGTGGCGGGTAGCCCTTCTTGCACATAAACTTTAGAAGTATCTGGGGCTACAGGTGTACCTAGGCAGCCAGGGGTCCTCCGGCCTTTCTGCTCAAGTGGAAGTGACGAATCTCGGATAAGTTCTGTTCCATCGCGGTCAGTATGAAGACGCTATACTGTGATGGTACTAGACTCCGCAGTTGACGATCAGTGGGTCTCTCGGGGTGGAAACCATGCCTGTAAAGAAATCGGAGATAATTACTTCTGTGAAGTTTGGATGTTCGATCGACGTGTATATTAAGCAACTCCGTCTTGCAACCCCGAGCAGCACGCGTCAGCTTTGTTTAGACTGTATACGATATATGGGCCTGGTTCTAAAGTTCGTGGTCTGTAGTTCCAGCCTCGGAGCTCTAGAGATATATAAAAAGTAGAGAACCGACCAGGAGAAAAACTCGCAACAAACCCTGGTTTTTTCACACCATCTCAACATTTTTTCGGTGCCTTTCAGCTCTGGTGGACATTGGAAACGGCCTCAGGACAAATCATGATTTTTTCCAAAGATAATATCACCGCTTTACTGGTGGTAATTGGAATTTTTATCCAGCAAAGCCTTGCCTTGACGAACAAATCGCTCCCAACACCCGAGTTGATTGACTTTGATGACGATGGTGTCGTTGGTGGCCTCTACCGACCAGCGGAAGCGAATGGAAAGTCACGTATTGCAGTTTATGTGATGCATGCCGAGCAAGACTATCTATCATTCTCTGCCTGTACCGAGCTGCCCAAGCGAGGATTCACAACTTTCTGTGCAAACAATGATGCTAGCAAGAGCGGGTACATGTCTGACCTTAACTTCGAAGACATGATGACCGATGTGAATCAAGGAATGATGTATCTTCGAAATTTGAGCGAGATCGATCAAGTCGTGATACTTGGACACAGCGGCGGCGGTGCCATGATGGCCGCATACCAAAACATAGCAGAAAATGGTGCTTCTGCTTGCCAGGGATCAGAGAAAATCTATCCATGCTCTGATGCAATGGAGAATCTCGAGGCCGCCGACGGTCTGATCTTGATTGATGCAAACTATGGTATCTCAACTATGGCGTTCTTGAGTCTGAACCCAGCCATCATCGATGAGTCCACAGGTTCCAAGATCAATCAGTCCCTCAATTTATTCAACACGACGAATGGATTCCGCAATAATACCCGTTCCAAATACACCACTGAATTCAAGAAGAACTTCCAAAACGGCGTGGTGGCCCGCAACAATCGCATTCTCAAATACGCCCAGCATAGACTTGCTGAAATTGAAGCTGGGAGGGGCAAATATGGAGATGACGAACCGTTCACCATTGTGGACTCATTGTATACCGGCTTCAATAACAAATTCTTCGCCCAGGATACGCGGTATCTTGCACACACCACCCATGCTTGGCCATTGCTGCATAAGAATGGAACCACCCGACAAGTCGTTCCCTCTGTCCGAGTCGCGAGCAACTTCAAAAGCCTTGCAACCAACTTCCAAGATGGTGCCCTCAAAACGACCATTAAGCGGTACCTGTCGACCTTCGCGATCCGAATCAATGAGAATTTTGCATACAAGGCCGACGGACTCGATGGCATTGAATATGCCTCCAGTCAGCTAGCACCTGTTGCTTCGATCAGGGGTGTCAACGTTCCCCTGCTCACAATGGGAAACACTGGCCACTGGGAATATTTGAACGCAGAGAAACTCCATCTTAATGCTGGTAGCAATGATTCTTCCATTGCCTTTGTTGAGGGTGCGCAGCATACGTTGGAAACATGCACTGCTTGCGAGTCTTACCCTGGGCAATTCGGTAACACCATGGATACGGCCTATAACTACATGGAGCAGTGGCTACAGACTGAAGGGCGTTTTGTCTAGGGTATCAGGCTAGAATCGATCTTGATGTATACTAGCTTTAGCATGGATGAGCGGACAGGGAGCCATGAAGATTCTTCATCATCCATAGATGTATAAAATGATATAGCATTGAGGGCGCCGCCGGTGAATATCGATAACACAAAATCCACATTCAGCTATTGTACCTAGGTACATTTCCCTCCACAATCAAACAAACTGGAAACCCCGCGTGGGGCAAAGATTTGCACCGAAGATACAGCATAGCAGGTTTTAAAACGGCACTTCTAGGAGGCATGCGCCACAAAGCAGGAATTCAGCCAAGGAGGCGACTTTGAGGGCATGGTCTAAAGATCCCCAAAAGACCAAGAAAAAAAACATTATTGGAATCCTTGCCTGAGTGAAAGCACAAAACAAGTTCGAACGCGCTGTGAATGAAGGGGCCAATAAAAAAAGTCACGATCCATGGCAAATGCCTCAGACTGGGATAAATGAAGTTGGGCTACTGTATACTGCCGTAGGCTCCAGCTCCCGAGGTCCATCTGCCCAGGTGGGCGGGCAGGCCCCCTGGCTCAGGCCTGGGCTAGGCCCCGGGGTGGGGGGAGGGGGGGGGGGCTACAAATAGAAGACTTACTAAGCATGACTCCAGCCGAGGCCAACCAATGAGAACGCGTTCATCAGATCATCTTCACGCGACGGTGTCGCGTCATATCACCGATATTCCACCATCGCGATGTCGATGGATTCAGAGTCAGATTATTTTGATGATGATGATGACTTCGTGGTGCCGTCCACCCCGGATGGGCCTCCCCGTCCTTCGAAACGCCGCCGTTTGGAAAATGAACGAGATGAAGATGGCTCTTCAATAGATTCATTCTCGGATGATGATTTACCGGCGCAGCGACGAGATTCACCGATCCGATTTGAGGAACACCAAGGCCGCTCGAACAACAAGAGTTGTGTATTGAATAATGCCCGGGTAGAGAACGAGATGTTCGTCACCCAACTCACACAGCCATCTTCGAGCCCCGAAAGAATACGAGGTCCACGATGGCAGAAGCCTGGCACCAAACCCCCTCCGCCGAAATTCGATCAACCCCCAGGAAAAAGTGGTGGACAGAGAGTACAAGACCCTGCGCAGGAGGATGAGGGGCTGAGGGCCGCTATTGCGGCTTCCCTAAACTCGTTTGAGGAGGAGCAGAGCAACAGAAGTTTCCAATCCCAGAGCCTCTCAAATTGTCAACCATCGAGGCCTCCATCCCACCAGCGGGCACATGTGGATGGTTCGGCAGAGGATCCGTTCGATCTTGCAAACATACCTGATGGGGCATTTGATTCTTCTCCATCCTCATCACCAATAGCAAGACCAGCACAGCCTGCTCCTCCGCAGATAAACCAACCTAGAGCTCCAATCCGACAGCCAAATGTACGGCAAACTACACTTTACGGCATGATTGTGGCAGACCCCGAACCCTCTGCAGCGCAACAGCAGGACTCAGGCCCTCCACAGGGGATTGAGCCACCCACCCATCACAAACTTGTGAAGAATACTACGGACACATGGATCTATCCTACAAATCTGGGCAAGACCAGAGATTATCAATTTAACATCACCCAGGCAGGGTTGTTTCACAACTTGCTCGTCGCTTTGCCGACTGGTCTGGGAAAGACCTTCATTGCGGCCACCATTATGCTTAATTGGTTTCGCTGGACAGAAGACTCGCAAATAATTTTTGTCGCACCCACGAAGCCTTTGGTCTCCCAGCAGGTGTCTGCTTGTCTCGACATCGCAGGGATACCCCGCTCAGCGTCAACTATGCTCACCGGAGGAGCGTCGCCAGGGATTCGTGCCGAAGAGTGGAAATCAAAGAGGGTCTTCTTTATGACACCTCAGACCTTGATCAACGACTTGAAGACTGGAATTGCTGACCCAAAGCGAGTTGTCTTGTTGGTCGTTGACGAAGCCCACCGTGCCACAGGTGCATACGCATATGTCGAGGTCGTGAAGTTTCTCCGGCGTTTCAATAACAGCTTCCGCGTTTTGGCCCTTACCGCGACCCCGGGATCGACGGTTGAATCCGTGCAAGAGGTCATCGATGGTCTGGATATAGCACGGGTTGAGATTCGCACGGAAAACTCAATAGACATTCGCGACTATGTTCATGACCGCAATATCGAGACTGAAACGTTTGAGAATTCAGATGAGATGGTCTTTTGTATGGACCTCATGTCTGCGGCTTTGAAACCATTACTTGATCAACTCCACACCCTTAATGCATACTGGGGACGAGACCCCATGGGACTCACCGCGTTTGGACTTACAAAGGCAAGACAGCAGTGGATGCTATCTGACGCTGGTCGAAATGCCAATTTTGGACTCAAAGGCAAAGTGAACGCCATTTTCACGGTCCTTGCTAGCTTGGCCCATGCGATCGACCTTTTGAAATATCACGGAATCGTGCCGTTCTACCGGCATGTCCTTCATTTCAAGTCTGGAATGGAGGGACAAAAGGGCGGAGGCGGCAAATATCAGAAACAAGTTGTGCAACATGAGAGCTTCAAAAAATTGATGAGTCACGTTGATCCTTGGAGCAAAAACCCTGAATTCATTGGCCACCCAAAATTAGAATATTTGAAGTCAGTCATTTTGAATCACTTCATGGACAGAGGCGAAGGCAAGGAGGCTGCCGATGGAAACACTCAACCCGCAACACGAGTTATGATCTTTGTCCATTTCCGTGATAGCGCAGAAGAGGTCACCAGAGTGCTCAAAAGATATGAACCCATGATCCGACCCCATGTTTTCGTCGGTCAATCCAGCGCCAAAGGCTCCGAGGGCATGGACCAAAAAACCCAGCTTCAGATCATTGAAAAGTTCAAAAAGGGCACATACAATACAATTGTTGCTACCTCGATTGGAGAAGAAGGATTGGATATTGGAGAAGTCGATCTCATTGTGTGTTACGACTCGTCCGCATCGCCAATTCGAATGCTGCAACGTATGGGTCGAACAGGTCGTAAGCGGGCTGGTAACATCACACTCTTGCTGATGAAAGGCAAAGAAGAAGACTCTTACGTCAAAGCCAAAGACAACTATGAAAAGATGCAACAAATGATTGCCAGTGGATCGCGGTTCACATTCCACCACGACCGCTCCGCCCGCATCTTGCCTGCTGGCATACGCCCAGTGCCTGATAAGCGACAAATCGACATTCCCCCAGAGAATTCGCAACAAGAACTGCCTGAGCCCAAGCGTAAGGGAAGAGCACCAAAGCGACCACCAAAGGTTTTCCATATGCCAGAGGGCGTGGAGACTGGATTCACCCGAGCCTCGACCTTGGATGGCGACAAATCCAAGAAACCCGCACCCAAAAAGGCTTCTACCAAGAAAACCACCGTTCCTAAAAAGCGAGTCCGAGAACCTACACCTGAGCCTGTCGAGATTCCATCTCTCGACGATGTAGTCCTGGACCCGAGTTCACAACGGGATCTAGAAACACATTACCAGAATGTCGGGGACACATCTCCGCAAGTTATTCGATATCCTCGCAACGATGCCTTTCCAAACCTGCAGCTTGTTCCCAGACCCACGGGCAGTGTCACGCATGGTTCGCACACACGACGCGTAGTAGCCGCGTTGAAAAAGATGGACCAGGCCGATGCTAGTTGTGATCGTCGATTCAAGGATATCCTCGCCCGCGAACCACCGGCTACGGATAAATCTAGTCTCCTGTACGAGGAACCTTCGAAGAAACCACGGGATGCTGCCCGACCCCCGAAAACACCTTCAAATCCAAGTACGAAGCGCATTTCAGCGAAAGACCCTGCGAAACCCGCTGGCGGGGAGGCTCTTTCGTTGCTGTCTCCTGTTCGTGAAACGAGGCCCATGGGGTTCGGATTGGACGATGATCTGATCGATGATTTGGACGATGATTTCGACCTCGATCTGCTTGACCCCAGCGATTTGTTCAGCAGTGGTCGTAAGAAATCCTGAGAGCACAGCAGCTGCTTGGGTTCGGCGATGCATACTTGCGTTGAACGCTTCAACTGATTGAATCTAGACTAAATTTCTATTTCGGGTACAAGCACTGGAGTAAAGATTAGCTCGCTCCAAGCTGTGAGCTGTGATTTACTTCATCTCAATCATGATTGCTTCAAGTAAACCGTAGATGTAGGACATGTGGATAATTTGGTGCTTTGCAGCTATCATATTTCTTCTTGTATTCCATTCTAGTTTAAGAAGGGAGAAAGCCCAACTACCTAAAACCAAATAAATCGAAACCTCCATCTATCAAATAACTCCAAACGTGGGCTGGGGCGGTATTTGGGTATTTGTGATTGTAAAAAGATGTCAAACGAGAAAAGTAACCCGAGAGAGCAAATAGGGCCGAGAATCATCGGATGATTTCATGCATGTGTGAGGATTTAGTATGTGCGCGTAGCATAGCAAAGAGGAAAAACAAAAACGAAAGAGTATCGAGCTCCAGGTGCCTCGAGGACAAATCTACATCAATGCAAAGAGGGACTAAACGAGTGAATTAAACGCGGTCGCGGGCAAAATCGAGAACTTCGCAGTCGTCCTCGAAAAAGCCATCGTCGGCCTTGAGGGGAGTGGAGTGTCTCTTCTTCCGACGAGTTGTGATCACAACTTCCTCGACGTTACCCGTGCTATTGCCGAGGGTAATGAGGTTCTCTATCTCACCCCCAGCACCGAGCGAATTGCCGTGAATAGCAGCGTTCTCATCTTCATCGTCACCGTGATCATCGCTGCTACTATTGAATGATCTCAGATGGACTTTGGTCATTGGGATCTCATTGCCGAAAACCCACGGGCCATTCGGCGCACTTCCGTCGCTGCCAGGAGAAAACACACTCAGTCCAACCCTTTGGTCCGTATGGAAGGGTTGATATGGGGTGTTTGTCTCAATCTCTGCCTGCGAGAGAGGCTGGCAGAGTGGTCGGGAGGTAGAAGGCTGAGAACTGGCGGATGGCAGAACCAGAGTGGCATGCACTGCCAGATCTGGATCAAAAGTAGCCATAGGGGCTGGACCACACGGGCCTTGCAGGTTGGCAGGTAATTTGATCTGAGACTCTTTGCCACCCACGACAGAGTGAGGCTGGCGGCTTTTCTGACCCGAGACAGAGGCGCGCTTGAGACGATAAAGTTTGAAAAACCCACCATCAACTACACCAAGGAAGATCAGACCCTTGGTGCAGATCCAGGTCACTCGCGAGGACGCGGGGTCTCGAGCAAGCCCTGATAAATGGAGGCGGTTCTCGCCAACGTGACGCAAGGTATTGACCGTTCCGGTAGCCGCACCCATAGACTTACTTAGGCCAGCGGCAACAACCTTTCCGCTCTTCACGCTGGCGGCCGATGGAAGTGCAAATCCACTCATATTCGGAAAAGCAGCCCCAGTAGACGGAACACGACCCCGCACAGCGGAAAAGAAAGGTTGTGCCTTGCCACCTACCAATTTCATAGCTGCTGATAATGAGCTTCCGCCCGCAGTAGGCTCATTAGCTAAGTCTTCTGACACAGAGTCAGTATGTGGTGCTTTAGTTGCTGTCGGCTTTCCGCGACGGAATGGAGGCCATTGGAAAGCACTCCGAGGTAGGTCGAACACGTGGACAGTGCCTTTACGGGTAATGACAGCCAATCGGTCACCCGTAGGCGCAGTCCAAATCACATCGACAATGCTGGATGTAGTTAAGCGTGCATATCTAGCAATCTGTCGTACATTGGGATTTTGACCGGTTTGGTCATCGGCCATGAAAGCTGTTGACCGGCAATATTTGAGTTGCATCAGGTCCCACACATATTGAACATCACCCTTCTTACTGGCTGTGAACAACATCAGGCCATTGGGTGACAGCGATAAAAAGCTGCAGCCATTGGGTACCTGGAAAGTCGAGACAGGGTGGGTGAGAACATTTCGGATATCGCTACTGTCTTCAAACCGCCCTAAGTCGATGATAGACACCGTGTCAGGCTCAGATGGCGAGGCCTGTGTATCCTGACCATGTGTAGGTGGGAAAAGCCCATACCCCTGGGGTTGGGAGTCCGGGCCTGGAGGTGGCCGGCGTGGAGAGGTGCCAGATGCTTGTTGGGCATTCCAATAGTTGTTCCATGCCTGCATGCCTTGGTCGCCCATCCAGCGGGCACCTTTTACAAGCTCTTGGGCAACCCCTCTTGCCATCTTATCTAGAAAGCTTTCTCCTTCGCCAACATCAGTAGCACATGAAACTGAAGGCACTGCAGGAGGACCACGGGTATCAATCCCTGTAGCTTTGCCGTGACACAAGCTTGAAGGAACAGTTCCATGTATCGATCCTCGGTGGGACGAGGACGGTGGGGCAAAAGCCAGCCATCTTCCTTGAACGGCCAAAATCGGCCTCTCGAGAATTGAAGCACGGTGTGGAGAATCTGAGCGAGTCCCTTCTGGCTCGGTAGTCGAGCTTGAAGAAGTCGAGTAGCGACGACTTCCTTGCGACTGCACCCCAGTCCAGGTCTTACCCAAGCACTGGTAAGTACCCGCTTCAGGGGATGGAGCATGTCTATAGACATACAGTTCACCACTGATCCCTGAAGCGAGGACAATATACGCCCCTGAGGTGTGTAGTTTCAAACTGCCCACCGCTGGAGGCGCAAAGGATGGAAGGCCTGGAAGGGTCTCTAGGCACGGCACAGGTTTGCTTGCAAAGAGGGTAGTAACATGTTCGCCAGTCCGGAAAGAGTAAACCTCGACTCGGGTTTGATAAAATTTGGTTTCATCCCGTCCACGTTTATCGTGGGAAGGACCTCGGATCATAGATGGGGCGACCTCGTTTGCATCCGATGTTGTGGATGAGACACGACCATCTTCTTCGGTTGGGGGCTGTGGGCCGTGAACTACAACAGCCACATGGGGCCTAGATGATGCGAAAGGATCACTTGAAGAGTGACTGGTCAAAAGTTTCGCTTCAATCACACGACCGTTCAGCCCGGTGATTTGTCCGACGAGCCGCGTTCGACGATCCTCAATGGCAAGTATTTCCACTCCGCCGTCTGTTCCAACCAACAAAACATTCATTCCTGTCCGTGATGCTTTGGGCGATAAGTTGGGCAACGTATCGAAGCCGCAGAACGTATAATTTCCGTCGGTGAGTGGTCGGTTCTGGCTCGGAAGAATATCAATCTCCGGTGCTCCGAAGAAATGAGCCTGGGGAAGATGAGGGAGCGGATGTGGGTTGCCCATGGGGCTTCCGTAGGAGTGGCTCTTTCTTCTATCCACAGATTGTTGCCTTGACTGCATGCTGCTTCGGTAGCCGTTGCCATAGCCATTTCCGTAGCTAGATGGTAAGGTCCGAGTCTGAGGCGATGCCGAGGAGGGATTGCTGAAGCCACGCTCTTGAATAGTAGGGAAGTTCAGAGGTGACGCATTCGGAATGTCTCCATCCATGAGGTCGGTAGGAGGACTCTTTCCATAAGGCACAGACTGGGCCCAGGTATCGGTGCGAGTAGTGAAGTCGTCACCTGGGGGCCCGTCGAGCGAGTCGAGAGCACCCAGTGCAGGCGACGTGATAGGGGGGTTTACATGCTCAATAGGGGGCTCAGGGGCGGGGAGAGGTTCAGGCTCAGGTTCCGGCTCAAGTGTGGGCTCAGGTGCGGGCTCAGGTGCAGGTGCGGTCTCAGGTTCACCAAGAGTTTGCTTAGATTCAGGTTCATGATCTGGAATGGATAACTCCGCCGGGGGCGGAGAGAATGCTGGGATACTGTCCATGTAATCACGCGTCAATGGCGCGCGTTCATCAGAGAAGCAATCACCGGGTACATACTCATCCGGTGGAGTCTCCGCTGCTGCCTTGGCTGCCTTGGCCTTCTTGCCTTTCTTCTTTTTGCTTTTCCCACTTGGTTCATGCTCTGGAATGGGTCTGGGCTGTTCCGGGATGAAGGGACTATCGTCTTCGAGAGACCGGCTGTGCTGGCGGATGAGGTCGTCAGGTGCTGCCGGGGGCATTCAAAAGATGATGCCTCGGGAAGAGGCGGTAGAGAAGTTAAAGGAACGAAGCCGCTCTCAGGACCTTACTTTGGTCTGAGAACGGGGGACGTTTGGTATCGCCACGGGAATTGCCACCGGGTCCTCGGTATCACGAACGAGAGGTCTTTCTAGCGTGTCAGTCATGAACAAACATCGGTGACTGTCTAGGTAACCTGTATTCAAACACACACCTGGACAAACAAAGATCCAAACCTAGGCAAATGAAGGTGGTCTGCAAGCACCACCTTGGGCGTATCTAGAGCGGAGATCACTCTAGACCCGCGGGGAAGCTTTGATAAGAGATAAACACGATACGACAACAGCTTGAGAAGTTCCCAGCTGCAAAATTAAGGGTAATCCAAAAGTTGACTTGCATCCAGGACGCAAGTTGTAAGAGTAAGAATGAGTCAAGAGGGAAGAGGAAGGATGATGTTATGGTTCGCGATAAGAAGAGGGGGGGCTGACCCCGGGTCATCAGTCAGGTACGGGGCTATTAGGGATGAGAATAAGGGGGGAGGGGGAATCCTGAGTCAGAGAGCGGATATAGTGGGATAATGACCCCCGGAAGGTCATTCTGATTGGAAGTGTGATCCCCAAGGTTCGGACATTCTTTCTACCCTTTTACAGTATGTTCTTGTTTCTCCAATCCTGACGCTACAATAGCCCTTGTGGTCTCTGGTGAGGGGAGCAAGCAAACAATGCAAACTCCGATAAGGACCCTTAGTCATAACCTTGGAAGAGACCATGGTCCCACGGGTCTTTGAAAGGTTTCTTGAAATCAACTCTTTGACATCGCCTCCTTGCATTATATCCGCGTCCAACCGGGACATTCCTTGTTGCCCATTTCTTGTTTGGGTGGTGAATAAAGTTGGCCAACCGTTAAAGCGTGGTCCTCGTCATCGTACACGGTCACGGGTCATGACGAGCGGATGGCAAATGCGATCTGACCGTCATTGGCCACAACCGCGCGCATTTTAGGCCGGTGGTCACCGAACTACGCGAGGGCCTGACATACAACACATCCAGTAACCATCTGGCAACGTTGAATCCCAACGTACCGGCCGGGATGGGACCAACTGGCAGGGCATGGAAGGCAGAAAGGCGCGCAACGGAAACAAAAATTAATTATCTGCAAATGGGGTTTAATAGCTGCAGGGCTGATGATCGCTGACGGTACTCCGTACAGTATGCTGTCAAAAGAGTGCCCTTGCTGCTAACAGAATTACCACAGTCGCTTAGATCTTCGCTTAGGTCTTCTTCTTAGCTGCAGCCTTGGCCTTGGCCGCCTTCTTCTTGTTGCTGTTGATCATAACAATTCCAATAAAGGTGCCGACCACGGCGGAACCCAGGAGGGTGAGGATAACGGGGATGCGAATGGCCCAAACACGGGGCGGGAAGATGTCGTGGAGAGGGTGGCCTGGGTCGACAAAGGGCTGCGTGGAAATGATCAGTAAGAGCCAGGGGCAATCTGTCGAGTTCAAGCATAGCATACCATCAACAAGGTCCACGCGGTGTAGTAGAGAAAGATCGCGGTTGCGACCAAAAGCATGACGGATCCCACGAGTTGGCCGAGCTACGCATCACAAGTCAGCGGGTTTCCCTATATGGTTTATCAGGTTCAATTGTGTCAAATTACCATTCTGATAAGGAGTGAATAGTGAGAGCAAGGGAACGGGTAGATAGGAATTAAAAGAGCGGCGTTAATGAGTGCTGTGCATATCAGGAGAGCTTCCGGCTAGTTGGCAAAAAGGGAGCCACGTGACTGATGAGCTTTCTCCTTCCCTTGAATCTTCTTGCAACCCCAGTGATATCCACAACCACCCTTTCGGTATCCTCACTTGCTTGTTGCTTCTGTAGAGGCTTCTCTACACATTGGAAATGTCCGACTCGGATGTTCTTCAGTCAGCGGTGCGCGTCCCTACGCCTCCCCCAGGCGTGTCGGACTCACAGGCGGCAGCCTCTCGGAAACGCTCACCTCCGTCTCGTTCCCCCTCCCCAAACCGCCGTCGCTCGCCTCCTGGTGACTCCGGCCGCAATGGACCCAACGCTATCAATGGTGACACGGAACGTGCCGATGACAGGGAGCGACAACTCGCCGAGCGCGTTCGCGAACATGAAAAGCGCGAAGCGGCGCGCAAGCCGATGACCGAGGAACAAAAGCAGGCCTCCGCGAAGGCCGAATACGAAAAGCTGCTCAACATGCGATCGGGTGGTACCTATATTCCCCCAGCCCGACTCCGTGCCTTGCAAGCACAAATCACGGACAAAACGAGTAAGGAATATCAGCGCATGGCATGGGAAGCCTTGAAAAAATCGATCAACGGTCTTATCAACAAGGTCAACGTCTCCAACATCAAGTTCATCGTGCCGGAACTCTTTGGTGAGAATTTGGTGAGGGGTCGGGGGTTATTCTGTCGGTCAATCATGAAGGCGCAAGCGGCTAGTCTGCCATTTACGCCCATTTACGCGACCATGGCAGCGATCGTGAACACCAAGCTTCCCCAAGTCGGTGATTTATTGCTCTCTAGATTGATTATCCAATTCCGCAAGGCGTTCAAGCGAAATGACAAGGCAGTCTGCATCTCGTCTACAACATTCATCGCGCATCTCTGTAACCAGCAAGTTGCCCATGAGATGCTGGCAGCCCAGGTGCTATTGCTTCTCCTTCACAAGCCAACGGATGACAGCGTGGAAATTGCTGTGGGACTCACTCGAGAAGTTGGCCAGCATCTGGAGGAAATGAACGCCCCGATCGCTCTCGCCGTGTTCGACCAATTCCGCAACATCCTGCATGAGGCCGATATTGACAAGCGTGTGCAATACATGATTGAGGTGCTTTTCCAAGTGCGCAAAGACCGTTACAAGAACAATCCAGCTATCAAAGAGGAATTGGATCTCGTGGAAGATGAAGATCAGATCACCCATCGTGCTGGCCTGGATGATGACCTTGAGACTCAAGATATGCTCAACATCTTCAAGTACGATCCAGAATGGGAGGAGCACGAGGAGGCTTACAAGAAATTGAAAGCCGAGATCTTGGGCGAAGACAGCGATGAAGACGACGAAGACGGCTCGGATGAAAGCGAAGAGGAAGAATCCGATGCCGAGGAAGTACAGATGGATATCAAGGATCAGAGTAATACTGATCTGGTTAATCTCCGACGAACGATCTATCTCACAATCATGTCCAGCATTGATTTCGAGGAATGTTGCCACAAACTGATGAAGATCAACCTGCCGGCCGGGTTGGAGCATGAACTTCCGTCCATGATTATCGAATGTTGCTCCCAAGAACGCACATACTCCAAGTTCTACGGTTTGATTGGAGAACGATTCGCCAAAATCAACCGTCTTTGGTCAGACCTCTTTGAGGCCGCGTTTGCCAAATATTACGAAACAATTCATCGCTATGAGACAAACAAACTCCGCAACATCGCCCAATTCTTTGGTCACTTGATCAGCAACGATGCCATTGGCTGGCACGTATTGTCTGTCATCCATCTCAACGAAGAAGAGACCACATCCAGCAGCCGTATCTTCATCAAGATTCTCTTCCAGAACCTTGCAGAGAACCTAGGTCTGCCTGGCCTACAAACTCGCTTCAGAGATGACATTCTCCGTCCAAGCTTCGAGGGTCTCTTCCCCACAGAGAACCCTCGGCACACCCGATTCTCTGTCAACTACTTCACTAGCATTGGCATGGGTGTGTTGACAGAAGACATGCGTGAACAACTCAAAAACGCCCCTCGCCCTGCAGTCCCAGCACTCCCCGAGCGTGCTTCTCGGAGTCTATCGCGTACCCCATCCGATCGCTCACGTTCACGCTCCATGTGCTCAACGTGCACCGGATCTCCACACTCCCGCCGCTCCCGGTCTCCTTCATACTCCCGCTCGCCCTCCAGGGGTCGCAGCCGCTCCTACTCTCGCTCACTTACACCTTCTTCCCGAAGCCGGAGCCGAAGTTACACACCCTCTCGATCTCGCACTCCGGTTCGCCGTCGCCGTGATGCATCTGACAGCCGCTCCCGCACTCCAGCAAGGCGGTCCCGGTCTCGGTCCCGGTCCCGGTCGATTTCTCGTACCCCACCCAAGCGCCGCGCTCGTTCCCGCTCCTACGACTCTCGAAGCCCAAGTCGTAGCCGCAGTCCGTATCGCCGCTCGGTTTCTCGGTCTGTCACGCCCCCGCGCCGTGGCCAAAGCCCGCGGAGGAACCGTAGCTACACCAGGTCTATCTCAAGATCCGTCTCACCTCCTCCTCGACGCAGACGCGATGATTCATACTCTCGCTCTCCTCCCCCCAAGCGGCGGGGTGAATCACGGGGTCGAAGCTTCTCGCGAACCCCGCCTCCTCGTAGATAAGTTGATGTCTGCGTGACGATTCCATTCCGTGGTCGCTGGTTAAGCCGTCATCTCAAAATGTTCATAATGAAGTTGCTCAGATCTAGAGCGAAAACATGAGGCAGTGTTTCTTTTACGGTGTCTGGGATTGGAATATAAGGACTCATTAGCAATTTCATTCCTTGGTGGTGTATTTTTATGTTAAATCACAATTCCTTTCAACTCAAGCCAAATGCTCGTTCTCGTCTGAAGCTCCACTTGGCCTATAACTCCCGTATTCCCACCACAATGCTGCTTTTGTAGAAAGTCCCACTAAATACTGCATACAAGGGTATACCTAAACCTCTCCTGCCTCCCAAACGCACCGATCACACAAACAAGTTCCTCCTAAAGCTCCAGAAGCCCACTCTCTCCTCTTAACCACCGGCAACGCAATATCGCAATAATGGTTAAGGATCTCCTGATCCTTAGCAATACCACCAGGTTTGAGATCCTTGATTTCACTCTCCCTAGCCCAAACCGCCATTTCATCGTCCCGCCTCGCCCGGAAATTGATCTCACTACTCCACTCCCACGTCACATTCGGAGCACACGAATGGTTAGCCAAACACCATAGCGGATGGACAGCGCATAGCTCCGGGCCACCATCCCACGTACTCAAACGACCAGATGCCGTGCCGCGGAACTTCGCATACAACGTATTCAAAACCCAAGTATCGAAGCGGTGCAGCTCAACGTAGGGGTCAAGACCCATTTCATCGAGAATCCTTTCTGGTTGAAGAACGTTCAGCTGGAACGAGAATGGGAGCGAAGCTTCGTCAGATGATGCAGGTGACTCGAGGTCATAATCGTGGAAATCGCCCCAGATGTATTTCACCTCTGGCAGATCGAGCGCGTGCTTTTCCTGTGTGGCTGACATGGCGAGGGCACGGCCAACGAGGAGCAGATATAGGTAGTCTGCTTTATCTTTTGGGTCGGCAATGTCTTTTCCGATGGAATCAAGGCCGTCTTCTAACCCGCAGATCGCTCCATGGTAGACTTCTTGGGCTGTGTCGTGACACGCTTGGCTGCAGAAGATGATATCTACACATCCGCCTTCACAGGCGACAGGTGGCTGCGCTGCTGATAGATCTGGGAGAGGCGCATTGCATGCATCGCAGAGATCGTCGTGAAGACGGTTGGTGGCGGTGAGTAAGGAGGATTCGCGGAGAATGATCTCGTCAGGCGAGATGTCGTCTTTCGCGAAAAGACCCAGCTGGATAGACACCTCCATGCTGTCATCTGCTGTGTCGTGTAGAACTGGCAAGGACACAGCTCGGACTTCACATTTTGGCGCGATGGTTGATAGTCGTTCGTTGAGCAAGCTCAGGGTCTCCGGGGAGCGGCGATCGGGCTCGTGTTCGTTCCATGGATAGAGTACGCGGCGGGCAAAGCCCTGGCCTGGAAGTTGGCTTGGGTTTATGGCAGTCAAGTCGGCTTTCGAGCCAGTGCGAGATTCGTAAATCTTCTTGACGTGACCCAATTGCTCGTTGAGTACCGCCACGGCTGATGTGTTTGCTTTGAGTAGAGCCAAACCACGAACGCCGAACTCAAATGCATCGCGATAGCAGCCACACTGAACTAGGCTGCGGACTAGCAGCGTATAGACTCTATCTATAATTGCGTCGTATTCTTCTTGGGTGATGGGGACTGTGTCGTCTTCATCTTCCTCCGAGTCAGAGTCGGAGCCATTGACCTCTTTCTCTGGGTTGGAAGGATCTACCTTCCGTTTGGCGTGAAACTCGCACTCATCCGGGTCAATGACTGACTCTAGCAGAGCCAGTGCACGGTATGCGTCTGCAGAGGCTAGATCTGGAAACCCTAGTTTCTCATAGAGGGTGCCTCGTTCCAGGTGATGATGAGGGTTGTGAGGGTCTGCGTAGAGTTTGGCAGTTACCTCGTTGCGAGCCTGTAACACTTGTGAGGCTGACATTTTGTACAGAGTAGATTCGGCCTTGTGGTATCAGCGTTTTATATCGTGATGTCCACTCATGAGACCAAAGGGTGATTGGCAGCTAGTTGAAACAGCAACCTGAGAGCTTGATGGCCAAATCGAACAAGCTCACAAATTCAATCGGCAAGATTGAATGCAATATCAAGTCACCATTCCAGGATTGGACTCTGCCCCTCTGTAGATATCGGAAAAATCTATGTTTGCATGGTTTGCATCCTGATAACTGCCCGAAGTATTCTGTCCCACTACTGGCGATATTTCGACGGGATCTAAAGATAATGCAGTATTTTGTTTGAAAGGAATTTGGGTATACATGCTCATTACCTAGAAATACTGAAGTACAGAATGTTCTCTGTTTAATCGAGTGTTGACTGCGAATCTATAAATCGTTTATGTATGCCCCGCGGGGCTATTCAGACTTGGGGGCAGCCCGGGGCCTCAAATATACCTATGGTTGCATAAGCATACATTCTGAATGGTGCCTCCGAGGTTTGAATTGGTTCATCACAAAGGATGCATGGATACCGAGGCCCAACAGGAGCCATGGAGGACTCCACGTACTTCTAAAGTTTGATGCATGTTTTGACACCCAAATGTTTACTTAACCTTGGAAAGGAAGAAATCAATGAAAGTCATCATGTACTTCAAAATGCGGCTACTGTATAAACTCAATCTAACGGATAAGAATGAAAATTGCGCCACGCTGTGCATTGAAATCACCACTTGCTCACATCACCTTCAGACCGTCAGCATGGACCTTGCGACATTGAGAGAGGAGGAACAACCAATACATACCGTGCAATTATCATCAAGAACCACTGTCGCATTTTCACCGGTAGCACCGAGGCCCTCAAGACCTGTCCCAGCAATGCCCTGTCGCTCTCTCAGGTTGGCAGCTAATCGTCCAAGCATTTCCCTCTGTCTAAATGTCAGCAACACATCATTTTGTCGCTGGCCTGTGGTCGCCTGGTACGTCCGAAAAGAAAACCTACTGTGATGTGTGCTTCCGCCATACCACCACGACGCTCAATGTCGTTTTGGCTCATGATGCGATAACTTTCATGGATCCGCTTCCTGCTTTCTAGACCCCCCGCTCCAGAGGAGTTTCGACCGCGTATGTTTGATGGATTTTCGGGATCGAGGATATTGACGCCATTGCGGGCATCCTCTTGGGCATTCTGGTCTGATGAGAAAATTTTGATAGTGTTGTCGATTCCCGAGGCAGCAATCATGGGTTCGTATGGGTGACCTGCATTGGTTAGAACGTCTCATATCCAGAAAAATCAGTATGTACTTGCCTTGAATCACATTGACAACATCGCTGTCACCTTCGAGAATATTGACTAGACTGGAGGACTTGCGGTCCCAGATGAAAATGTGACCCGAGTCACTTCCACTAACCACATACTCGTCATTCAAACCAAAGAAGTTGACATCCTTTACGGTTTTGACATTGCAATGTCCACGATAGCTGCGGATGTGTGTTGAGCAGGGAGCATCGCGCTCGACATTTTCTTGGCGTACTCTTGGAATAGCATAACCAGAAGAGGAATCGTCATCTGAGTCTTCCGGGGTGTCTTCATCAGAGGAGTCCAGTGGCGAGATACTGTCATCGTCATCATCCTCAGCGGTATCATCATCGAATCCATTATCATTGCTTTCGCTGTTAACTTGATCTTCATCCGCGTAATTGGAAGAGCTGCCTTCCTCCCGAGAGTCCGCTATTTGGGAATCAACCGGACGTGAAGTGTTACCCGTCCTGACCAGTTCGATGCGTCTGATGCGTTCTTCTTCCACATTGGGATCGATGTCTGTTTGATCCCTCTCGGGTTCACTATCAGAATCGTCCGATATAGTTCGTAAGCCACCGAAAGCATTGTTGACAAACATGTAGTTGACATCACTGCCTGCCTCCATCAAAACTCCTCTTCCGACCCTCAAAAGCCAGAAGCGTTTCGCGGAGGCACGGTCAAGCGAGCGAACCTGTGAAGAAGGATTAGAGACCTGGCGTCTATCGAACGTAGCAGCCGAGTTTCCAAGATCCTCAAGAGGCAACCGAACAACATTCCCAAATGCAGTAACAGCGGCGCGCTGGGTGCGGAATAAGATGCGAGAGCTGTCGTGCTCAAATCTGGAAGCATCAACATTCACTATTGGGGTATCGCAGGCCATTTCCATGAGATAGGGTATCAATATAGATTCAATGGCGTCTTCCTGAGATTCATCGGGAATTGGGAATCTGTCGTGATGTCCGCGAAAAGCGTTGTGACGCTGGAAGCCCTCGAGGAGACGGTTTCTTCCACCCTGCAACCAGAGTAAAATTGCTCGAAGGAATTCATAGCCAAACTTTACCTCCCGGTCCAAATCATATTCACCCGGCGCAGGTTTGATCGTTTGGAAATTTGAGTCTGGATCTAGTGGCTCATTCGACAACGCATACGCAAGAGCACCTGAAGCTTGCACGAATCTCCACGACGACTCGCGATTATGGCGGAGCGTCTGGTGAAACGTAACAGTGTCCCGGGAGGGATTTATCGGGTATCCCCATTGGCGCATAATTTCGTCCATCCTCGGGAGATATTCAGTCGCAATTTCCAACGCGGTTGAAAAGCAAGCCGCGTAATATTCTGGTTCCACTCCATCAGAGCTGGTCGCCTCTCGAACTGTCGCTTCAAGAGAAAAAAGTGTCTTGCGAAGTTTTACTAAGCCCTTAGCAATCTGCATGCTCAACCGTTGGGCATCATTCAGCACAGCATATCGAGCCTGTTCGAGAATATTCTCGGCAGAGTCCGGGACACTATCCGATAAGGCAGGGAATGGAATATCCTCCTCGTCTCCATTCTCATACTGAACTCTGAAAGTGTCAGGCTCCTCTGAGCGAAGACGAGAATGATGCCTGCCGCCACTTTCCTGTGATGATGGCGTTGCGGGCTTCTGACGCTTGCGCTTTCGGCTCCGCGAACTGCGCCGAGGCCGTGCGCTCTTGCCCTTGAGCGTCTTCTTCTCCGCCCGGCCTTCTCGGGCATCAGGGCTGCGAATCAGATCAAAACTATAGATATGATCACCAGACCAACTGACAATCATCTCGTTGGGGTTTGCATCGCTGATTTTACACGCCGTGATGTGTCCGTCAGCGGCAAGTTTGGGATGATCCTTACCACCAGGCGCAAACCTACGTACGCATCGTGTTGCCTTGCTCATATCCTCATCAGCCAAACTTCCAGCGCTTGGAGTAGCACTTCCTCTAGCGGCAGACGTGTCCCTGCCCACCATCCGTCTGTCATGCAAAAAACAGTGCATGTGGGCACCACCCAATGCAATATAGTGCGGTTGGCTCGGCGAGCAGGATATAGTGTTCAAGTCCAAATTGTACTGTTTGTAGGAAATAAGCGGGGGTGGCACATTGGAATCATCGTGGTGCAATCCTGGTCGATATGACATGAAGCCCTGGCCACCCCGCGGTGCAGGATATGCACTTGATGGTAGCCGCAGATCCCATTGGCGAACTTCGCCATCCTCGGAGCATGTAAGGAAGAGGTATGGCGACGATTCAGTAACAATGCGCTTCACGCGGTCGGCGTGGCTGCGATAAACCCTGGCGTTAGTATTGCCATCGGTCAGATATCGTGTGCCAGTAAAAAACTCCGTGAAGCGGCGACTCCGAGGGACAGCCTCGTTCGATGATGTTGTGGGATCATTCCTGCCACTGGAATATTCAATATCGAATACGCGCACCGTGGAATCGGCTGCGCATGTAACCAGGGTGCCATCGTTGGAATGTGGCATAAACTTCACCGAGAATATGTTGGCCTTGTGACCGGTGAAGATGGTAGTGTTCAGCGCAAAGGGGGCATTGGAGGAGTCGGATTGGTATGAGTAGATATTGACGCACTGGTCATCCGAGCCGGATGCCAAGAGGCGTCCTGATCTTGACCAACTGCGAGAGCGTTAGAGCATGTCACAAAGAGAGGGTCCTTCCAAGCCAAGTGACTTCAGCCACGTACCTCAAGGCGTTCACACATCCCGTATGCCCACCAAGCTCATTCACAATATCGAGATCATCGACCCATTCCTTGGACCCGTAAATCCCCCGGAGCCCGGCATATTGGGACTGATCCCCGCATTCCCGATGCCAAAGGCGATGGCTTATTGAATTTTTCATGGCCGCTCGACCCGTTGAATGTGGAAGGGGGTATTGTCAGGTTTGATCGATCATAATGAGTGGTAAAGATGATGAAGTGGAGCCTATCTTTTTGCGGAGCTTTGGCTGTCAAGATAGCTGAAGATGACGTCAGGATCAGAGCTCAAATGAAGCTCACATCACCTTGTATTTAGGTGATGATAGATGGGTTAGGGTAAAGTGATATCGAGGTTAATAGCCAAAGGAACAGGAAAATTTGTCAAAAGAACCGGTTTAAGAAGAATGGGCGATCTCAGTTCGTCTCTAAGATCCAGGCCCAAAGTTCGACACCTGAGGCATACACCCCACCCGTGACTTGCCCACCTGGGGCACCTTCCAAGGTTGGAAATAAGCTTCAGTTCCGCCGCAAAAGGTACACACCTGGACAGTACACATGTACCTCTAAGAGAGAGCACTTCGTAAAATTGAAATTGCATGGAGAATTCTACTTTCGTGGAAATAGGGATTGACATTCAAAGTCGTGACATTGTTCTCATTTCACATACAGGCGCAGGATGAACCTGTTATTCATCTCCTCATAGCATTATACAAATCTAGCACCTCCAGGCACCGACCCTCGGGGCCTTCGATTCAATTGAAGAGCCTGCAAGTCGACTCGCAAGCAGACTAACAGCATCTCTTTCAGAGCGTACAACTTCCACCTCCAGCGTTCGCAGAGCTCGGATTTCCTGCATCATCAACTGGATGAGATCAACCAGGGTCCTCGCCACTCTCGCCAGGGCAGACTGTTCCACACGCTCTACCTGACCAAAACCGAGGATATCCAGCGCTTGAAGCTGCCGTGAACAAAGTTCGAGTTGGGAACTGAGAGCTTGAACGGGCTCTTTCCAACTTCGCGGGAGAGGGTCAACAAAAGCAACGTCGATGCAGCCAGGTCCGCGGTTCTGGCGGATTTTTTCTGCTTGTCTGAGCCACGTTCTAAAGGTCATCACAATCTGGGAGTAAAGTCCATTCTCGGTGATCATGTCCGAAACCTCCTGTAGGACCTGTGAAAGAATTTGAATTTGTTCTGGGAAATCATGTGAGCCACGATTTTCGCGACAATTGGAAAGCCAGAGTCCCAATGCATGGACATTAAGCTGATACTGTTGTTGCGTTTCATCGGCCAACAAAGACCGGTGCTGAGCAGCAACGCCTTCATATTTGTTTTGTAGATGTGATTCGGTCTCGGACTTCCACTCCGCCTGATGCTGCATCACGTTCGAGTGGAGCAGGCTGAGTTGGAGAAGTTCTGTCTGCAATGCTGTGATATCCGGCCATGATGAAGGAATCAACAGATTATCTGGCTGCGGCGCGCTTCCGGGGGTTGGCGTCGGGGGTTTGGAGAATTTCTTGGGGGAGGAGGGTCGTTGATAGGTCGATATCGTGCGAGAACGTTGGCTTGGTGCTGGTTCGACTGGTTTGGTACTTTGCGACAGTTGGCTTCGGTGCCGCGTATGGCCCTTGACCACTGGCGGAATCTTTCCGGTACTGACAGGCTGCCTCAGGGAAGCAGACCGTGCAGGGCGCGGTGGAGGGAGCATCTCTGTTTTCTTCGGTGATGGGGGTCTCCTGGCCGGAGGTTGCACAGGCTGCACGGGTGACCGTTTGCCTGTTAGTTTGCGGGGCGAGGGCGGCGCAAACGAAGGCGCTGAGCTCTTAGATGCGGAGGTCACCGATTTGATCGCGGGAATCTTGAGCGCACTAGGTCGCATGATGCTTTGACGCCGGGTAGGTGGTACCACTGGCTTCACTGCCATCGAGTCTGACGGAGCTTGCTTCTTGACAGGCGATGCTTCTTGTCTCGTCGGTGAAGGATCTCGCGGGCTTGATCTGCTGCTGGGTGGCTGGAGCCGCAGCTGACCTGTGGTTCGGCTGTTCTCCTGTGTATTGCTGCGCTGGGGGAGTGGGATTCTCCCTCGAGCGGTCGGGCCATGATCTTTCCCAGCCTCGGTCGAGGGAGATGGGCGGTTGTCATTATTCGATCGAACAGGTTCCTTCGAGCCAGTGGTATTGGGGGATAGTTTCGTAGCGGGTCGTGCGATGTTTGAAACCTTCGGCAGTTAGTACGACTCTTCCATATTCGCAGTTTCGGCAATGGCAGGAATGCGACGGTGGAGAGCTGCGGGTAAACAAAGGAAGGGACTGACGTGTTTACGGGGCTCGCGCAGCGAGGCCGAGCGAGTTGGGATGGGCATCATCAAAGGTCATGAAATAAGAAAAGGCATTACGCAAAATAAAAACAAAGGAAAAAAGGAGAGATGCAAGTCCAAGTTGATGTGATGCGCTGATCCCGGGGTGTTATCCACTTTGCTACTTCTTTGAAAGCTCCGGCGAGAATTGAACTTCGATCGGAATGTCTATTTTCGAGCACTCTGCATCTGGCAAATTTACATAGAAATCTCCAAATTCCAAACGATCCCCGAGCGACACAATCTTGTTGACTTTCTGTACTACCAAAGCGATGTCGGAGTTTTTACAGTAAGCGAGTGACAGATAAAACTCGGGATCGATCAAATCGTGGCTGAAATCGAGTCGGTCTCAAATCCAAAAAAAAAAAAAAAAAAAACAAATACTCGTAAAGTGACTGACCTGGTACTCGAGCAGTCCTTCAGTTGTGAAGAGCTTGAAATACACAACGAGAGGGTGTTTGGATGGAATTTGACATAGTTTATACTCTCCCACGCGGCTCTCCCACTAAATCATCATAGTATGGCGCTGCCCGTCATGAAAATTATCTCAAGTGAACTGTGATTGGTATATGAATGGGTCTTTGTAGGTCTTTGTAGTTATTCGTATAGACAGCTCTTTTACATCCACATAGTGGCTACGCTCCTACAAAACCCAATGCTGTTCCAAAAATAAAAATAAAAATAAAAATAAAAAAACAATAATCTATATTGCTAGTTTGGTCTACTGGAACAACCACACGTCCTCAATATTGAGAAGAAATTCACTTTTTCAAACCGTAACTCATAATTGAAAAACCCGATGGGTACATTTGGAACTTTGCAACATCGAACCAAGTTTTTTTTTCAGATCGATATCTTTCCATTGCCGATGTCACACACTCACAGGTTCCCACGGCGAGAGAATGCAACACCCTCAACAGCAGGGTGGTCAGTGAACCAACTGACCTTCTCACCAGCACCCTGGTTGACTAGTGCGGATGGGAGGTTTGAACCCTCCTCCAAATCAAAGATCTGCTTCAGAATCTCCTTCTTGCCGGCACCAGTCGCCACAAAGGCAATGTTGACAGCGTGAGTCACAACAGGCAGAGTGAGGGTGATGCGCTTGGGAGGGGGTTTGGGGGAATTGGTCTCAGCAGCAACCCAGGCGTCCTTCTCGCGCAGCAGATCGTGACCAGGGAACAGCGAACAAGTGTGACCGTCGGGACCACAGCCGAGCAGAATGAGATCGAAGACGGGCAGTTTCACGGAATCTTTGGCGGCGAATTCGCGCATCAGATCCTCTTGGTAGAGGTCCGCAAGTTCCTGTGGGTCGTCGTCCTGGATGTGCTTCTCGTCAATGGGGTGGATCACGGGTGAGCCGAGTTCGGCGGGAATCTTGGCCACCAGCTCGTCCTTTAGCAGGCGGTAGTTGCTCTCCTCATGGTCGAGGGGGACGGCTCGCTCATCGGCGAAGAAAATGTGCCACTTGGAGAATTGAGGGGTATCCTCTTGGGTGCCATTGCTGGGAGCCAACAGGGCTTTGGCTAGGACGGCGGGGAGGGAGCCGCCGGAAACAGCTAGGCGGAAGCTCTCATGGCGACTGAGGGCAGAGTTTTGGGCACGAAGAACGTAAGTACGCAGTTGCTCAGCCAGCGCATTGCTGTTGGGGAAGCTGTACAGATTGGGGGGTGAGGCGGTCATGTTGTGTGATGGGACGAGGTGAGGGGCAGAATTTCCCTTTTCAGATTTGGAATATGAGGTGTGGGGGGTGGAATTCGAGATGAGGGATTTAGGCTGAAATGAAGAGAGTGACACCAGATAGAGTTGTCGATTGAGAGGAAGTGTGGAAGTGGAAGTGGGAAGTGTCGGCAAAAGTACAGAGGTATGACGTCGACAAATCTTATCTTTCGCTTCTCTTCTTCTCTCTCTTGTCTTTTGCTCTTTACTCCCTACGGTATACTCCGTATATCTTTGTTCATATCTGCATCTAACACTCCATCGACCACGTCTTGCCACACCTTATTCGGTCCTCACCTGCATAGCCCAGATGAAACGTTGCCTAATTAGGCCTCCCGCATAACGTCGATCACCCCCATGACGGCATCGTTTTCAAGTCCCAGCGATTAGTCTCTTCAGAAAAAAAGAAATAAGAATCATCATAGTCTTTTTAAACATGGTTCAAAGTGGATGTGAACCAGAAGATCTAACAGCTTTACGGGAACGGTGGGGAACGGGGAGAATTGAAGCTATACCATTCCACTTGGGCGCAAAGCCACCTAGGCTACGGGATTATTGATGATTTGGGTATCGGTATATGTACGGAGTACCCCGTACGCAGTACGTAGAGATCGGGTGTGTCGGAGAAAAGTCATCTGGGGCCTGAAGCATTAAAGGGCCACAGCCCCTCGAAGTCGAAGATATCATTCCATATTTTAGGGCATCACTGCGCTATCACGGGGCAAAGAACTCAAAAATGCGACTCACCCCCTTCTTCCCTTCTTCACCTTCAACCATGAGCTCCCCAGTGCAAATTCCTCAGGAAATCCCCAGAACTACACAAGCAACCTCTCCAACCTTCGATATCGTCCGTTGCTCCCGTTGCCAACAGTCTCTCAGCCTCAGTCAATCCGGCTCCGGCGCTGTGCAGTTTGGCATGAATTCCTATTACTGCAACCGCTGTGCGTCCAAGGTTGGATTTGGAGGTTGAGAGAGCAAGACTAGCTGGATCAAGTTTCGATCCCACATTCTACCACCCTCCCGGGCGCGATCGTCGCCTTCCATCTCAATGGCGCCCCCTCTCCCTCAGCCCACCTTCGACACGCTTTCCTTCTTATTTTCAAATTTCTCGCCTCGGACATTTACCATCTCCTGTGAACTTCTCGCCGACACTGGCCGCGGGTGCTTATTTCACTGAATTTTTGTTTGAGACGGTTTTGTGATAGGGGTCCGGGGCAGTCCGGGGAGTCCGGGGATCCCGACCATGTGCCGACCGAAAGAACTCGTTCCCGGTGACTGCAGTTCCACGCCCTTTGCGACCATGCTCCGTATATGGTGCATTCTGTTCGCATTCCATTTGCATTTTCGACTGATATCTGTATTCTGAGGATCAATTTCCCTTTCGCCTCTTGTCTTCATACTGAGAGCGCAGGCTCGGTGCATTCGGCTCGAGTCCTGATGTCATACTTTCATGCTCCATTCAATTAGATTTTTTTTTCTTGTTTTCTGAAACGAAAAACTCCAAGTCCATACTAAGTACTCCGTACCGTACGCGAATGCATATGTCTATATGAACATGCTCTGTCTCTGCTTTAACAGCAAATGCGGCCGGCATTCGGCCACTTCTATCTACTACAACAGTGGCCCATAGTTACTACGAGTAATTAGATTCCAGTGCGCCGTGAACGCGTTGACCCCTGACACAGTGTCCAAGAAATCGATTTATCAAAGTTTTACCCGGGCAATATGGTGTACGGACTACTCCGTACCAACCTCGGAAATCCAAGATGATCTGCGTGGGATAGTCGGGACCCGTGTAGATCACCGTTCCAAAATCGATGTTCGACCCATCAGGTGGGCAACCTTTGCCCGGAAGCTAGTGTTCAGATCTTTTGATATCCTTGTTTTTGGTGGACGATGGCGTCGATTTCCTGAATACGCAAAATCCATAGCTAACTGGCCACCCCCTGGAGCCTAGTGCTTTGGTCGCGTGTCGCCATCGTTCAGCCTTGTGCTACATGTAATATACGATCACTTGACTTCGCACCAGGGAAGGGGGAAACCGCAGTGGGTGATCGAATCGAAGATCTACTCGAATATCAAGAGTCATGAACTGTGCTCTGTACTCTGTGCTTCGTACGGAGTACTCGTACACCGAGCAATACTAGTGTGGGAAACTCCAAACGCGGCTGGGACCTGCAGTGTGACCCGTGTTCGCTCAACATTATACTTGTATGAGTGTCCGTGCGAGAAATCGATCTCCCGCTGCTCTGTGCTGGGTACAAAGTAGACGAGCACGGAGGACTCGTGTAGGATATAGGATGGGTACCCCGTACAGAGTACGGAATAATCCTTAGCAAATACCCGAGCTGAGAGAATTGGCCAATTTTGACTTGCCGCTGCAGGTACTCGGAAACGAGTCAATAATGGCAATACGTGGGTAAAATGTTGAACTCGATAGCCCCAAACCAAGAGGCCAATAGCGAAATGCAGTTCGTATGACTGCTCATGTTGCAGGGTTCCACTTCAATCGACGATCCATTTCTTAATTCACCTTTCTTTTCTTTTTTTAGTGTACTTTTCATTTCTTTTTTCTGCCTCCAATCCCCCAGAGGTTCCCCTCGTTGCTTTTTCCAGGGTGTCTCTGGACCGATCTGACAATAGAAAAAGACATGCAGAATACATGCAGAAGCCAATGTGATGAATACATGGCCGCGCAGGTCCACCTTTCACGTCCGATCCGGATCTAGCGGTGTAACGAATACTTACCTTCGATTAGTGATTTGTTCCCTGCAATAGGCACGGGTATACCCGGAGTCGATCGAGATAGAAGCTACTCCGTAAACTAGAGATTTAATTTGAAATGCCGCCCCCATTTTGTACATCGGGAGAGCGTCAGAGGGGGGAAAAGGTGCCCTGGACAAGTGTCGAAGTCAACCCGGTGGGGTGGTACTCCGTAACGGAGCACCACTCTATTGCATTTATGGCAGAGCTGAGCTCGGGCATGAAAATGACATATCCCAGCATGAACGAAAATACAAATAAGAAAAAAACAAAAAAAGCCAGTGCTGCTTCTCTATCATGACTGGTTGCGATGCCTCAGATGGCGTTACCATTCGTCCAAATCGTGCAGTATTCTGGGTCGTGAGCTATGTGAATGCATTGTTAGCCCTAAGGAATTAATTAGCTTGGGCTTGTGAAACTGGGACACATGCTTTTGTTCTTTATATTCGCCTCGCTCGCAGATTTCCTTTCCCTTGATTATGTGCATGAGGGCAATTTTACTTGGATTTATCCGACTACTCGTGAGTCTCCAGTTCGATTTGAGTCTCATTTGGGGGCGTTTCATGTCTAAACCCCCGAGGGGCTCATTTCAGGTATCACCTCTATAGAAACCGAGCTAACACGGACCTCTTACAGACAATTGTCTTCTGGACTCGAACACAATACTGGACAAGTCCGACAGCTTTACAACGTGGAATATCTACCATCAGCATCGATTCTCTTATATCCTTTCACACTAGCGCCCATTTGGCGCTTAGATATCGTGCATAACTTGACAGACCCACAGCCATGCCTTTTCTCGGTCGTGATAAAGGTCGCTCCAGGTCGCGCAGATCCGACGATGAGTTTGTTGTCTTTCTGCAAGGTGTATGTTCGGGTATCGGAACTCCTCGGTCTCAGGCTGACAAGAAGTAGATTCCATCGCATTGTCGATGGCAAGAGCTGAAGGACCTCGTGCGTCAAACTGCTCTGCATATCCGCCAGGCAGTCGTATATGACGATAGTCATGGATTCCCCACTGGACTCGGCCAAATTATCATCAAGAACGAAGATGAGGCCTGGCGAACATACCGTATGCATTCCAAGATCCTCATAAAGTCACTGTGCTAACTTCATCCAAGACCGGCTCTCAACAAATGGATGGGAGGGCCAAAGCCTGGTAGTTACACTCTCACGAACTAGCACACCCACCAAACCAATCGCCGGACCTACTAGAAGCCCACCCGTCATGTCCGGTTATGTGTCTGGTCATTCGACTCCTCCAAGAGCCCATGGAAGCATAACAATGCCTCCCTCTCCAGTCTCACCCGAGTGAGTAGAGTATACCGATCTCCGCATACATAAGTCTAACTCTCGATAGATCCGCCCAACCTCCCACCCCAACATTCTCATATCCAGAGTACGGTCTCATGATGCCCATGCCAATGCATGGGCAGTTTGTCCCCATGCTACCAGACTTGCTTTCAATGCAATGCTTCCCTCCTTCGCCATTGATCAACGGATACGAACCGCAGTGGATGATGCCATACCCTATGACCCCACAACACAACGGAAACAGCCCCGATCAATACTTCTATCCCTCATGCCACAAAGCTCCAGATCCACAATCTCCTTCTTTCTACCCAGACTCTCGCGCTGTTACTCTGGAGAATCTCCACCCATCAACCACCCCCGGCCATTTGAAAGACCTCATCCAATCTGCCGGAATTGTTACACAGTGTAATGTGGCACTGGAAAAAGATCAAACGCATGCGTTGATAGTCATGCAAACTAGCGAGGAAGCTCAACGTGCCGTCACCATGTTCAATAACATTAAGTTCATGGGCTCTCGTATCCGAGTTAGGATTGATCGTGGGCCGCCGACGCGCGGTTCAAGCTTGAGCTCCGCTGGAACCGATAGCTCGGCTTCTGAGACAGACGATTCGTTGTCTTGGGCCGACGAGATGAGCAGCTTGGAAACGAAGGCTTGTAAGCCATTGGTGATTGATGGGTCTGGGAAGTCGAGGTCGGATGCGCTGTGCACGTCTGCTCCGACTTGATAAACTCATTGTATCATTTAGTTTGAGCCAGGTTCTGCTCAACTTAAAATGTGTTTAGTTTGTTCTTTATTTGTTAGTGATTATTACCAACTGTTCATTTAATTCTTCCTAATCTCCTCGCATCGACCCTATGGTTGAAAGTGTAAGGAATAAATCTGAACACCACCTGCTACCTCTAGGTAACTTGTAAACCTCGAATTATACCTGTTGAAGCTGAACTGTATCACAAGATTTCACAGTTTCGAATGACCGGCTTGAGTCCGGGCTAGATACAGATCCCCATAAGCGGTTCTGTTTAGACTCAACCCATTCCCAGACCTCAAATGCTCCAAGACACTTTTATCTTCACAGACTAAGCTCCAACCCACATCTATTGAAGACTCACCGAATACTGCCAGCACAGTTCCAGCCAAGAGTCCAATCATTCTCGGACCGAAAGTCGGCTTCGCAGGGCATTCAAAAGGAACATATCCAAATGGCATGAAGGCCTCTTTTATAGGTGTTGTGGATTTCAGGGCGTACCTTCCCTTTTTTTCGCAGTTGCTTTTCCTCTCACTTGCTCTTCCATTTTCTCTTCTTCTCTCATCCTTCTCATTGTCACCTCCCATCCTCCCGCCCGCCCAGCACTGAAGCTTGAGCCTCTCTCCTGCCGCAAGCTGAGCCTCTCTCCTGTCGCAAGCTGAGCCTCTCTCCTGTCGCAAGCTGAGCCTCGGGTCTCTCGAGGTTATCTGTAAGTCAGCTCAATCTGGCACCCGCAACCTCTTTATGGAGCTCTCATTCTGACGTCACGCCCCAGAGACAACTATGCTCTCCTCCTTAGTTGGAGATGAACTATCTGCCAAAACACCCGCATTGAAATGAGATAGCGATATGGATAACGACGCGGTTTCTCGATCGATTTCGATCTTCGCTGGTCTGCCTGAGCACCATGTCGTTCGAAATTTCTCACATTTCCGAGGGTTCCGGACAGAGGTTGAAACTATTTCACAATCTCTCAGACAAGGAGGCGGAAATCAATACCTTGTTTTGCTGAATGTTCCGCTCAGAGTACTCACAATGCTTGACCACCACGACAAGGAATGTGGCCCGATCAATTACCGTCTCAACTGGCAAGGGAACACCGCACTTGTGAAGGTAGTTCCTTCTGGTGCCCATGAGTGCATAACTAGTGCTTTCTGCGATATCATCAAAGAGATTCATCATCAGATGGGATGTTTCTGGACCAGTCTCGGATGGGTTCTTGCTACTACGTACACCTCTCGATGGGGAGATGGAATGCAAGCCGATAATGCGTTTGTCCCTGAAGCCCGTCTTCGACTTGGCTTACCACCAACTCAATGGCCAACTTTAGTTGTGGAGACAGGTGTCTCGGAATCCCTGGCTCATCTACGTGAAGATGCGAAACGTTGGTTGCGCTGCTCTGAAGGACACGTCAGAATCGTCATTCTAATCTCAGTTCGCCGAGATCACATCTTTATTGAGAAATGGCAGCTTGCACCCCCCAACGCACCTATACCACTCAACAAACGTTACATCGATAGCCTCAAAGCCCAGAACCGGAATATGCCCCCGATGGTTCCGCAACTCAGTTCGCTCCTGCAGGCGTATTGCTCGCAAGAAATAACAATTGAACAAAATGCAACAAGCGGATGTCCGTTGATAATCCCTTTCGAGGCTCTCCATGATCGACTACCTGATGCAACCGACAGTGACATTCTCATCCAGGATTGGCATTTCCGTTATATGTATCGCTTTTTGCCTCGTGTACCTTGAAAGTAGAGCTTCCTTTGCCCTTCGCTTTGAGAGATTGCATGATTACCCGCCTGTGACAGAATGATTTGCACGTTGAGGGGACGATAATATTATTCCTAAGTCGCAGTTCCGTTAGTTATAGCCTCATTTTTAATTAGTATTACTGATACTCTCATCTGACATTCATGTCAATTTTTTTTCACTTTTTGATCACTTCGCCAAACTGATGGATCTATTTCAAACTCCGGGCTCCAGGGCTGTACACCCAGAATAAATTTGACAGAGAATAACTTGTAGTTGAAAAATGAAGCCTAGGATTAACATTGCGCTACATTCAAATCAATAGTTGTGTACAATCATCAGTCATTCAAACAAGCGTATGTCCTGAGCGTTCATCAAAAGTGTTCCTTTCCCATGACCAGTCACCTGAAACGTCGCGAAATACCAGAAACGCCAAAAATTAAATAGGGAGACATTCATATCGGTGATAGTTGAGACAGAGCGTGTTTATTTCGCGTGGGTAATCATCTCTGCATAAAGATCTTCTGGGATCTTACGCACAATGAGAACAGTCAACGCAATGATCTCCTTTGCATCAAGCGGTGGAAAAGAGCGGAGAATTTTGTTGGGACTAAAGAACATCATCAGTACTTGATATTAAGGCCAAAGGAACAGAGAGACTTACCTCGGGCTCTCGAAAATCATGTCACGCATGCGTATTAACTGGGCAACAATGCACAAGATATTTAAATGTGCACCATAAGCAAATAAGAAATCCCACAGATGCAACACCTCTGGCAGCGGGGGTGTACAAGCACAGAGAGTTAAGACTGACGGGAAAGCATATAGCTCAGCATGCATACCTTTGGAGAAGAGGTATGCTGCAAGCTTAGGTTCCACAATCTCAAGACATCTGTCAACCAAACGGAGGCCCTTGTGGACTCCATCCATGGCCCCACGGATGTATCCAGGACATTCGCGCGTGACAAAGTAATGGAAGAGGGCAAATGCTTCAACCTCACTGCGGGCAGCGTACAAGAAAGGCGCACATAATACATTCATACCTTGAACGTACATTGCTGGGTCGGATGGCTGGTTGCTTTTGTTCTTCTCTAGCTCTCCGCCAAACACTGACGCTGGCTCCTCTGCAATGCTAGGGGGTGTGTTGACCAGAAGCTCCATTTCACGGCGCCGAGACGAGGTTGGCCGAGACCGAGGCTTTGGTCGGGCATCATGAAGTTTCCACGCCACAGCATTGAGCAGGCGGATGAGGCTTGCTTCGGTGACTCTTCGTTTGAAAAGAGGGTCTGTAGCTAAAGTGCGGAAGGTGTCGTTGCGGATTTTGGCGTATGCAGGAGATCGACCACGGTGGATAAGAGCGAGGTAGTCGTCGGTAGGCATTGGGGGGATGTCAAGAAGTATTAACCAGAGATAGATTCGATATGGCGACTGACAATTCCCGTTAGTCGACTAAGGATCTCGCAGCGCATAGGAGATACTCACCATGCCATCTGCGTCGGCATCCACTCTGCTGGAAAGAACGAGGTATTTGAGCTCCTGGAGGCCCTCGCGGGGATTGTCGCTCTGCGGTCCATCACGCAAGAAGTTCTCCAACAGCGATCTCTTCAAACCAATACCCGATCCTGTTTTGCGCGCAGGTCGTCTTTGTGTTGTCGGTGGTGTTGCAGCAGCTTCACGGGTCGATGCATCACTGTTTGAACGAGCGCGACGATGGGCGCGCGCTCTGGTTGCGGAGCCTGGGATCCCCGAGTCAAAATCGGCAGATTGGCCACCAGGGTGAGAGTTCTGTGTCTGGGCAATCAGCGCGCTGGAGCTTGACAGCACTTGGTGAGATTGTATCTTGCGCAGCGTTCGCAGGGTACGAGGAGAGGCGGGTGTGTCTGGGCCTGGGATACCCAGACCCCAGGAGGGCTGAGGTTTGGCCATTGTTGTTTTCAAGTCTGTCTTGGGCGACACAAGAAGAACATTGTGCAAGACTGGAGTCAGGGGAGCGCAGTTGGCGGGTAAAATGTATCAGATCTCGCGGCTGGAGCTTTTTCTGCCGATGAAATTGGCGGCGTTAACTCCGTACTACCTCCACAACTACGTATTTCATATGGTGAATTGACGGTTCAATTATTGATGGTACACCTTCAATTAGCCTTCTGTAAATCGGTAATTGCTTCCAGTATCAAAAATTTCTTCAGACAACCTCCAAACACATAAAGAATAAGATATGAACCCCCCCCCCCCCCCCCCCCCCCCCCCCCCCCCCCCCCTCTCTCCCCCCTCCCCTTTTTTCCTTCTCCCCCCCCCCCTTCTCCCTTATTTTTTTTTTCTTC